TCTGATGATAAGGAACAAAGTTATGACTTTTTTCATGGTCAAAAGTGGCTTTTAATTAATGAAAATTATTACAAAAAATGGAAGGAATCGAGTATCCCTTTTGTAACTTTGTCAACACTATAATTGCATCATAACATAGTTCTGAATTGAATTTTATTAATATCTGATGGTAAGGAACAAAGTTATGACTTTTTCATGGTCAAAAGTGGCTTTTAATTAATGAAAATTATTAGAAAAAATGGAAGGAATCGAGTATCCCTTTTGTAACTTTGTCAACACTATAATTGCATCATAACATAGTTCTGAATTGAATTTTATTAATATCTGATGGTAAGGAACAAAGTTATGACTTTTTTCATGGTCAAAAGTGGCTTTTAATTAATAAAAATTATCAGAGAAAATGGAAGGAATCGAGTATCCCTTTTGTAACTTTGTCAACACTATAATTGCATCATAACATAGTTCTGGATTAAATTTTATTAATATCTGATGGTAAGGAACAAAGTTATGACTTTTTTCATGGTCAAAAGTGGCTTTTAATTAATAAAAATTATCAGAGAAAATGGAAGGAATCGAGTATCCCTTTTGTAACTTTGTCAACACTATAATTGCATCATAACATAGTTCTGAATTGAATTTTATTAATATCTGATGGTAAGGAACAAAGTTATGACTTTTTTCATGGTCAAAAGTGGCTTTTAATTAATAAAAATTATCAGAAAAAATGGAAGGAATCGAGTATCCCTTTTGTAACTTTGTCAACACTATAATTGCATCATAACATAGTTCTGGATTGAATTTTATTAATATCTGATGGTAAGGAACAAAGTTATGACTTTTTTCATGGTCAAAAGTGGCTTTTAATTAATAAAAATTATCAGAAAAAATGGAAGGAATCGAGTATCCCTTTTGTAACTTTGTCAACACTATAATTGCATCATAACATAGTTCTGAATTGAATTTTATTAATATCTGATGGTAAGGAACAAAGTTATGACTTTTTTCATGGTCAAAAGTGGCTTTTAATTAATAAAAATTATCAGAAAAAATGGAAGGAATCGAGTATCCCTTTTGTAACTTTGTCAACACTATAATTGCATCATAACATAGTTCTGAATTGAAATTTTATTAATATCTGATGGTAAGGAACAAAGTTATGACTTTTTTCATGGTCAAAAGTGGCTTTTAATTAATAAAAATTATCAGAAAAAATGGAAGGAATCGAGTATCCCTTTTGTAACTTTGTCAACACTATAATTGCATCATAACATAGTTCTGAATTGAATTTTATTAATATCTGATGGTAAGGAACAAAGTTATGACTTTTTTCATGGTCAAAAGTGGCTTTTAATTAATGAAAATTATTAGAAAAAATGGAAGGAATCGAGTATCCCTTTTGTAACTTTGTCAACACTATAATTGCATCATAACATAGTTCTGAATTGAATTTTATTAATATCTGATGGTAAGGAACAAAGTTATGACTTTTTTCATGGTCAAAAGTGGCTTTTAATTAATAAAAATTATTAGAAAAAATGGAAGGATCGAGTATCCCTTTTGTAACTTTGTCAACACTATAATTGCATCATAACATAGTTCTGAATTGAAATTTTATTAATATCTGATGATAAGGAACAAAGTTATGACTTTTTTCATGGTCAAAAGTGGCTTTTAATTAATGAAAATTATTACAAAAAATGGAAGGAATCGAGTATCCCTTTTGTAACTTTGTCAACACTATAATTGCATCATAACATAGTTCTGAATTGAATTTTATTAATATCTGATGGTAAGGAACAAAGTTATGACTTTTTTCATGGTCAAAAGTGGCTTTTAATTAATAAAAATTATTAGAGAAAAATGGAAGGAATCGAGTATCCCTTTTGTAACTTTGTCAACACTATAATTGCATCATAACATAGTTCTGAATTGAAATTTTATTAATATCTGATGGTAAGGAACAAAGTTATGACTTTTTTCATGGTCAAAAGTGGCTTTTAATTAATAAAAATTATCAGAAAAAATGGAAGGAATCGAGTATCCCTTTTGTAACTTTGTCAACACTATAATTGCATCATAACATAGTTCTGAATTGAATTTTATTAATATCTGATGGTAAGGAACAAAGTTTTGACTTTTTTCATGGTCAAAAGTGGCTTTTAATTAATGAAAATTATTAGAAAAATTGGAAGGAATCGAGTATCCCTTTTGTAACTTTGTCAACACTATAATTGCATCATAACATAGTTCTGAATTGAATTTTATTAATATCTGATGGTAAGGAACAAAGTTATGACTTTTTTCATGGTCAAAAGTGGCTTTTAATTAATAAAAATTATTAGAAAAAATGGAAGGAATCGAGTATCCCTTTTGTAACTTTGTCAACACTATAATTGCATCATAACATAGTTCTGAATTGAATTTTATTAATATCTGATGATAAGGAACAAAGTTATGACTTTTTTCATGGTCAAAAGTGGCTTTTAATTAATAAAAATTATCAGAAAAATGGAAGGAATCGAGTATCCCTTTTGTAACTTTGTCAACACTATAATTGCATCATAACATAGTTCTGAATTGAATTTTATTAATATCTGATGGTAAGGAACAAAGTTATGACTTTTTTCATGGTCAAAAGTGGCTTTTCATTAATAAAAATTATCAGAAAAAATGGAAGGAATCGAGTATCCCTTTTGTAACTTTGTCAATACTATAATTGCATCATAACATAGTTCTGAATTGAATTTTATTAATATCTGATGGTAAGGAACAAAGTTTTGACTTTTTTCATGGTCAAAAGTGGCTTTTAATTAATGAAAATTATTAGAAAAAATGGAAGGAATCGAGTATCCCTTTTGTAACTTTGTCAACACTATAATTGCATCATAACATAGTTCTGAATTGAATTTTATTAATATCTGATGATAAGGAACAAAGTTATGACTTTTTTCATGGTCAAAAGTGGCTTTTAATTAATAAAAATTATTAGGAAAAATGGAAGTGATCGAGTATCCCTTTTGTAACTTTGTCAACACTATAATTGCATCATAACATAGTTCTGGATTGAAATTTTATTAATATCTGATGGTAAGGAACAAAGTTATGACTTTTTTCATGGTCAAAAGTGGCTTTTAATTAATAAAAATTATCAGAAAAAATGGAAGGAATCGAGTATCCCTTTTGTAACTTTGTCAACACTATAATTGCATCATAACATAGTTCTGAATTAAATTTTATTAATATCTGATGGTAAGGAACAAAGTTTTGACTTTTTTCATGGTCAAAAGTGGCTTTTAATCAATAAAAATTATTAGAAAAAATGGAAGGAATCGAGTATCCCTTTTGTAACTTTGTCAACACTATAATTGCATCATAACATAGTTCTGAATTGAATTTTATTAATATCTGATGATAAGGAACAAAGTTATGACTTTTTTCATGGTCAAAAGTGGCTTTTAATTAATAAAAATTATTAGGAAAAATGGAAGTGATCGAGTATCCCTTTTGTAACTTTGTCAACACTATAATTGCATCATAACATAGTTCTGAATTGAATTTTATTAATATCTGATGATAAGGAACAAAGTTATGACTTTTTTCATGGTCAAAAGTGGCTTTTAATTAATAAAAATTATCAGAAAAAATGGAAGGAATCGAGTATCCCTTTTGTAACTTTGTCAACACTATAATTGCATCATAACATAGTTCTGAATTAAATTTTATTAATATCTGATGGTAAGGAACAAAGTTTTGACTTTTTTCATGGTCAAAAGTGGCTTTTAATTAATGAAAATTATTAGAAAATATGGAAGGAATCGAGTATCCCTTTTGTAACTTTGTCAACACTATAATTGCATCATAACATAGTTCTGAATTAAATTTTATTAATATCTGATGGTAAGGAACAAAGTTATGACTTTTCATGGTCAAAAGTGGCTTTTAATTAATAAAAATTATTAGAAAAAATGGAAGGAATCGAGTATCCCTTTTGTAACTTTTTCAACACTATAATTGCATCATAACATAGTCCTGAATCAAATTTTATTAATATCTGATGGTAAGGAACAAAGTTACGACTTCTTACATCTCAAAACCATGTCTTTGAATAAAATTTGTTGCATAAATTTGGAGATGAATGGGTCTCTTTTGTTTATAATTTTTTATGCTCATCTTCTCTTTATTATCCACTTTGTAAGTAGTTATTCATACTTTATAATTTTATCGGGGGCGCGGGCCCCACTCCGCGTGTCGTCCCTGGCCTTGATCACCGCGTAGCTGCTAGTTTCAGCTTCATGGTAATAAATAATTTAATAAACACTACCAGAAAAAAAAAGTATTTATTTTCATTTACAGTCCGCACTCGTATTAAATGGCGCCATTTAATTAAATGGCTAGCTGCCCAATTGAACGGATGATCTAACCAATTAGCTGCGTGCGACATATGTATGAAAATTACGATTACGCGGACCAGACGTAACTGGCGCTTTATGCTTGCCTTCCTACACTTCCGTCGTCAGTCGCGTACCTCCGTCGGTCTATCATAACAATAAACACGTTTTTTTTCTAGTCGCCTCTAGGGGTAACTAGACATTTTGGTTCCTTTTTCAGTATGCTATTTGCATTTTTACATTTTTGTGGGGATATGTATATTCCTTTATCTTATTCCATTTACCCAGAGGCCCGAGGTCCAGCAAGGAGCCCGCAAGGTCTAAGATGTTATCCCCACAGATTGTTGCTTTGCCCGCCGAGTGTATGGACTTTATCGTTGTAATTTATGCTGTATTGTGCTAAACATAGGGCATTCTAGGATTATCTAAAATATGTCTTATATAAACCAGAGTATAAACACAATGTTATGAGACACTACAATGTTATTCTATAAAATTGTGGAAAGGGATGACTCACGTTTAACAGTGTCTACCCTGCGATTTTGTAATGTAAGTTAATATAAGTTCGTTTCAACATTCGGCTTTAAACCAGACACGGTGTAGCATACCGCGAGTCATTCTTTACTTGTATGCTTGACGTACGTTACGCGACCGACGTTAACGTAGGAACTCTAAATTTGATGACAAGACAATAATGACACTATTATTTCCTAGAACTTTCCAGTAAATTTTAAATAAAACATTCTTTATTTTAATAGATACTTTTAATGATCATTTCTTCTGTAGCAATTTTAAAAATAATGTTTACATAATCACAAAAAAACACAATTGTTTGAATTAAAAATAATATGACCAAACTTCTAAAAGTTAATCATTAATGTTACCTCTAATAAATTTAAACTTCTAAGTGAAAAATATAACAAAAACGCATCTGCAAATACTGTATGTCTGATAGTTAATATCTGAGGTACAATCACCTACATTATGATTCGAACAATAACAACGTATATCAGATTATATAAAAAACTGGAACCTTACATTATTAGAAATGGCAGAAAATTTATTTCCTATCCAAAAAAAAACTTAAAAGACATACATCAAGAACTCGAAATTCTGTCAGATAAAATACATTTACTTTTTGTTAACACTGGATTTTAGTGCCTTCATAAATTACGTCGTATTGACCGGCACACCTAGATAATAAGATAATCGAGTTGTATTTTGGTATCTTACATAATAATTCTATCTTACATGCTACCATGAAATATCTGAACTATGCCGCCGCCGGCATTTCAAGTTGAGTGCACAACAAATTTTATTTAGTTACAATTTTCACTATAATAAACGCTCATCAGACGACGAGCGAGCACACTTAATTCACAATAGTTTTTCAAACATACCCCCCGCCCGCCATTACACTATTTACAATTCGGAATGAATCTCGCGTCTAAAATACACGTATCAACCAATTTCGCGAATAGAATTTTGCGACATGAGCCATCCATATATGGGCATATTATATGTCTATATATATTTTTTATTATATACAAAAGCGATAGAATACTGCTCGAAATAAATTGTTACATTGGCTTTTAGCCCGTGACGAGCCTGACAGCCCACTTATAGACGTTAACGCTAATTATACCGGTACTAAACTGACTAGACATCCCCGAACAGAAACCCGGGAACAAATCTTTATATTTACACTTTCATACCTATATCAAATTCACAACTAGCTTAACATCGCCTACCACAAATGTTTAATTAATTAATTTATATAAAGAGATACAGCGATAACCACGCCCTTTGGAAACTACGCGGGGACCGCGTCAAAAGTTCACATTGGCACGGATAGATTTAAACATTATAGTTTCGAAAAAAGTTTTTAATCTCAAAAATAACACTGAAGTTAAAGCTTCCGTATCGCATCGAAAACAGTTTTGTGCATACACGTGGAAGTCGTCGAACTAAAGCTAAGCGATTATTTTTTTTCTTTAAAAAAAACGAACTAGTACAAAACTGTATTGAAACAATGGCAACTTCACAGGGAAAGAAACGTCACTTGTCAGTCTAATATTATCAATACGAAGGAGCTACAAATTAAATATCTATATATCGCTAATGACGATTAAATTCACATTTGAGTATGGCATGTAATCACTAACGGAAACGCTTAATTCTAAAATGGAGGTAAACCTACAGAAATACACATTTTTATACAGTACATATCGATACAATATGTATACGGATATATTACAAGAAGAAAAGTTTCAACAATAATGATCGGTTAAAATCATCTCGATACATACAAAAAGAAACAAATTTGAACTTTATCGGTGACACAGTGTAAGCTTAGAAAATAAAACAATCATAACACCTAAAATGAACTACTAAAACTCAAACGGTAAGTAAACTTTAACAAAAATACATTCACCGCAACACGTTTATATCGACGCGAACTTAGCTACCGGTATACTTATAAAATTATATACAAAACAATTTCAACAATATTTATTTTTTTTATATACCTAAAAAGTCAAACCTCAATATTAAAGAGATCGCAGCTCAGTCTGAGGCGTAGCGGCGATCGCTACGGCCTTTGTATATTCCAGATATATTTAATTAGTAGCAAAATCCATGGTGGGTTTTCTCTGTCTGGACTTTTTCGGTCGGGTCGGGGCTGGCGATCCGTTACAGCAATGACAGCCCCGTTTGACGACTCCACGCCCTGAAGCTCGTCTCCTCACTTCCAAGCTGTCAGGAGACCGTTCGCCTTCTCGCGTTTTCCCCGATAGACTCCTTTCCACTTCTCCGTCTAGAGGATGGTAAGATCGTTTCGGCGGGTACGTACGCAGCGGTGGATGCGTATCGTCAGCGGATGAACCTTCAGCGCTACCGCTGCGTTCTACACCCCTCGCTTCTTTAATAACCGAGTCCAATCTCATATGGGTGCCGACGCCGCTCGAGTCTGTCGAATTGGTCTCGTCGTACGACGGACTCTTGCAGCATTTGTCACTATCGCTACTGAAGTCCAACTGTCTTCGGCTCTCCGAAGCAGAAGCGGAGTTCGACTCCCAGAACAATTCGGTGTGACGTTCCGGCGACGATCGATCGTCATCGACGTCGCCCGCCATCGATTCTAAAGTCGCATCCCTTGAACTGTCCTCTGCGATCATTTTGGCGTCATCGCCGGCTATTAATGCATCCGGTTCGTCCATTAGAAACCTGTTGTCCCTTTTGTCTTCCTCGTAGCAAACCCTCCTGATGACTTGAGTCGCGTTGCCGGCGGAATGGACTATAGCAGAAGCTGTATTGGAAAGATGCAACTCGCGGGTATCGCTAAGGATGTTGTCGAATCTGGTCAGGCCGTCGTCTTTGACGAGTACAGAGGCTAGGTTAATATTTGCAGTGTTAGCCGTTGGCAGAGTATGGATCATGTTGTCTATGTCGTATTTAACGTTGTGGCCGTTGCTGCCCTCAGCGGTGGCCTGGGATATGACAGTGGTCTGAGGCGTGCTCATCAGTACTGTAGCCGGGGCGCGGTTCGAATGAAATATCGTCGACGTTATGTGACGACCTTTCAGACCGGCTATTGTGAACGGTTGTACCTATAAAAATAACGTCCGATTGTCAATTTTAATAAATATAACATTATTCAAACACATGACGATCGCTAATATCTGTAGTAACCCTAAAGTGCACCTGTCAATGAAGCGAAACTTTTGCGGCCACCGCCCGCGCCTTAATCGCGTTGTTAACGTGCACACGTTTAATGTAACTCCTTTGACTATGCCACACCATTAAATTCTACTCAATTGCCGATTAAGGGGTGGTCACATAGTAATTTCAAAGAACATGCGACAATTGCAAAAGTTTTAGCCTTGTATAAGCTCTAAAATGTATAGATACGACGTGTGTAAATTTTTTGAAACATATGACTGGGGGCACAAAGTCTGTCAAAAGATTAATATAAAATGAAGTGCAAATATAACAAGTAAAGCTAAGAGAATTCTATGGCTTAAAGAGATTAACAATATGCATTTGATATGACTTGTCCTAATTTTGTCAAAAAAATCAAAGAAGTTTTTTAATCGTCTCCATACCTCTCCTTCGTCCGTCGGCTCGCTATGAAATGTAGTGTTGGGATGAGATCTCGCAAACTCCTCCTGGTCTAAAGCGATGGTCGCTTGCATGCCATCCTCGCTCACAGTCACGATGCCAACGTCTTCCAGGCCCAGGTTCAAATCTTGTTGGTCTTCAGACATGTCGTTACGCGAGAGCAATTGGTCAGTCGCTATTTGATCATCTATGTCCGGTTGCGGTATCCCACTCTGATTCAAGAAGGTCGGTTGCGCTTTAAGTAAATAACAATAGATTAGGCGTTTCCTAGTTAGGCTATGCCTTATTCTAAGTTAGTGAAAACAGTTGTTAAGTCACTAACGATCAGTTTTACAAACGTCCACTAAGGTTTAATGACGCCTTTAAGCTCTAATGAATGTCAGATCTGTATAGATAATGGCGCTCTAAACTAATGAAGTAAAATGGACGTTTGTGTAACTGGCTGTATCAGCCTTAATCCTACCCTGACGCCGTGTAATGAACCATATATTCTTTTCTTAATGAAAAATGCTTACAAAATCCACTAGTCCCCTGTGATAGGACTCGAACCCACGCTATCCGAGCGACTGCTCTAACCATTGAGCTACCAGAGGCCCAACAGGACTGATGAATTTATCAAGCACTTGTTACTTTCTGTTACTAGCGAGCGTATTTTCATCAATGTTCATCTGGGACTAATGGTTTTTTGAAGCATTTTTCATCAAGAATAAATACCAGCATTATGAATGCAAAATTGATTAAATATGATAATAGGGATGACGAATAATGTTTGTCCGTCAGGTAGATTGTTGAGAAATATTAAATACGTATTTTCTTATTTTTTGCGTAATCAATAAATAATATTGAGTTGAAATGTCGCATGACGTAACTTTGTACATTTTCTACAAATTATCTAAGACGTTTCTTGTTTAAATTGAAGCAAAAATAAAAACGTATCAAATATTTTTCTATTATCTGACAGTCGTCATCCCTATTAGTATACAGAACTAGAAAAGCTATGCAATACCAATGTTTCTTTCACTAAATATCTTAAACTTGAGAGTTCACCAAACATTCTGCGGTAAGATTTTTTTCTAAGCTTCGAGAGATATAATTTTACAAACTCAAAACAATCTTACGTGTATGAGAATGATGACCTTGCTCTTGGGTGTGATCATGAGCGGGCGACGCAGCAAAGAGCAGCTCAGCCTCGGGAAATAACTCCGATGCCGATGGGGAATCCACGCCGAGATCTTCGCACTCCTCAGATAAGGATTTCTAAAGACAAATTAATAACTATAAAAGCCCAAGTTATGTATAAGTGATGAATATAACATATGAAAGTTATGTACAAGATATTCATTATTTTTTACTTATGAATTAGTAATTTTTAATAATTAGTTTTAGATTACATATATTTTGCCAAGAAAATCTAACGTGCGTGTAACATAATGCCTATGTATCAGCTATCATTGTCATCATAACATATTTACAATTATAAGAAATTGAATTGTGGACTCCTGAAAGTCTTAAAGGTTGTAAATTATAATTTAAAACATGTTTATTAATATTTGTTTCTATTATACCTCATGATCGCTATATTGCTGTTAAAATAAGTATACAATGGATTGACGTCATAATATGGCGGAAATTAAAGTTTGGTGCCGAATTAAAATATAACAGTTATAAATTTCTCATATTATCTTGTACAATTTGCGAAAAAAATTACCTATATTGACACATACCCGTATACTTTCATTTTAAAGTATTTTAAAAAAATTGACAATATTATTTGTAAATAAATTTACCGTCAGTATGATCTAGTTTTTATTGCTGAAGTAATTTATTTATTATGATAGTAAAAAGCGGTGTCATATTACCTGTAATCTTAGTTCGTGTTCTAAGATGGCATATTTATGTCTCAAAGCTGCAGCAGAGACGTGTGTCAGTCTGTGCTGGCGGTGCGACGACCCATCCTTCTTCTGTACGACCTAAAGATTAAATAGCTTATTCTCTCAACGCATACAATGATTAGGTTCCTATAGAATATTTAATACGTATACTAAAGATACTTGAACATTTATGGCAAGCATAAGCCATTTCAATGATTTGTAAAATAATTATTGTAATTTTTGTAAAATCATTAATTGTATTCTGCAAAGCTTAAATTTTAGTCTTTTTTCAATCTTTTTTTTTTTTTCATTATGTGAACATCAACTAATGAATATACTAATTGAGGAACAATGAGCATCTGATGTTGGGGACATGCACGATAAAGATGCAGGGATTTACTCGACAATGATGGAAGACAGAATTATTTTTCCGACATGCAAAAATTTAAAAAAATCACCAAATCTAATCGACTATAGACAATGATCATAAAGAAAATTATTCCTATGTACGAGTTGATGAGTAAATTAGAAAAATGATATAACAAAGATTTAAATTAAGGGGCAAGAATCAATATAAGACCTAATACACTGTCCATTTTCCGTTCTTATAAAGGAATGCCTAAAGGAGATCTAGATGCGACATTTTTAACGCAAAGCTCAGTTTGCATATAAATAATATAAAGCTAAGCAATGTGTTGAACAGCATTTTGCTATAAAATTTAAGCTTAGTATCGATTTATTTGTAAATTGATTATGTTATAATGTCGCTTCTACATAAACAGTACTCAGATAAAAAAATGATGATAGTTTATAGCATGAAAACTTGTAATTAATAATTTATATAGTATGTAGAACATTACATTTTTTTCAGAGTACTGGTATTAATAATGGCACACCAGCACAGAACGAAAAGCAGACAAAATAAATTGAGGCGTGCACGTTCTACTTAAAAGAGGCATACTAATTCTGAACGACCAGCGTCAGATCTACGATATGATCACCTGATGGTAAGCCTTATCGTCGCAATCTGACGCGTCAATATCGTAAGCGCAACGCGGCGAATCGTCGTGCGAATCGCCCATATAAGACTTTTTCGACTCAACGTCGAACATCTTATCAAATATCCTTTGCGCCTCCATATCGGGACTGTATCGATCTTGGATCGGATCCTGAAGTTTCAAAACGTGTCAGAGAAATAAATTTATTAGAACCGTTCACTGGATATTAATATTTGATCAACTCAAATTTGTGACCCTCAAACGTTATCGAGTAGTTAAAAGTGAGAGGTATGAAAGCATTACTAAACAATACTTACAAGTACAGTTCTGTCCAAATTGTCGGTTCGCACAGTCTCTTCATAGGAGTAGTCGTGAGCATCGCCAGACGATGGGAGATTCCATGGCTCGGAACCCTCGGGACTCGACGCCCGTTCAGGTTTAACATCTTGCATATCCCTTTCGGTCCAAGGTGAGCTTGTCGCTCTAGTATCTACAAGTTCTGGTGGAGTAGGCGCCGGGGCTGGGGAGGCGGTACTATCAGGTGGTTGAATAGTTGTGGCAGTAGCCAAGTTAAAAGCCTGAAGATTATGGAGTGCTGCGGTTGGCAATCTCACGTGACGTACTCCCGGGCGAGCGAGAACTGGCTTTAAACCAGCCGGTCCTATCAAACGTTGCAACAACAAGGCATTCGTCGCACCTCCTTCACCTCCTCCGACAGTCAACAATTTAGGACCACGGTTAGTCACAATAGCGATCTGTTGGCCCCCTTTCACCATAGAGACTGGTAGAATGTAATTAGCTGGCATCAAAACCGCTGTTGCCGGTTTCCCAGCGGTACCCCTGGCTACGGCGATCGTCTGTCCATCGGCCACTATGACGTTACGTTGTGGTTGTGGACGAGGTTGGGGCGTCGGAGTTTCTTGTTCGAATGTAAGTTTTCGGACCACTTTTCGCGGACTATCTTGAGGTGAATGACTTTCCAAGCAACTTTCGTTGCAGTCGCCTTGTGAAGTTCCACAGCTGCTGTCTTCTGATCCCATAGTTCTACATGTATCTTCACCATGCACAGGACTAAGTTCTCGTACTCCATGTCGACGTGAACCACTAGAACTTTTCTTGCGCTTTGAAGAACCTGGGTTTGATGGAGGGTTCGATCTTCTGCGTGGCGCTGGTTTATCTTTGTCTGGAGAATTTTCAACCTGTTCCTTATATTCAGCCAAGATATATAATATTCTTTGTGTAGTTTGTTCATCCTCCAATGGCTTTTGAGCAGAAGTTTTTGGAGGCACAGTATTCAATTTCAAATTATTTGGAGGGTTCGAAGATGCTTTAGGCCTAGATTTTGATTTAGAACTAACTTTAGTTGGCTTCGGCTGAGTAGACGGTTCATTTTGGGTAGTGTCTGATGTTGCAGTATGGGGAATTTGAACATGATTGGATGAATTTGGAGAATCTACAATACCTGTTGAATCTGGTGATCTTGCAAACGCCGTGCTTGTGGGCGTAGTAACTGTAGCTTTCCTATTTACATAAGCTACGTTCAGCGGCTGATTATTACCAATTGAATAAAGAACTTGTTGCGTATTTTCAGTTGTCGTAGAGTTGGATGATACGCTACTATCAGTGGTATCTGTAGATGGTGTATGTAATTTTGGAAATGTAGTATTAGCGCTGGAATTAGGCTGCACAGTGCTTCTTTCCTTAACTTGTTCTAGGACCATATCAAACTCCCGTAATTGTTCTAAAGTAGAAGAACTCATTTGCGATTCCGCTGATGACTGATTTTCGGTAGGAACTTTAATTTGTCTGCTTGTTTGTGACTGTGGAAGGCGTATAGTCTGTTGACCAAGTGGTGGCGCAGCGGTTAAGACTAGTTGTTGGTAAACCGGTTGATTAGCACCGCCTATCACATTTCTTTGTATCTGGAAAAATGATGGCCTGACAACTCTTGCTCCTGAAACCATTTGAGGTGCTTTACTTAACATTGGCAATTTAATTCGCATTTGAGTCAGTACTGGTTGCGGTTGTGAGTTCTGTGTATTTTCATTTGAAGCACTTATAGGTACATTAGCCTCTTCTGAAGGCAGCTCGTTAGTGGAGTTTTGACTTTGAGGCACTATTTTAATTATTGATTGTTCTAATTCATTTTGGCTGCCAGATTGTTGCTTAGGAGCAGAATCATCAATCAGCTCAGTACTCGGTACCGTTATCAAGTTTATTGTTTGTCCTCCCCCTATATTAACAGGTATTTGTCTTGTATATATTACTCCACCATGCATAGTCTGTATGTTCATAGGAGCAATAGTTTGTTTAAGTTGTTGTACCAAATTAGCAGGTGACTGAGATGTTTGAGGTGATTTTCTTAAAAGCAAAGGTGGACTGCTGATTTGGCCAATGTGATCCAAATTTATCGAGTTATCATTCGATTGACACTCATTATTGTCATTGCTATTGTTAACGGGCTGTAAATGAGAATTGTTACTATTTATTTCACTTTTCTGATTACCATCTTGAAATACTGGTTTTCCAAAAGCTTGATTAAACTTAGGCAAAGTCGTAGATTTCTCTGATATCGATGATTTATTAGAAGAGTTTTGTATGAATTTCGCATAGTTCTCTTCATATACTGAGCGTGATTTGATTTCTTGCTGAGAGTTATTATCTTTTGTTGGTAATGCATTCGTGTTAGAATTTGGACTAGCATCTTGATTTTCGGGTGCTTTCGGTGGAGGAGGTTGGACAGTTACATTTGGTGACTCAATAGGTTGTAATCTTAACACCATGCTACGTTGATGAGGAGCATTAAGTTGGATTGACTTTCCGTCGGCGGACTTACATACAAACTGTACCATTTTTTGTTCATTTGAACCTTGTACATTAGCTATATTTGTCAATAAATTAACTCTTTTTAAAAGCTGGCCAGGGGCGTTATTATTTTTTTGGCTGCCTGTATTGACTATATGGAGAAGTTGATTACCTCCTTGCTGGAGACCCGCGTCAACTAACGATAAGCTGCTGAAAGAATTTGATTGCGGTGTGGCTGTGCCGTTGGAATTGGCCGCCGTTGTTCCGGCTTTATTTTGAACAATATGCAAAACTGGTGTAGAGGCTGGATTGCTAATGACAGATTGTTGAGAGTTATCTACTAGCGTAATCTGACTTCCGGTGGCATTTTTGCCTTGAACTATATGTAACACTTGTGGCGTAACTTGAGAATTAGAAGACTGTTGATGGTTTTCATTAATATTTGTTTGATTTAATGGTGGAGGCAGTATCTGAGCTAAAGCTTGTTGCAGTGACATTGCATTTATAGCTGTGGTTTTAGGGTATGTATTAGCAGCAGATTGTGCCGTCCCTAGGGTTCCTTGGCGTAGTTTCTGAGACAGTATATTAACCAAGGCATGAGCTCTAGCATTTGTCACGGTTTCAGGTGTAGTGGTGATACCAGCGGCATTCATTGCATGTGCGATTTGGTCGGTTTTCTCCGATGTCCCATTTTGTTGGTTTTGATGCTGAGGATATGTATCACTATCTTTTTGTTTCTCAGGCGAGTTATAAATATTTTGAAAGTCGGATTCAGGCTCTCGGGTTACCGTACTCGCGGTATTATTCGATTGAAATGAATATTCAGTATGATCGTTTTTGTTTGCTACTGACTGAAAATCACTATTTTCAAAACTATCTCTATTTTCTTCTTTTACTTCTGATATTTCCTCCAACTCAATTTTTACTACAGATTTTATTTCTGTCTCAATGGGTATATTCTCATTAGATATTGATAAATCGGAAACATTTTGAGATTCGTTTGCTAAATTTTGATTGTGCTGCGCATATTCTTGTACTAAGGGCAGAGTTAAATCGGCTGTCGTTAATTCTGTATATTCAGTTTTAATGGCAACTTGTGAATCGTCTTGAGGGCTGTTTTCAACAGAACATTGAGATGGGCTAGCATCAGACACTTGAGTTACGCGTGGATCACAAGTAACGGGATTTTGCGCTGCAGCACTGACGGGTAGCTGACCCACCTGTACAACTTGTACTACAGCCTCTATCGGTGATGGTTCTATAAAATCAGTAAGGTATAGATCAAACGGATAATCACTCGTATAATTGTTCGATGTTTTCCAATTAAAAGCATTGTCTTTTTCTTTTCTTATTAAGTCATTGCTCAGTTCTAAAGAAGTCTTTTTAAAGAATGATCGTACCTTATCCCTCAAGTGAATGTACGTGATGTAATGCTTTAATTTTTCAATTTGGTCATTCGTAGACTTTTCTTGATAACAGTCGTCATAGTCTTCGGACAATAAAAACGGCTGGGGTTGTTTTACGTCCGACAGAGTCGCAGCCGAAAATTTTGAAACTTCACCTACATCTTCCAAATTTTGAATGACTCTGTCGGACCCCTCACCAAAACCCATATTGAAATTAGATTCATCAACGGTTTTAGAAAGTGGTCCAGGTTCACTGTATATTTTATTAAGTTCGTCCAAAAACGACATATCTGTTGGTTTTGGCGAGGTATTATTTTCAATAATATCATCATCCGTAAACAACATCTCATTGTATACAATTTCTTCTGAATCATCATCGTATGTCCTACATATACCCTTAATGGGCCAATTTTGAATTAAGCCTTCCACATCAAGAAACTCTTTGTGAAATGGTTGTGAGAAGGAGAACTTCAAGGAGGTGCAGTAATCAAAAATTCGTTTATACTCTTTGCTATAAGCAGAGCTTGCTGGAGAATTTCTTTGATTACAATCTATTTGTTTTCCTCGTCTATACCTTTTTCCTAAATAAGTCATATCCGTCATGTCTAATTTTCGTTTTAAAATATTTGATTTTATTTTTTTAAGATTTATACATCTGGCTGTAAGTCTTGAGTAGGTATTTTTGGGAATCTTTACTTTTAAATCTTCTTCGAGTAAATCACTATCATCGATATGTTTAATGGTATCATCGTCGTCAATTTCTTGTATAACTCGCACTACTTCTTCTACTTCATCACTTTCATCAACTAAAGGAAATACATAGCATGTCCCTACTACTGGGTCTTCATATTCGATTCCTGATAAAACCAAATCTTTTTTATCTTTGTAAACTAAAGTAACGTGTTTTTTTGGATTTCCAAAACTTTCTCTAAATGATTCTAGATCTTCTATATTAGCTTCATAATTGATCAGTTCTTCCGAGAGTGTGTCACTTAAGGAACGGACTTTTAAACTTTTAACTGCATTTTCATCAATCTTAGTTTCTTTATTATTTAAATCCGTTTCTTTTGTATGCGTTTCATTAACGTATGCGTATCCATGATTTATCAATTCAACGGAAGTCAGATTATGCGTTAATTCATCTTGAATATCATTATATTGTTTTTCTGTATAACTTTCTTTATCGGAGTCCTTTGACAATGACGTAATCACTGTCTTTTGTTCATTCAAATCAAATTCAGTTTGTTTATTACCTATAATATTAACTTCACTATTATTTATTTTTAATTTAATAACATTTTCATCACAATAACCATAACTTTTGAGTAATGAATCTTCTGGGGTTTTATTTCGTGAAGATTCACTAACTTTCTGTTGATTATTGCAACCTTGTGCACAAAAATCTTCTTTAGTATCTTCATGACATAGTTTAGAAACTTTTGATGTTTTAAAATTTTCATCTGTCGCATCGCAATTGTTTTCAGACAAAACAATTTCCTCATTCTGTAAAATATTTTCACATGCTACTCTCGTCTCGGAGCCGAGTTCTCGGTGAACTGTTTGAATCGGTATTTTTGGGACGTCATGTTTTACAACTTCAGTCAATACAGAATTTGATAATATGTTCTCATTTATCACGCTATTTTCCCTACAATACAGGAGTTTCTTGCTTTGTAAACAAATATCAGTTGAACAATTTGTTTTGTTTTCACACTCTGCAATTATTTTACCCACTTCATGGTCATTAACTTCATCTGATTTTGATCCCTCCGAATTTATGGTTATCGTGTCGTCTCTTGCAGATATATTGTTAGGTGCTCCGCTTTGAGACTCGTCGTCAATGGTACAACTAAAAACTGGTAAGGCAGTAATCATCCTTACTGGATTTTTATCCATGCAAACATTCGTTGAATCCTCCGAAAGTGAAACATCTTTAACGACAGATGATTTTTCTACACTGCGTCTGTTTAGATTGTACGAATCGGTATTAATATTTATATGATTTAAATCTTGTGTGTTACTTTTATTTGCGAGGTTTATAATTTTATTGTTTTGGAGTAAAGCTTTAGTATCTTTGTTTGCATTTATTAATTCACTATCAATAACACAGTTATTTGTTTTCTTTATATCAATATCTTCAGACATTATAAGCAATGACTGAGCGCACTTAGATACGTATTCTGGAAATAAAATTTGTTCATTTACATTTTCTTTTTGGAATCTTTTATCTATTTCGGGTTCTGTTTTTATGCTTTGTTCATCATTTGCATTTCTATCGAAAATCGTTTTACTAAATGTTAGTGCAACGTTATCGGGTACAAAAACATTGTCCGTCAACTCTTTGGTAGTTTTATGATCAATCACTATGGATAATTCACTAGTAAATGAAGCGAGTTCTGTATCTCTTAACAAAGTTGGTTCTGGCGTGTTTGCTTTTATTTTACTCTGAAATTCAACATCATTTACGTGATGAATCAAGTCAGTACAAGGTTCAACGTCAAGTAAATGTTGCAAACACGGTGATTTTCCGACGTCGTCAGAGTCTAAATTGGAACAATCAGCACAGTTTTTCTTTTTATGTATCTTACATACATCACTAGGAACGTCTTTTTGAAGCTCTTCAGTTGAATCAGAGTCTTGGAGAGACCATTTATTTTGAACATCTAATTTTCGATGGTATGACATTGTTTTTAATATTTTACTAGCAAAAGCTTTAACATCCACACATGGCAATTTTCTTTTCAATTGGTGAGACGGACTTTGCAAAGCTTTCTCATTTATTTTATTATTATTATGTGCGCCTGATTTGCCATAAATAAGGAATTCATCAAGCATTTCGCTATTTCGAAATATATTGGCGGTCAATGTTTTTAAGGAAGGTACCTCTTTCTTTACAAATGTCGCATTTGGATCACTTAATGTGTCACTATCATCAAAACCCAAATTATTATCGGATGCTTTGTTGTATTCCATTTCCAGAATTTTACTGTCAAAGTTATATTTACGCTTTGTTTTCAACCATTCACTAGAGCATGATAGTGGAGTTTTGTCTGATATGACAATTGGACGTGTTGACGTTATAACGTTAACGGTGAATGAGTCTTGTATACTGTTCCCCATAGACGTATCAATGTTTGAGGTGAATAATTCCATTCCGTTGCATCTATCTCTCAGTATTTTACTTTCATAATGAATATCACGTTTTGTCTTACACCATTCGCTAGAACACATCAATGGCTTGTCGTCCGCCAGGACGACACTATCGTATATTTTCTCCACCTCGTAAGAATAATTTCGAAAAGCTGCAATAGTTTCAAAAACCTCTATTACGGGTGAACTCCTTTCGTCATCATATCTCTCTCTTGGTGATTCGTTTTCTTCCGGATAAAATGTAAAATCATTGAGCAGAGAAAATGAACCGCTTCGAGACAAAAGGTGTGCTGTTTCACTATCTGCGAGGTCCACTTCAGAGTCCACATTAATGAATTCATCAGAACCTAATAAATTGTTTTCACTATCATCATAATTAGCCACGATCATGTCATCACACCTCGTAAGATTAACTGTACATCGCTGATTAACAATCTTCTTATGTTCATATTTTTTTACTAAATTATCACATCTATTTAGTTCAACAGTGCATTCCATTAATGGGATAGTTTTTGAAACATCAGTAGAAGAATTGTCAGCAGAAGGTAGAATTTCATTATCTGTCTCCACAACACCAAGATCCTTTAATAATAAATTCTTTAATTCGTTAATTTTTTCTTCTGCTTTTGAACCATTTTCATGTGTCGTAGGAGGTGAATCATCTTCATCCTGTATAAATTGATTCGACATAATCTGACAGTCTTGTAACAAGTTTAAGCTATCGTTAGATGAATCATCAATTTCGATAACATCTGAATTTGTGGTGGTTATAATATTTTTATCAGGCAAAATATTTTTATCGGGCAAAACATTTTTATCAGGTAAAACAAAATCCATACTTGCTGATTTGTCGTTGTCCAACGACAACTTCTTATCTGAAGATTGGTCAATATTTGGTACAGGTTTATAATGATCAATGGCTCTCTTGTTATCTGAAACTACATCCACATCTAAATCATCATCGGTATCATATGTTTTTCTTTCTATATTCTCAGTGCGAATCAATTTTACAAAACATTTTTGCGATAGTTTCTCCTCATGTTTATCAAACAGTAGCTTGCTTAATGGTGCAATTTTGCATCCATTGAATTCAACTTCAGCAGTTTTAATATGATCGATGTCATCTTCTTCATCGTCGCTTAATAAGTCAACAGTTTCAATAACATTCAATTTGGATTGTAATTTGATTTCTTCTATACGAGTGCCAACAATTTTGGATGGATCTCTCACATCCGCCGTGGATACTTGTTTGATATTTAAAGTGTATCGTCTAGTCGGATTAATATTTGATAGTAAAGTATTTTTTATTGAAGGATCAGAAAATAGGGATTCAAAACTGACATGCATTTTTCCAAAAACGGTGGCTTTAAATACTTTACCATTAGATAACTTAATTCGCACACATTTCTTCTCAGGATTGTCATCGTTAGATGGCATTTCTTCAATGGTGATATTACTTTTTAAATAATCTAAACTGCACTTATCATTTTTGTTTTTTAATTTTTCTTTGTCTTGATTATTATCTGATATTTTCGGTTTTATTATATTAGTAGGTAGTCGTACATTCTGGTCATCATCAGTCACAACCGATTTCGAAGAATTAATATCATTCACAGTGTTATTACTAAATGTTTTATTTTGTAAATTTTTATCTTGCGTCTTAGAAAGCGATTTAAAATTATAATCATTAATCTCGTTACGCTTCTTTGCTATTATGATGTCGGTATTATTTTCTCTTATTACAGAAGTCTCAATAAATTTAAATCCCGATACCAATGGCTCAGATTTATTTGCATTGGGAATAGTATCATTCAGTAAACTAATCCTTTCAAAATTGTATTTATTGGACATTTGTGACGGAAGTGAATTATCAATATCGCTGACAGATTTTGAAGCCTTTTTTAAATGACAGTCTAATTGAGGTATTTTTAATAACAAGCTTGAAACTTCATTAGAATCTGTCTTTAACGCTTTTATCTCTGATTCAACAGGTGCTTTATAAATATTGGGTGTGCAATTTGATTGTTTTTTATTTTTACAATCTTTGTCTTTAAACTCACTGCATATTAAATTACGCTTTACAGAATCCCCAGGCTTTACATCAATGGTGGTAAGAGCCTGATCTTTTTTCGTTTCCATATCTTTACATTGATTCTTATCAGCATTTGGCAGCATCGTTTCTTTTATTATTTTAGCGCCTATTAACGTTTCCTCGACGTCAATGAAATTTAAATTCGTATCCATAGATGGAGTTTTTAGAGGTTTTTTCTCACTTGATTTTTCTTTTTTCCCACTCTTTTTAGCCAAAGTTCTGCTTGATGTCGAACAATTTTTAGTTTTCCTCTTCTTCGCTTTATTTTCGATTTTTATAATTATTTTAGGTACCTTTTTAGTTGATGGTATAACATTAACTTTCGGAGCTTTCCCTATTAGTTTAGGAATCTTCTTTGGTAATTTAATAATCTTTGAATCTTGATCATTGACATCCAATTGTTTTCTCTGACGTTTTTTCTTTTTGATTTCTTGATCTAACGTTTGTTCTTTTAGCTTTACTTTTGATGTCTTAATAACTATCTTCGGAATATCAAATTCAGAACCCTCTATATCGTTAGATCTCAATAAAATACTACGTGTTAATGTCGTAGTTTTATTATCTATCCTACTGTCCTTACCTTGTGTTTCACTTATAAGAGTTTTTTTCTGATCGTCAATATCATTGACAATGAAGTCATGGCGTTTTGTTTCTTTAGGTATTGCTAAATTAGCCACTTTATTTAACTGGATGGTATGCTCGCTTTCGTTACTGTTATATTTTAATGGCGTGTAGTTCAAAGGAATAGGGGGATAATTAGATCTAGTGTTAATTTGTCTACTCAAAAGCGCTAACCGTTTATTTTTGATTCTTTCCTTATCCTTTGGGTTCTCTATATTTCTCATTTTTTTAATAAAATGCTTTGGTTCTTTTAATACTTTTAACTCATTACAAGTTGTATCAAATTCACTATAGCTTTCCTTTTTATCATTAGATGTTATTGGTTTATATTTAGAAATTAATGTATCCACAGACTTCTGTTTTTCTTGAACTTCTTTCAAAACCTTTCTTATTGCATTAGAATTGATATCCTTAGGATTTACTTCATCTTGTTTCATCAATACCTCGTTTTTATTGTCAAGAACAAATTTATTTATATTGATTTGACTACACTTCTCATTATTACAATTAGTATTAAACGTTTTCATTATGTCTTCATTCACATTAGGTTGAACAGGCTGTGTTAAGTTCTGATTCTCTGAATCTGTGAGAAGATCGCATGCTTTGATTGTAGGGTCTTTTTCGGTATTGGAATTAATGTTATCTAATTGAATAATTTCTCTACACATTTTTGATATTGCATGAGATTCAATATGTGATGTTTTTATACTTTGTTGATTTATTGATTCACCTAGAGATGTTTCGTGTGAGGATGATTGTGTAGTCATAGCATTCCCGATTATTATTGGGTTCACAACGGGGGCCGCAAATTGGGTTGTTTGAAATACAGCTATATTAGGTGCATTATTGAATGTCACGTATGGTGTTTGATTAACAGTACAGACACCAGTAGAGTGAAGTTGAGATTGAATAGAATATGGATCATAAACTAATTCAGATCCTATGAGAACTACATTTTGCAAGGACGCTTGAGGTATCGCCGTAATGATTACATTTCTTGAATCCACTAAGTTTATTTGATTAGCATTTACCTGCTGAGAACACTGTTCAATATTACCACTGCAGGGTACGTTAGAATTAACAGGCTGATGTATGACTGTAGGTTTATTAACAGTACCATCGGGTACAGTTTTATTAACTTCAGGCAACTGTTGTATAGTTGGAATTTCTAATTGTTTTGACATTGGTGTTGCTATTTCATTTAAGGTTACCAATTTATTTTGGCACTGTACACTTGCTTTGTTACTATTTATTATTATACTACCTCGACAAGATTGTGGCGCATTTGACTCTTGCGAGGTATGATTATTTCCTTTTTTAGGTAAAACATTTTTAATTACACTAGTACATATATTGGTATTTAAAGTTTTTGTCGATTTAACACTACTACTAGTTACTGTTGAATATGAATCCTCATCAGATGACAATTCTCCAATTTCTTTACGTAGCTCGTCATCCATTAACTCTTCTAACAGGTCATAGTCTGAATTCGACATTCCTGATATAAATGGATCTTTTTGTGGAATCAAGTCTGTTGTACCAGATTTCTTTGTTGGTGCTCGTTTACATTTTTCCATTGGTTTTTTCGCAATATCCTGATGTATTGGTAAGTGCTTGCTTTTGAACTGTGCTTGAACACAAGGCTGACGTAGAATATCTTGAGGATAAGTTTGTTTCCTAGGGTGTTTTGATGCCTGTTTACAAGATTGCTGACGCTGTTGACAAGTAGCCGGTGAAGTATTAATTTGAATAGTTTCTTTTACTGATTTCTTTGACGTCTCGGGAATTTTAATATGTTGCATTAATTTATCTACTTCAGGCATATGTTGACTTTTCAGTAAAGCTGTAGTAGGTTTAGCAGGTTGTAATTGTGATGAATTCACATTTGTAGAGAGTGATACTGACGACTGTGCATATGTCATAACACGAGGTTGTGAATTTATTTTTAAAATAGATGATTCTGTAGTTACGGGAGTCTGTTTAGCTATTTGAGTCAAGTTTTTATATTCCTTCATAGTTTCATTTACAATATTTGGTTTCACTATTCGCTGAGTACGCAAAGTTTTATCTGAATAAGTAGCTTTTTTCAATGTCATATCTAAGGCGTTGGGGCCTCTGCTTGGTGTTTTATGGGATAAGATAGCATTCATAACTTCTTGCCAATCTTCTGAAATAGGCCCTGCTGTTCCAGTATTTATTTGGGCGGGTTTCTCGGTGATATTTGTGTTGACAAAATTTCGACTTGGCGAACAATTCACAGTCGTTTTTTCCTCCAAATTTACTTTTTTAGAAGAAACTGTCTTACTAACTTTAGAAGCCTGACAGTCTATTTTCATTTTAATCATATTTTGTGGCATATCTGCTCCTGCCTTGACTTTAAGCCCCTCATTACTTTGATTGATCTTTTTATACATATTAGGACAGACATCTATAGGATTTTTTATCACAGTGCCACTTACTGACGTAACAGGATTATATATAAAATTATTTCCTTTGGGTATTTTTGGACATTGTGATTGATTTACAATCTTATCTATCTTACAAGGATCTGTATTTGAAACAGATTTTGTTGATGTTGTTGGAGTGTTTAATTTGTTCTGCTGTCGTAATAAAAGTAACAAATCCTTTTGGTCCTTCTCTGATAATGAAGTTTGTTTCAAAACGCTGTTAGTCTTCCTTTCAGGCTGTTGTGGAGTAACTTTAATATTAGATGTGTTTGTGTGAAGTAGATTCGAAAGAAGCGGATGCTCTTGAGATACCGAAGTATTTTCGACTTTACGAAACATAAGGTTTGAGCTGTCGTTGTTAGATGCACTTTGCGAGACATTACCATTCCTAGATAAGATGACATTATCTTTGTTATATTGCAGATATTTCTGTTTCGATAGTTTTTGCTCTTCTATAGACCGACGTAACAAAATCTCTTGTTGGTTTTGTATGGCCTCAGTATACTGTTGTTTGTTCTTATGCATATAACTAAGACGCGCAAATGTATTTAACTGTGTTTCCATTTTCTTTCCTTGGTTATTCGTTTTGGCACAATGAGAAGATGTAGGCTCGACCTTGCTATTTACATTAGGTATTACAGGAGATACTTTGGATATCGGTTTTAATTCTTTCTTTGATTTCACATCTTTGTTAGTATTCTTCTTAATGGCTTTATTATTGCGCCGATTAGTTCCAGCATTTGTCGATTCATGTAATTCTTTAAGAAAGTCTTGTAAGCTTTTCTGAGATAATGTACTAAAACTTTTATTTGTACAAGGATTGTAGGGCATTATATTCGTTGGTGAAGGTGAGTTGGTATGAATTTCTGCAAAATTACTTTGCTGTTGAGATGTTCCCGCAATCGGAGTATTTTGATGGCATGTTGGTAGGTTAAGACATTGGTTGGATATGGTCTGCGGAATTTCAGATTGATTTTGTTTCCTCATATATTGGATTACGGGTTTAGAAAATTTTGTTTTAAAATATACATCAACCTCATCCTTTATCTCTTTAATTTGATCCATTTGTTTTTTATTTATATAGACTTTAGGTATTTCTGGAACTTCAACTGCTTTTGGGCTAATTATCGATTGTTCAGGAAACACTGGCTGCATTATAGCATTCGGCGATCTGGTAGGCGTCGTATGACATGGACTAGACGGTGAAGACAATCTTTGCGCTTGTGCCAACAAATTTCTTTGTTTTCTATATTCTAACAGTCCTGCAATTCGTCTTCGTACTTCATCGTGAACTGTATTAACATTCTTCGGCGTACTATGGTTTGTTAAATTTTGATCAGTTTTAATATTTTGCGAGTTGAGTTGATCAAAATCGGGTTTTTGTAACGTTTGATTAGTTTTGATCGCTACTTGGCCGTTTGAAAAACTAATCTCGCTGTTAGATAAAGAACTTCGCCGATCTGACAGCGGGTCGTACTTTTCAGGTGATCTGTAATCGTCCATAGAAAACAAGCCATCGAATAAAACGTTCGATTCGGTTTCCTCGGAATTGAGCGATGCCAAAGAAGATTTGCCTTGACTGTCGTAATCGCTGTCTGTAACGCAAGGCGGCACTTTCGTTTCAGAGTTTTTCTTATGCTTAGCCTCGGGTATTTTTATATTCGCCACCTTCATACCAATGAGACTAGTCAAAGAGCTAGGTTTGCATTCAGCCATAGGTGCATCTTTAAATTCTTTAGATTTTTTCTTTCGAGGTTTCTTTTCTTTCTTCTCCTTATCTTTCTTTTCTTTATTTTCCTCTTTCCGCCTATCGCGGCTTCTCTCTTTATTTTCAGTTGAATCCCCAGTGGATTTGGGTTTCTTTTTTCGTTCTTTCTTCTCTTTAGTTGCAACCTTCTCTTTACTTCTTTCCTTGCTGTGTGGTCTCTCTTTCTTCTTTTCACTCTTCTTCGTCTCGGCGACAACGCTCAGTGGATCACAGTCTTCATCAGAGGAGATCGCAAGCTTTTTCGTTTTCTTCTTTCGTCTTCCTGGTGTAGAGACTATTTCTGTGTCTGTGAAACTGTCCGTCTGTATCTGTTCATAGTTAAACATAACATTTGGTGATAACGGTTCTTCTTGCAGCTCTACGAGATGTTCATAACCTAATGTTTGGGAAAAAATAAGTAGTTTTAATATCAAATTTCAGAATTATAAATTATATATTTTAATATTCTCATTATAATATATATTAATATTCGCATTTCTTTTGGCAATTACAAACATACACAAATATCTTTCTGTAAACCTAATTACGTCTCTGTTTGACTTGTATACTATTGAATATATTTAATGACAATAATAAATCTTACCTTTCTCTATGCCATAATAGACATCATTTTCATCATCTTCCTCTTCAGGTAGATGTTGGTACGAGCTCAGGTCAAGGTTGAGATATTTCAGTTCAGTGGTAAGTGCTCTTGTACCGCTGTGGGTGCGCTCCATATAAGTGCGACAGTTCTCCAAGAGAAGCTCTCTATAAGATGACATAATTCATTGATTTAATCCAATGATAACTTGGCAAAAAGTATAAACCGACTTTGAAAAATCATAGATGGTTCTTAAATACTACAGAGGCAGTTAATAAGTTCAAGAATCTTCATTTGATTTTGGGCGAGGTTTCATCGGCTATAGCTACAGTTTTTTTTATTTGATAACCGCCTTATCAATTTTCATGAATTATTTCATGATTTCTTTGAAATTGGCGTATTTAAAATATATTTAAATAATTAAATAAATGTTCGTCTATAAATTAAATAAATTTAATTTTCTTCAGAGACTACGACAAACATTTATTTAGTTAGACGATATACTCCTTCTCGTTATCAATACTAATAATAAAGCTTTAGAGTTTGTTTGTTTGATTAAACCCTAAAATCTCCGGAACTACTAAAACGAATTGAATTATTGTTTTTGTGTTATATAGTCCACTTATCAAGGATGGCTACAGGTTATATAACATCACGCTGTGACTTTAGGAGTGGAGTAGCAAAGAAAAATGTTACAAAAACGGAAAAATACTTTACTTTTTTAAAACTTTCCATGCGTGCGCTACGTAAACGGTGAAAGTTACACAAAAATCATGTATTACGTAATTGATCCTCTTTAAAAGTTCTAAAAAAATCCGCGGCCGCATGTGTCTATTTTAAATCTTATCCCAAAAAAAACACAAAGGTATGAAAATGGAAGTGAAAGTTGTCAAATAATGATTTTGATTATTTAGGTTTACTAAAGTAGTTGAACATTAATTTATTGTTTGAGCTTAAATGACTATCAATAGCTTTTTCGTGAATGTGTTTTATTTGCAAAATAATTAGCCTAAAAACCAGCCAAGTGCGAGTCAACTCGTGCACAGAGGGTTCCGTACCGAAAACGAACAAAAAATCATGTTTGTGGTATAAGAACCCGCTTAAATATTTATTTTGATTTTTTTATACATGTGTTGTTTTAACGGCAACAGAACGGCATCATCTGTGAAAAATTGAACTATCTAATTTTCACGGTTCATGTGACAGCCTGGTGACAGACAGACAGCAAAGTCAAAGTGATAAGTTTGTCGTTTTACCCTTTGTGCACAGAACCCTAAAAATTAAAGATGCCGCCGAAAGTCACTATTCCACGCGGTCGAAGTCATGGGTACCGCTAGTTTTATATAAATACAAAAGTACTGATCCAATTTACGATTCAACCAAAATATATCAAATATCGAAATATACGATAGGACAACAGGAAAATAGAACAAACTTTACAGACACTTCTTTAATTGCATTTAACACACCTGTCCACATCCCATGACAGAGTCTTCACCCTGGGTCCAGACAGTAACACCGCCAGATCCTGGCACAGCTCAGGGCTGAGTCCCAGGCCTTCGCCCTCGGTCAATATGGCGGTGGAGAGCACATTGGCCTTGTGCTGAGTCTGCTTAATGTTGAGTGTCTCCGATGTCTTCACAAGGTTAGTTTGCGTTCTACTATCTGTTGCCCAGCTGCCAAATTCTGATGTGGTTTCCTGCCTCAACTCTTGGTCGTCGGGCTGTAATTAGTTTATATTACAATTGTAAATAAAAAATTATGTACAGTCGACTTACTCCATCTATAATCTACCATTTTAAATGTTATTCGCTGTAATCATATCTGATACTTCCAATACACACAACTCAAATCAAATGAAATTGGAGCTGGATGAAATAAATTTTCATAACACCTTGTATTTGATTGATAAGAGCATAAAAAATTTCTAAAATTCTTTTCTTCATAACTAACCTGCACTAGTTGATGAGAATATGAGTTTATAGCATAAAGTACAACTTTTTTTTGCTTTTTTTCTGGACATATTCTAATGACTCTCACACGCTCACACGCACGCACGAACGCATGTACACACGCAGGCAAGCAAGCACGCATAATAACATATAATTACCCGTCTGGGCTAAATTCGAAGATAAATTATAACTTACCACAGCCACAGGCGGTAATGCCGGAGCAGTCTTGATCCTGTCGTACATAACCTGCGATGGATGAACTGAGAATGCAGTAAGGGCGCATTCACACTTAATCCTGTCGCTAGCCGACAGTAGTGAGCCCAGCTGGTTGAACCACGAGCATAAAGTCTGTTCAGCCGAACGGGCTTCGGATTCCTTAAAAAAAACATATTACTATCAAAAACTGAATATCGTCAATTTATCGTCCAATAGAACGAATACACGATTAAGCATTACTTTTGCATATAATTAAGTGCCAGCAGTGGGTGTGTAATATATAACTTTATTATAAGGTAAAGACAATAAATATAAGTCATGTACACTACAAAATGTCACTTTTCCAAAATCATTTTTCAGCTCTACTGTTAATACATTTATGTTTTAAAACAGACATATAATATTGTTTTATAAATTTTAAATGTCAAAACAACTTTAAGTCTTGCTTAAGTTCAAAATTGATGATATGTGTAATGAGCAGTGGTCGGAATTAGGTAGAGTTATTCATGTACTTACACTGATTTCAAACAGCGAAAGAATAAAGTGGATATGCCTCAAATCTCGAGATTACTTTTAAAGAGCAGAAAAAATCCCGTGATTTTTTAATAAAAAGTTATTTACTTTTACACAATTTAAACTACTGCACGCATGACGTTGCCAAACTTACATCAATGAAAGAAAGAAATAAAGAAAGAAGAAATAAAGAAATCCCGGGAAGGTCCACGTTAATATCAACATTTCGATGCAAGTACATAAATAACTCTACCTAATTCCGACCTCTGGTAATGAGTTAAATTATAATAAAAAAATAACACATATTTTAAATATTATGGTCCGTTTACAAGAGGCTAATAGCATAGACAATCCAAGATACTAACTAGTTCAGTATAGCCGTCGTGGAGGTGATGGTCAAGCCTGTCCAATGGACGGTTGTAATTGGACTATTGGCCTTGTGTCAATGGTTAAAAAAAAGAAGCACAAAATTTTAGAACAAACGAAATTAGGAAATCGACGTAAGAAATAAAAATGTATGTACCTTTTCAGTCTTCAATTTGAGCCTCTCCAATTCATTCATGCCCGCAGTAATAGCGCGCACGTACAATTCGCACACGAATGGTTTCATTTCCGTTGAACACTGTAATATAAACAAACAAATCTTTTAACCTATAATAGTGATTGTTACGAGAATACAATCTTTGATTTAAAAAAATATAAATAATTGGCTGCTTGACTGATTTGGAAGAAGTATTTAAATACTTTCTATATGATCATATTAACCACTACAACATCAAATAAAGGGAAAATATATATTAATTAATTAATTTGGAATGCCATTGCAAAAAGTTACGTGGCATTTAAGCTGTGACGTCACATTTCAATAAACACAAATACTGTTTGGGAAGTTTCAATAAATAATTTATTTATAAACATTATGTTATTATTAAGTCCCTGTCAATGATCCCAAGATTGAGATATATCGTAGGGATAGCACCAGTATCGGCGTGTAGTATTATTTGTTACTTGCTTTCCTCCAGTTCTATGCATCCATGTGGTCTCACTTTGGTAGGAACAAATAGTATACCAGATTCAGGCATAAAATCATCAGTGTACCAAATTTTATCAAAACTCCTCATTTGTTTTTGCTTGAAGATGCAACAGACAACCAAACGTACTTGTATGAGTACATACACGTATGTTTCTTTGTGCGGGTATTTGTGTGCGTGTGTCTGTGTCTGTATTGATTCATATACAACATAAATACTAAAATAAACTAAATACTAAAATAAATAAAGCATATTACACAAATTGGTAGAATCGATGGGAGAATCACTGATGAATCATTAAATTTTTAACGAATACTTTTATAAATTTGTGTATAAAATCTACACTTATATTCCGGATGTTGGAGGCCTGGTGACCTGTAAAACGGGTTTTACACTCAAGTGCAGGCACCAGTCTCCACGAAAAAATCTGATGTCCCTGATACGCTCTGCATTTTTGTACATTTTTTATATTGTGGAGAAAAATAAAGAAATATTATTATTATTATATTATTATTTATACCTAGTATAATTAGTGACATTGAAAGCATTATTTGAAATAACTGATAAATTTCTTTTAATCTAAGGATTTAAGCAAACAAACAATCGCCAGCAAATATTTTGTTTATTAAAATGCGACGTCACATGATGCTCCGTCATGGTCACCAGTAAATAAATAAAAAAGAAAAAGCTACCTAGGTCTGAAACAGGACGAATGAAATATCTCGCACAAAAGATATCGAGATACAGGTCACATCAGTCGTTGCAACTGTCTGCCTGTATTTGATAATCTCTTTGATAATCATTGACAATTTTCGTTCCCGTACTCCTCCGAAACGGCTTGACCCATTCTCATGAAATTTTGTGAGCATATTGAGTAGGTCTTCCATTAATCACGTGATGTTTTTACAACATTTTTTGACCCCCTTCCCCCTTACCAACCTCACGTGATTAATGGACTATTCGTATACCTAATTTTGTGTAACCCTTAGTGTTAAGGGTTGCGGGAAACCGACTTCCACGCGGACGAAGTCAACTGTGACAGTGTACCTGCGCGTGCACGGCCGCGGCGAGCGTGTGCAGGTGCTTGGCGGTGGCGGCGGGCGCGGCCAGCGTGGCGGCGGCGGCGGGCAGCCGCGCGCCCCCCACCAGCCGCGCCAGCGAGCGCGCGCAGCAGTACAGCGCCGTGCGCGCCACGCCCGCGCACACCGGCACCACCATGCAGCGGGCCACCACCACCTGCACACGTTAACGCACTCTTATCAAGGGTATGTTCCGATATACACTGCGAGCACTGCGCAGTGGTCTTACTGCTGAAAAATCCGTTCCGTTATGGACTGCCAGTACACTGCTACAGTACCCTAGGGAAATTTATGACGTCATGAATTGCCGCCATATTTGTACTGTGAGCACTGGAGATTTCGAGGTAAGGTGCTCGCAGTGCTTTTGATCACGTGATCAGTCGAAACAGATAAAATAAAATACTTACGTTTATTATAAGATAGATTTGATTGATAAATAATTTTTTTATACAATTTTCCAATTTTATAATATTTTCTTTTGAAAAGAGGGAATCTATATTTATATTCACCTTGCATTAACAAATTTGAAAATGGCGCCAAAAATAGGAGTAACAGTATACTGGACTGCGTTCCGTTTTAAAAAGTCACCAGTATAACTAGCTATAAAGGAACGTAATGTACTATTATGGAACTGTCACATAAGAAGGGGTATTAAAACAGGAGAGTCTGTTTATGCGATAATAGGTTGACTCGAGTGTTTTAATACCTAAGTTATATCCAGTTTCATACACTACTTTACCTTCACTCATAGGAAAAATTGAAATTAAACAAAGTAGGTAGGTTACAAGGAAGTAATTTATGCGTGCGCCATTTTTTTCATATTCAGTCAAAACCATAGACTAGTTTAATGAATAAAAAAAGATAGCGGCACTATAATGAGTTTTAATTTTATGTATATGCGTTTATAAAGTGCGTATGTATAGAATCGTCTTTGAATTCGTAATTCGGATTTTTCGATTTGAGTGTAGATAAAAATATTTATTGTGTGTCACATTAAAAACAGACGAGATATAATTAAGTTTCAGTTAAACACGTAACGCCTTACAATGGCATTGCTATATGTAGAGGAGAGATTTATCGAAGTGAAAATATAATATTAACAACAATTTAAAATTAAAAACATCTCATTATTTGTTTATTAAATGCCCGAGTGTGGTGACGTAATAAAAAATATATATACAAAAACTCGATACTAATAGGTTCATTTCCAATAGAATAATCGATTTTGAGATCAATGTACAAAACAGGATTAAAACAAAACATATATTCATAAACAAGATGAACTAGAGTCAGAAAAATATATGAAAAAGAAATATAGTTAAGTTTAATTGTTATGACAACAATAATTAAAAATTAGATTACCAAATACATATTTCGATTAAAATGATTTCATTCATACAATCCCTATTCATAAAAATAATATATTCTTTATGAATGCGGTGTATAAAACTAGAGATAAATATACAAAATTGAGAAAAATAACACAAATGCCTGAACTAGGAAACTCCTGTATATCAGACAAAGAAAAACTGTCACACTATCACTATAAAAATAAAATGAAGAACTTACATAAACGACGACAACTAAACATCCAATTAACATACTGACCTGCGCAATCAACGTTGCAACTTCCTTTGCGTTTTTCCATAATTTTTTCTCTCTAGGAGACGTCTCCAGTCTGCTTTGCAATCGCTCTACTAACTGGTAACCGTCACGAAGAGGAGTTTGTTTTGCCTACACAGAATACATAAATTATATTCATTTTCATGTTATTTATTTTTATAATTAGCTACTTGACAATTTTAATAATTAGTAATAATTGATAATTTATGAAATATGTTGGCAATGGTAACTTATATGTAAACAATAACTTTGTAGTATTTTTGTTTTAAAATAAATTGTAATTATATTATCTGCAAGATAACTTGCGATTACAAGAGCCACAGCCACGAACGAGCATCGTGTGACGTCACATTTCAATGATATAAAAGTCAACGTCTTTATCACGACTTTAGTACACACTTTCTTAAAACAGTCAAGTAGCTGATTATCCATATAAACTTACAAGGTAACGCAGACAAAATATAAAATAACTACTCACCAGTTCAATACATTTCGACATGCGGTCGGCTTTATGCAAAAGCACAAACTCAATGTCAGTGAGCAGTTCCCACACGTCCACAGTGAAGCCAGCCTCAGTCTTCAGCACCACCGCAAATGTAGCTTCTTTGGTAGCGGATTTATCTATGGAAGACACTTTTAGTTCAGAACAACATACAATAACCAAATCTAACATGTAGTGCGCAGGCTCAGTTTCGCAGGGCGATAAAACTTTGCAAACAGAATGGTTCAAGCAGCGCCCTAACGGAGTATCCGACGGAAACCTAGAAAATTTTATCGTTATACCTTGGACATTAGTCTTTATGTGTAACATTATGATGAGTCTAAATGAAAATCCAATCCGCATTGGGCTAGCGTGGAGGGGTCACGACCCATCCTCCTTAACCATCCATAAGGAAGGCCTGAGCCCCTGCAGTGGGGACGTAAAAGGACTGATGATGATGATGATAAATGAAAATCAAATATAGATATTGTTTTAAACTTCAAGCCTAATTGATGTACACAATATCCATAAGGAAGGCCTGAGCCCCTGCAGTGGGGACGTAAAAGGACTGATGATGATGATGATGATAAATGAAAATCAAATAAAGATATTGTTTTAAACTTCAAGCCTAATTGATGTACACAATATCCATAAGGAAGGCCTGAGCCCCTGCAGTGGGGACGTAAAAGGACTGATGATGATGATGATGATAAATGAAAATCAAATAAAGATATTGTTTTAAACTTCAAGCCTAATTGATGTACACAATATCCATAAGGAAGGCCTGAGCCCCTGCAGTGGGGACGTAAAAGGACTGATGATGATGATGATAAATGAAAATCAAATATAGATATTGTTTTAAACTTCAAGCCTAATTGATGTACACAATAGTCAATTGATATTGAAATTAATGTTGATTAAAGTTTATCAAAATAAATAAACTTTAGTTAACATTAATGTCAGTTATCAAACCTAAGGTTTCAACTTCCAACATACCTATTAAAACTTTGATGTATATAACATGTCACATACGTATTTTAAAAAAAATAGCAAGACACTGACCTATAGCCTCGGCTGCTTGCTCGCTGTCCGGCAGCAGGTGTATGGAATCTCGGACGCGATCCATGACCGCAGTGACTAGCGACATGGCTAAGTCGTCGCATTTGGACGCGGCGAGCTGACGCAGCCGCGTCACAAACATCACGCCGCGTTCCTCCTTCAGCCATTGTAGGACTGATTGGGAAAAACACAATATCTCTATACTTTTGTACTAATGTTAACTCAATCTTCAAGTTTTTTTTTACTAGATTACAATTGCAAGATTTTTTATTATTTTTAGAGATGTATAAAAAAAATATTAGTAATGTATATTACGCCGCGTACCAAACGTCCAAAGAACATCAAATGTACATTCAATAAGAAACCTTATTCTAATATTTATAAAAACATATTGAGACCCATAAGCCCATAGTAACAAATTGTCCAAAATGGTCGATTTTGCGCGTCTGTCAAACTAAATAGGTGATTTGTTTCATAAGTGGCGCGTGCCATTAAAATGGCAATATCTTTAGAATTATGTAAAGAAACTATTAAGAAATATGTTGTAAGAATCGTTGAAGTAAGCTAACATAATATGTTTGAATGTGTGCGTTTCAAATATTTAGTTTCGAAGGTATTTGAAGGTAAAAGTGCAAGAATCGATTTTTCATTTTTTTTAATAAAAAAATAACGTTGTTATATAAGTATAAAAACTAGATTTTAAGATTTATTTTATTTACATCACAAATCCCACATTCTTCTTCTTTAGTTTAAATTATAAACAACTTCAAATGTTACAACAATTAGTAATAGGGAGAGTTAAAGACGTGTGACAAACATTTGAAAACATGACCCCAAAACATACACTCTCAAACTTTTACATGTAAACTATTTTGGTTTATTAACAACAATTCCTAATTGATGAACACAACAAAGAAGTAATTTTCGTTCAAATTTTAGAAATCAACAACTTAAACATAAAAACAAAAGAAAAATCAGAAAAATATTAGATACGTATTTTTTTTTCTTCCATTTGAACAAGAAATGGCTTAGTTATTAGGCATTAAAGTTGAGGAGTAGGAGTGGGGGCTCGCTACGCCACAGTTTTATAGAAAATGTACCATAGCGTGACGTCATATGACATTTCAACTCAATGTATCGCCGTAATTAATTGAATACGCGAAAACGAAAAAAAAAGAAATTTTATATTCTTCAATAATCCACCTAACGGACAGAAAACAAAAATTAGTCGTCATCCCTATTTCACGACAAAAAGTACCAAGTGCTAAGTATAAATGAAGCAACTTTTCATACATTTTATTTCCCGACATATTTTAATATTTAGGTTGAAATACAAAAATTCAGGGCAAATCACGCAGACGTATTGTGATGGGGGTAGGAGTGGACTGTTTCACAATATTTCCAATTATAAATACAACAACCCACACGGAACATGCATGTACCCTTTTTTACATTTAACACACTACCGGAGCAGTCGCTGATGCCCAAATAATGGGTGCTCAGAGATAGGAAGGTAGAAAGGGGAAGAAGAGGTATATTCTTAATACCGTGTTTAGAAAGAAGAGCGTTTACTAAACTAACGCGAAAAGATCGGCGTGTTAGAGAAAGAGAAGCAAAGGAAGCAGCAGATTTCTTATGGATGACAAATGAATTTAACATGGTCACATTTCTTGCCTCCTGAATAATTTCTTGTACCAGATCGTCGTTCTCTTTCGATCCATTGGGGACATGGCCAGCATCTGGTGTTTTTTGTCAACCCCACCCATCACGACATTGTAGTCTAATATCAGGATGGGTTTGGTGGAACACCCGTCACTAGAGACGCCGTTGCCATGGTATTTGGATACCAAAGCAACACGGTTGCTATCTCTCTATACTATGATATAGATATCTGCGACGATGAGACCAGCAAACTGGCTCGATTGTATGTTGCTCTTAGTGAGACTGTGTAGGGATTGCAGAACAAACTTACGCTTGCTTCGCAAAATAACCACACAATCAAAGCCTATAAGGACTTCAATCGACGCGCCAATGAAGGAAAATTATAAAAATTGTTCATCAAAACTGTATGACAATTGTTCTTATAAGACCATGTAAAAACCTTCAAGACAGTGGCAGGAATGAGCGCGGATAATGTCTTCCGACTGCTGCGGAGAAGACTTCTTATGAGCGTAAATTTCAAACCGCCATAAATATCAGGTTTGAAATTCACAAATCTTGTAAGTTTAATCCCTACCGTGACAGCTTTGTTTGGATTAATTGGTTAATATCTAAACATCCTTTCCACATCAGAAGAGATTAATCTAACGAGTTGTTTTGCCCTTAATAATGGTTTAATTTTAATTAATTTTGCCTCGCAGTAATTCAGTTCTACAGCAAATAGGTAATTTTTATTGTTAAAATATAAACATTTTCATAACAAAATAAAACGATTGTATGATATTGTGCTCTAAACCAGGAGTCATAAATACGTCTCGAGTGGCACACCAATATTCTTCATACCTGAACTTGACAACCCACATCGCAATAACTATTCCAAAAACTCATACAATTCGTCAATACTACTCTCTAACGATTGACCATGACTAAGTAAGAAAACAAAAAACGTGAGTAATATATACATATTGTAAAATAGTTTAGTATGAACTTATGGTGTTCCTCAAGCAAATATGCTGCTGCTGCAGTGGAGTCTTTCCATTCGAAATAATTGGAATTTGAGGCAAGAAATGTTTGATAAAATGTAACAATTTATATACAAATGTTTGTCTAATAATCTGTGTGTTAATAGAAGTGTTTATCCCTTATCCCTTTATGTTTGCCATCAATAATTACTTCCACACTTTGCAATTTAGCACGTAAATGACGTAAACATTTGACCCCGCATCCCACAAAATGAAATTCAAGACAATTTTTTTCTCTCTAATGTACATTTTAATGACGTGTTTACATTAATTGACATCCTTGTTTAATTATCTGGCATTGTTTGTTATTTACTATGGCTCTTTGAACTCTAATCTTTCTGCAAACAGCGACCTACGTATGGTCGTGGACGGACTTTTTACAGCTAAAACTAGGAGGTTAGGTTTTGGACAGACTAGAGGTTATAAACGGATAAGTCTACTTATTGAATATACACTCGAAGTTTGTTAGCGAATTTCAAAATTAGCAATCTTTTGTTTTTTTTACGATATAAATGTATCGTAAATTTTCAGAATGCTTCTAATTATTTTTTTATAAACAGAACTACCATCTAATAAGTATTTCTAACCTAACCCAATAAAATCAATTAAATCAAGACAATTAAAACCCCTAAAAGTATCTTGACGATCCATAGTACCATAAAGATAACAATGGCAAAATATAATTAATTAAAATGCCACTTATAAGGGTCCAGATCCTAAGGGTCAGTGCACATTTGACAAAGGATTTGTCACATCTCATCGTTTGCAGCATGTATACCTATGTTATAACTGACAAATATATGAATGACATTCAAACTGACACACTCTACGGATAATCCATCGCATACTAACGCATGCCTATGCGAGCCCCTTGACTGATCTTTCGTCATATTTACACTGACCCTAAGGAAATGATATGTTTGATCTTACTTTCATCATCATTCGGTCTCTGCCCCCTCGGATCCAATAGTATCCGAAGAACTGGGTGTCCCCAGGGATTTGCGAGAATCTTCTTGAACCATTCGCCGCGTTGATGCAGCTGCGTCTCCCATGGTGGACTGACGCCGCCACGGTTGCAGTTAGCCGCTCTGCTTTCCTCGATGAAGTCGTCAATCGCCCCTTCGAGGCTTTTTTGCTCATCTTTACTTTTCGGTGATTGCCATTCCGTCTGTGAAATGTTTTGTCATGTACACACGGCTGCACGCACATTAGGTTACCACAGTGGATTTGAACTCTATCCTAAATGTATTCAGGTTTAAACAGAGTGTAATTTTAAAGATTTGTATAATCTGACGTGTTGATCTAAAAATAATGAAGATTCTAAACTGTTTTGAAACTTATATGATTTATAAAAAAACTTTGAAAACAGCTTTTTTCTCAAACTGAAACTTGTTGCAGGTTGATTATACGGAATAAATATCTTTCCCTCCGCTCATTACCTGCAGTATAGTCCTCGCGGTGTGTCGCTGTAACCAGCTCAGTAGATGTGGATGGGTGGTCGGGGCAGAGTGCTGGCATAAGCTGTGCACGCGGCGCCACGCCTCGCACAAGTGCCGCGTGCGAGTACTCAACTCGCACTCACCGCTCAACCGCCCATCTAGAGACTATGGAAAACATATAAGTGGTAGAAACTTGGATAACAAACTCGAAGACAATACCTTGGATTTTCAGGCACAAGACAGAGATAGCATCTGTCCTGCTTCAGCCATGTTGGCTTTTTACCCTGACACCAGAAACATACTCATTTATTTGATTACATAAGGGTTCACAACATGTGACACAGATGTTTGATACTCTCACCCAATTGTACAACTGTCAATCAAGGTTTAATAATGACTTAATAATTATCTTTGTTCTCTATTTAAATTCTCTTTATGTACCTTTAACAATGTAATCTGATAGACGTACTTAGTCTTACATGTTACCTCAAAATTATCCTGATTTTATCATTGCTTCTTTATGCGTAAAGGCCACAAACATGACTTTGGTGCAATTAAGTAAATGCAAATAAGCCATTAATTAAAAAATAAGAAGTAGCTCTAATGAATGTTCTAAATTTGTATTGATGATATCGCTTTAAACTATATGACAATTTAAATGGATTTTTGTGCAACTTGATGGTCACATATTTGGGATTTGAACTTTAGTAATGCGGTGCATACAAATCCTGGAGAACAAATTCAACACAAGATGCAACATGCTGAAGTAGGGCATAAAGACAAAGTGAGAAAATGAGACAAAAACAACATGAAGTATTCATGAGATAGATTAGAACAGAGGGTTCCAATATGTGACTGATTACAAGACATCAAAATCTTGTATGCAGGTATCATATAATGTGATTAAAAAGAAATATTCTATCATCTAGATCTACCATCATCATCATCATCATCATCATTGATAAATGATATGATACAATGTATATGAGATTGTGTTAATTATAACCCAGGTTTTAATAAAAGAACAAAAACATTACTCTGATAAATATAATCAGAAGTTGTTTTTTAGAAAAGCTTGTGAGATAATAATATATTATTAATGTTTTTTAAAACTATTGATTTTGTATGATGATGAGCAGTATCATATTGATACCTCCATTAGTTTTAATTACAACTTCATCACTATTAAAGCAGTAGTTTAGTTAATAAATTACAAAGTAGCTTTATCTTATTTTTGGCATAGGAGAAAGGTTAGCAATGTGTAACATGGAGCAGTTTTGAATTATTCAATTTATGATCAAGTCCTTTATCAATTCTAACCTCCAAAACCATTTCATTATAATGTTAACTGACCCCCTTTTACCTACCTAATGTTAACTTTAATTTTTTTTTTCATTTAAATTAGGACTTGGTGATATGAATGCACCACTTGTTGCTCATATAGAAATTTGTAAAGCCCATCTACAGATTTTTTTTTAGTCAGCATGGTATTTGTTCTTTCAATAACAAACACTGACATTAATCACATTTCTTGACAGCTGTCAAGCAGAATAGTGGACAAAATCAGATTGAAAAACAAACATACTGTGCCCACCCAAAAACCAGATTTTTACTAAATCATAGAAGAGCATAACAAACAAATTGAATCATACATTTATCTTACCTAACATATTTGTCACTTCTACAGGGTAAATTCACAATCAGTATGCAAAGTTTTTCCTATGGTTTAGTATAGCACATTTATGTATTAATAACCCAATATTTATTACCATTTGCTTGTTTACAAGTAGCAAACTAACTCTTGTTTTATTGACAAATGCATAATCATAAGTAGCAAATTATATATAAGTAGGAATTTTAATATTCATTTGCCAAACTTAATAAACTACTAGCTGTTTCCCTACGACTTCACATGTGTAATTATATATTCGACGCTAGAAAGCAAACACGTAGTAACCAGCAAAACCAAAATGGATATTTAGAGTGGAAAATCTTTATATTTATCCAAAAAATATATCTTCTTTCCATATAAATTGATTAAGGAAAACCTTATTTGTTACCATGGATGTTTATAGGAATTATTTATTGAATAAAATAAAAGATTTTCTGCTCTAAAGAACAATTTTGGTTTTGCGGGTTACTACGTGTTTGCTTTCCAGCGTCAATACATAAATCCTATATCAACCCCTTATGATGTAGCCAACTGTAGGTGAATGAATTTTTAAATTTAGAGTAGACTTTCGAGGCTATTCAATGAAAAAAAAAAACAATCAAATCTTTCCTCTTCATAATATTAGTATAGATTAAGGGTGTATGTGTGTGGCTTCTACAATAAAATCGCAAGCAATTTTCAACAATCAAATTGAAATCAGTTTAAATCTACTTTCAAAATTTTTGTTAACATTTATTAGAAGTATAATTATCTTGCAGATAAGAATGATTGGTCTTAAAGAATATTAGCCAATGCGTTCAATCAAATGTTTAATTTTAATAACATACAGGAAAAAGTATTGTATTTAATAAAGTCCATTTTCTGTTGACTTCTCTATGGAAATAAAAACCCAATTTAGTTTTGTTTTTTTTTCAGTACCAGACCTCATGCCTTAAATTTATGAAACAATATTAAGAGCCTATTCGATGGAAACAATCAATTAAATCTTTCCTATTTACAATATTAGTATAGATTTCATTGTCAAGTCTATTTGCCATCACTTGTACAGTTTTGACAAATTATTAATTTAATATGGTCAAAATAAATAATTTGTTGAATTTACTTGACATTTTAACTTATAGACAAAATTTTTTCAGCAATTAGAAATACAAAGGAACTGTTTACTATTCACTGGCTTCAGTAACGTGTTTATAAAACGTATGCTGTGTCGGAATAAACGTACCTCTATCTACGTGACTACAGTACACCAAAGTATGGCTGTCAGAGTAATTCAGTTTTCACATATGGTGAGAAATTCCCTTACATGATTTCAAAAATCTACCAATCATTTCAAATACTTTATAAACACTATTACTATATAAATTCAATAAAGAAAATACATTTCTTTTTGTAAAATAATGCCGAAACTACAATCACGGGCTTCATCCTGAACAAACAAAGTTAACATAGTCAAAATCCAATCACCTTAAAAGCTGTTTTTTATTTCAAATGCAAGGAAATTAAGTTGGGGTTTTATATTTTTGCTATGTCTTTATATTCTTCTAATAAAATTCCCAAATATACGAAAACAAGAGTCGAAGAAGGCAAATATGGCGGCCATAATGAATTTCAGACCACTACAGCGTCGCAACAAAAACTTCGTTTTTCAGGAATATAAGAGGCAAACTTACCTTGTAAAGTTCTATGTAAAATGATTTGCCTTTTTGGCCACTCGTATGATTACTTTTCACGTCTTTTCCATCATTTGTAGAAGTCATTTCTCAGGAAAATATCGCGGGGAGACATTTATGCGCTTGTGTTTTCGTAATGGGGCTGTCAAAGTAAATGTTGCACCATCAAAAAACTCTTTAAGCACCAATTTGTTTTATTCTAATGCCGTTCTTCACATTAGCGAATATTGTAGCAATCGCATTTTTGTTTCCACAAGGTTTCCACTGAAAAACTTGGCATTATAGATTAAAATAGAAAAATAACTAAAGTATTGAAACTGCGCATAAGTAGCAAGCGAAGACATATTGAAATACTAATATTCTATGCATATATTAGACTTTTTTCCTTACGACCCGTCTGTTAATACTTTAGAAAGACATGTATAACATCAGTCATAACTCGATTAATGTAGTTTGTCCTTCCATCAAATATACAACTAAAGAACACCTAGTATACTAAAACAATACCTAAATACAGCACCATACCCAGCAACAACCATGGAAGATTTTTTTCATTTATACATTCATTATTCGAAAAATTGCAGATTTATTAATTTAAAATCAAGTACTAGAACATTGTCAGTAATTTAATTCTAATTTCAGAGAATTACATACAGTAAAAACTGTATGTGAATAAGTAAGTATAATAATAAGTATAAGTTTTGACATCCGATAGTACTCATCAGATTGTAGTAAAAAAATGCATTCGTCCTGCCTCAATTTATTGTGGTTTATATTAAATGACCTTGTCACTTTTCTATTAGGAGCATGAGAACAATATTTTTTCTTTATTCTACGTCTTCGCATGTAGAGTGTAACGTTCCAAAAATCTCATCGTACTGACACTGGCATAAGTGACATGTAGCTTCACAAAGAGCTGCCCTAAACTGCGCCGCTACGATCAGGAATAAAATCGCACTGTCGGGCCCAAAAATTCAGAGTAGTGCACAAAAGTATTTCAAGAATAAAAATTAGTTCTTGAAATTAAACTAGATGTCACTAACGATTTTCGGATAATTGCCTATGATACTCATTCAAATTTATTTTTGAGGTTATAAAAGTATCAAAAATTTATGAATATGACATGGTTTCATGTTTTTTATAATGACTAACTTTCAAATTAATTTAATTTTTATTAGAATCGTAAGTTGAAGTTATTTATTATGTTGTGTAAAGGAACGATTATTGGTTTATATGTCAACATTAGCGTTAGTGATGAGATAAGACACCTTATTGGTTACTCGTAACTCTAATCCGCTCGATTCATTCGAATTCATGTTTGGTATCAAGAACAAAATATCAGCTTGTTTTCTTATGTGCAGTATTTTCGAATGTGCCATTATGCATCCACACTTCGAATGATGTTAATATAAATATCGAAATAAATTCAAACTAGGCTGTTACATAGTATTTGTGAAAGTCGATAACTATGCCAAATTTGAAGTGGTTAGAGCACGCATGTCTTCCAAGTACATCACAAAACCCAATCCTGTTCCGGTGCGCGAGATGCCGTCTCAACTGCAGTCACCAGCAACAGAGCTTTCTCCGAATAGTGACGTACTTGTAAATGAGACTCCATCTGCTTCATTGAATCGGAACACTCTGGCGCTGCCAACAGTAGCTAAGGTATGTGATGGACTATCAACGCGATCTGCTAATGTTGTCGCTTCGACGGCCTTAGCTGACGTAGGATTGTTATCTTCCAAAGCCTTGTTATTGATAAACATTCATAGACTTCTTTCTAAAGCACAGACTAAGGCCAGGAAAGATATTGATGCTATTGTAATAAAAAGTATTTACTTTCTGTCAAAGGGGTAGCCGATTCTATCATATCTTTGTTAGAAAGTCAAGGGTTAAACTTGGAAGAGGTAATCTGTGTGGATGGCGATGGTACTGCTGCGAATACAGTTTGGAAGGGAGGTGTCATTCAACACTTGGAAAACTATTTAAAGAGACCGTTGCAATGGTGTGTTTGCATGCTTCATGCGAATCAACTACCGCTTCGCCATTTATTCAGGGGCCTAAAGAATATTCAGCACCAATTAGAAAACAGATACTTGTATGTGAAAATAAACCTCTAACGTCTTTTTGTGCAGTAGCTGGCAATATGCCAGAATTATGTGATAATATTATGAAGGAACTAAGTATCGGATCAGAAGTATCTCTACGAAAAGTGTCATTCTGTACAGCCTGGGAAGATGGTGCCTTTGAATTGGCTCCCTACTACCAATCGCATAGTTAGATTTTATGTAAGTACTGTTTCGCTGTCAGATAATTTACAGCTCTTTGTGAACTACGTGGTTAAAGTTAACGCCACTGTTTGGTTAATCAAATAATCATCCTTTAAAGTTGGAGCCAAGCATATTTTATAAAATGATTGTATACTCGATTTTTGCCTGATAATCAGAGATCTATTGTAAATTTAGTGATCGAAAGAAAAGCTTTTTTGTTGCGCACCCAGAAAACCTGCTTTTTGCCATGTTATTCGACAATAGCGACCACATTCTAGAACTTTCATCTCGCAAAATATTAAAGGCCAGAGAAGCAGATAAGAGTAACTCTCGCAGGGTATTTAAAACACCAACGCTTAACTTCTGCGCAAAAGATTACATTAATATAATATTTTGGCAAGAGTGTGAGATATCGGCTCCACCAATTTTGCGACACACCTCCAACGATGACGGCTAAATAAGGCTAAATAAGCCTCGACATTGTTGACTTCCTCTGTCATACACAGGCAGTGGAAAGATGTGTGAAAGTAATGACGGAGGCTTCTCAAGGCGTCATGGACGTTACAGCTCGGTATGGTTTTATTAGGAACAGATTAATATCTCGCGTGGAAATGCCTGATTTTCGACATCAGGACATGTTGAACTTGGATATACCAGACTGGTGTTGGATCCGTTTTCTAATGTCAACACAGCAATGTCACCTCATCTGGAAGAAAAACTTATAGAATTGACAACAAACGAGGAAATAAAAATCAAGTTCAAAAATGGTTACCAAGAATTGTGACTATAAAAACTGATCCCGCAATTATACCCTTGATTGTGGTCAAATGTTCAACGATTCTTGTTAAAGCATTCCCATCGTCATATTTGTGTGAACGTGGATTTAGTGCTGTGGCAACACTGCTTACGAAAAAGAGAAATCGTTTGCATGTTACTGAATGTGGCATTTTGCGACTGTTCTGGAGTAAATTGGAACCTGATAACAAAAAATTATTAAACAGCATCAGATTCAATCTTCATATACTTTTTATATAAGAATCGGTTATGTTCTTTTATTTTGAATAAAAAATACTATTGTTTGAATACTATAAAATTGCGTTTCAATAATTATTTTAATTAGCAGTTGTAGCTCGTAAGAGTTATCTTGAGACCTGAGCGCCGTTGTGTATTACCTACTGCGCTCAGGTTTCATGTTAATTCTTGCTAGTTATAGTAAGTCTCGTTTAAAATTAATGTTTAGTCTTCGCTAATGAGGAAGTATTAAAAAAAACATTACTTCCCGAAATCAAACCAGATGTCGCTACGCTGCGTTTTTGATTTCTCTATGACAAACCTTCCGGTTTAAAAGTCTTTCATTTTTAAAAGTAAATTAGTTTTCAAACTCTACAAACAACTCATATTCTATTTGAACTTTTTCGCATTTGTATTGATGTCTAAGTTTCGAACTTTTCAAATTTCAGTTTTTTATATGTTAATTAAAAAATCAACTTTTGCTAGGGTCGCCATCTAGTGGAGGTACTTTTTTAGTGCTTTCGTTTTTTCCTAAATACTTCCTCATACACCTTATAATAATTAATTAATTTAACTTGAAGTTAGTGTGGTTTTTAAGTAGGTGAAAAAATGGGGGTGCTAAAAATAATTTATTGTCAAAGTGGGCAGTAGACAAAATAAGTTTGGGAACCTACAATTTCTGCTGCCATCTAGTGACATTTTCTGTAGTTTCTTTATTTTTTTAAAATATTCCTCATTCAATATTAAAAACTAACTCTCCATCGTTCTTTGTCGACTGTGAAAGCTGCCAAGCAAAGTTAGGCGCCTATTACACTACCCAATCTATCGGGCACTATATATCGGCCGCGTTTTAGGGCGGTTGGTGTCGTTGTGATTACACTGCACTAGATCGCCTCCCTAACTCAGTTGGCATGCAAACGTGGCGTTGAAAGGATGGCTCCTTCGCTCACAAAGTACCAAAAAATTGGCATAGCCCATACTTTAACTGCGGGCGTAAATAATAAAACAAAATGTTGGGTAAAAAATATTTGCTTCTAAATGACCAACTATGCAGTTTGAACTACTACAGAATGAGTTCTGCACAATTTGATCATATATTAAACTTAGTCATACCTTATATAGCGCAAAACAGCGGTTAGCTGTGCTGTAACCTTAAAATTTTTAGCAACGGGAAATGCATATCATGACTTAAAGTATAAATACTCAATAAGTTTATTGTTTCCATAGGTAATTTAAAATAATATTACATAATTAAGTTAGTCTCACTATGGACCCTATCGGGCACAACAATATATAAAGTTTATTATAGCATTAGTTTTTATTATTGTAATTAATATAAAATTTCGTTGTCGTTCACTGACGTCTCACACACACGCTGCGCAACAACCGACTGAGCGCTCTAACACCCTAACAGCGTTCACATTACCCGATATCGGGATCCTAACTCTCTAACTGCGATTAGACTACCCAATTTACAGTGTACCCGATGGATCGGGCCCGATAGATTGGGTAGTGTAATAGGCGCCTTATACAGGCTATTTTGTCTATGACGGCATTTACAGAATCTATGTCATTTATTCATGTTGGCAACATTATGTAGTACAAAGCAAAAGCGAGTTGTGTCAAGAAATTGTGCTTTTTCTTCGTAAATTATTCTCATCAAAGTATAATAAAATGTAATTTATACCTTGAAGAGAATCTCTATAAAATAGGTAAACATAATGGCGTACGATTTTAGTAGATTCTTTCTTATCCCACTAATTGTACAGCATAAATTAACGTGTCACCATAGGGCTCTTTAGGACAATAAATTATTGCTTTATTATCCCTAATTGATGATGTTCTGCCTTATTATTATCAGTTTTATACGTTAATCTTATTGGGACACTAAGAATGTTTCTGATGTGCTTGGGGAGGTGTGGCCTCTTTTTATTGTCGGCACATCTGGTGATCGTTGTCGGAAGCGCTGCTTCTTGACTGATCGGCTTACAAGAATTATCTGACACCCTGTGACTGTTTTCGTCTTTACTGTTGCCAATATTTGTCTTAAATGAGATTACGCCAGATTATGCTGTCACGGTTTATTAAAGGATATTTCTAGAATCCCTAAAATTGCGTTTTTCGTCGCAAAAATTAGATGAATGGTATTCAAATGAACAGTGTTGCTGTGTTGTGATAAGTTTTTTGGGTGATATTTTGATTTTTCTGTTCCACATGCGTTCAAAACAATAAGTTGCGGAAATGGCAAAGAAGTCTGATAATACTGGTGGAAAGCTGGTGACTGTCTCTATTGTGGGGCTTTCTGGTAAGTAATATTTCATATATATATATATAAGGTTCGAATTATACCAGTTTGAATGATTTACTGTTTGTGATATAACTAAACAGTCTGAAAAATTAGTTACAGACCTCTAACTTTATTTTAAATACCACATCAATTTGATTCTGATTATGATAATAAATAAAAATGAAAAATAATGACAATCATTTTTACTTGATGAGAAACAGTTATACCATTTATCTATATGGGTATATATCATTTAAATTAAAGTGATTTTGTATAATCTATAATTAAGACAAAATAAATATTCTAATTTATCATTTCATACCTATATTTTAACATAAATATGATTTGTGGTTTTCACATAAGTTGATAATTTGTTTGCTTTGTATGATATCTTGTTGATGTTATGAGCATTTGACTCATAACATTGTGTCTATTTTTAGAATGGACCCTGGAGCAATGTAGCAATGACATTCTTAAATTATTAACCTTTGAGTCTAGGGGGAAGTTGTATCATTCTTAGCTTAAAACCTACAAATTTGTTTTGAAATATTTATAATACCAAATCCATCACATGTTACTTATGTCATAAAATATAAGTTCTTAGCATGGTATTCATGTTATTTAATTATGAAAACGGCAGCCTTGGAATGGAATAATATTATTGTTGGAACTCAACATGCAACTGTTATATGCCCGTTTGTTTGTATTTGAGGATAAATTTAGTCCCTTTGTCCTTAACTGTAAAGGTCTATAAAAAATTTAAAAATGGTTAAGGAAGGTACTGCATAAATTATGTATGTAAATAAAGAATACAATTAAGAAAATTGATCTAAAACAGAGGCTGTAGCCTTCTCATAAAAATTTAATATTTAGGCATGCACTTCAACATTATACTAACTATAAGACTATTAGTGTTAAAATTGTAGAATACTAAGATTTAGATAATTATTATTGCAACTATTATCTTTCTAATATCCATAAGACAATATGATTTTATGTGCATTCCACCATGACAACTTTCTAAACATTTGAATGGCTGGTGTTATTGAATAAAAGGAAGTACCCGCTGACTCAATTTAAGTCTTATACAATTGTTAATAGTTCTGATCTATTGTGACTTTTTATCTATATATTTCCTGTTATGTTGCTGTGGGTGCTAATGATATTTGAGTATTGAAGTAACTGATAAGTAAAATAACTTTCATTTTAGGAGTTATATACATTTTTTATGATAAAAGTATCTATTATGATAACATGTTATTCATTCATATAAAGTAGTAAGTCCAAAAACTAATGGTAGTAAACCATTAGTTTTCAGGGTTTAGATGGTAAATTAAGCTGTTGGTTCTAGCAGTAGCTACAGTCATTAACACACACCAATCCTAGTACAGGGGGTAAAATGTTGGGTTATGTGTAAATTATTTTAAATACACCATACATACATGTACTAAATATAAGATGTAATTTCAGTTTTAGGATAGGTATATGATGTAATTTTACAAGTAAGCTGTCAGTTTTCTATGAAACAATTATAATATTTCTTAACAAATTAATTTGTCGTCTATGAAATTATTTTTTTATAACATTTAAAAACTTTTATATCATATAAAAACACTAATGTTATAGGCCAATATCAGCATAGAATTTTCTGTTATCCATTATTAACTTTAATGTTCTGATAATAAACTTCACTATTGTCTGTTGTAATGTTACATATAATAAAATGAGTTTTAATACTTTTCAGGTACTGAAAAAGAAAAAGGACAGCTAGGTGTTGGTAAATCATGTTTGTGCAACAGATTTGTTCGTACCCATGCTGATGATTATAATGTTGATCACATATCTGTTCTGAGTCAGGTGAGTGTTCGATTATGCTTTAATTATTTTGTACCCTATTGTGAGATCATGATGTGATGTCATAACACAACTTAATGTTCATTGTATACAGCCATTTACATGTAGTTAGCTAGCAATATTTTTTTTTTTATTTTTCAATATGATTTCTTCTACAAACATCATAATTATAATATTAATCAGTCATTTTGCACAAATCCTATTAGAATACTAAGCTTTTTTTTATTAATTATTAAATCTGTTAGTAAAGACACTATTGATTTACATTTGAATTTAAAGTATTATGTTACGAGTCAATAAAAATTTACATACTGATGTTTTGATAAAAGTTAATGTAGTGAGGGTGAAGTGTTGTTTATTATATCATGAATGTAACCTGCATTAATGCAGTTCTTTTTAAATAATCCTTCATTATAGAGAAATGAGATATTGAATATGAATTAAAGGCAACTTTGTTGGTGAACATTTGTTTGTGTTAATTAATAGGGATGACAAAAAAATTTTGTTTGTTTGTCCATCAGGTAGATTATTGAAGAATATTAAACATTTTTTCTTTTATTTTTTGTGTAATCAATAGAAGATATGGTGATACAGTTAGTTGAAATGTCGCTTGACATCACCCTTTCGTAATTTTTTTACAAAACTGTGTAATATGTTTTTATTATCTGACTTAATAGAATTCCTTTTTTTTTACCCAGTCGTCATCCGTATTTACTTTAAAAACTTGGCCTAAATAAAATGGATATTTGTTCAAATTCATCAAAAAGTATTATTGAATCAAGATGTTTATTTATTATTTGTTCATTAAGCTAAAAGATGCTTAAATAGAATTTGTATCAAAAAATAAATATAAAAGTAAGCTTATGTACATGTTAAAGAGCAGTTGTTGCAAATGAAACTTTATTTTAAAGCTAATAATAATCTAGTATTCTTAAAAAAATAAAAAATATTCTTTCATCATTTTAATTGACACTTTTTAAGTTAATAGGTTAACTTTTTTGTCTAATGCAAATCTATATAAATATTATATTGATTGGATTGTTAAGGCGAGGTTGTACGAAATTGCCACATTTTAAACCAATTTTATTCTAAGGTTATACTAATATTTGCCGAATAAAAATAATTTTATGAAAATTCAACATATTATTGATTGCTTCCTAGAAACAGAAACATACATTTCAATAATTGACTTGATAGAGAAAATCACAAAGATGTCTCAATAGATTTTTTAGATCAATTTTACGAACTAATATATTTCATCTTAACTATATGAAAAATAGGTTTTAATAAAATCTAAAATATACTAAAGATTTTTTTTTGCATTTGTTAATTTCTGTAATTAAAAATATATGAAATCAAGCGAGCGCGTCTTTAATTTCAATATGCAATTGTTTGCGTATTTGTATGGAAATGTAAGCGGATTAAGTCCAAACTTCCATAACAACTGGATGAATTTGTTTTCTTTTTCCATATTCATGGAAGTTTAATATCATTCATTTTCTCAAACAAAATAGGTGCACCTTATTTAAATAAATATCTCTTTCAGTCTGACTTTAGCGGCCGTGTGGTGAACAATGATCATTTCCTTTACTGGGGCAGCGTGTCCAAAGAGAATGATGATCAAGAGTACAGATTTGAAGTCGTGGAGCAGACTGAGTTCGTTGATGACGCATGCTTCCAACCATTCAAAGGTAGAGTCCATAGTTTTCTTTGTTGCTATATTGCAGTCGCCACGGAAAGCTGTCTCCGACTGACTTATACAAAATGGACTTACTGCGTTTTGTGACTATATTGGCTAATGGTCCAGCTCATGGTCAGCTTGTAGATCATGTTCATTAAATGAATACTGTGATGATCTATATTCATATTATAAGAAGAAAGATAAAATTGTTTGTTTGCATTGAATACGCTATATAGAATGTAATTTACTTACGTAGGTGAAGTCGTAGAAAAAGAGCTAGTATTCAATAATGGTTAATTGTTACACTATGCAAAATGTAAAGAACTAGTCGTATAAACAGGAGTTTACATGAAACAATTCATTATTCATTTCATTTCAATATATCATTAGGTTAACCTTTACAATTCTGATTAGACAAGGTGGGAAGTAGCTCTGTTTATGTCGTCATTATAAGTTCGAGGTTTCAATTTTACCTCATTTAATTTTTCATTGTACTTTAATAACTATTCACTTGCACTTTTTATACTGCTATTGTACCTAAACTCTGTTAAACACTAGACAGCGCATATAATGTCGTTATTTAATACAAACCCTTTTATTGGAATCTGCAGTTGGCAAAACTGAAGCGTACGTGAAACGATGCGTTGCTACCAAACTTCAATCTGCGGAGAAGCTAATGTATGTTTGTAAGAACCAACTCGGCATAGAGAAGGAGTATGAACAAAAACTCATGCCTGATGGAAAGCTTAGCATCGACGGATTCCTTTGCGTGTATGACGTTAGTCTCGTGCCGGGACGCAGCTGGGAGAAACAGGTATGTTGTAATTTATTAAAGAAGTGTAACACAGTAAAATAGAACTACTATATTATATGACCATTTTTTAACGCGTTAACATATGCTGTAAAGTTCCAATAAATTTTATATAATCAAATATATCAATAATGTACAGAGATGTCAAAATCTCGGATCGAAAGAGATAGACATATACTAAATAAAGCTGTAAACCATAATCGTCCCACAGGGTGACAAGGACAAATAATATCTGCTCCCTATCCCACACTCATATTATTTTATAAGAAAATATTTTTATATGTACTATTAAAAATTTCTTATTAATATGTAGTCCATATTGTCAAGTTTAATAAAATAAATAATAAATCTTCTGTGATAAATTTAACATTCAATAATTTTTCTAGAACGAAAGCCTGGCTGCAATCTTACAAAATATAATAAAGTTAAAGAAGCCTGTAGTCTTAGTTACATCTAAAAATGACGAGGCGTGCGAACAAGGCGTCCGCGAGGCAGAACGGTTGGTGCAACGCAAGGAGTTCAAAGGTTCAATACCCATAGTAGAGACGTCCAGCCACGATAATGTCAATGTCGATCAAGCGTTCTTACTACTCGCTCAAATGGTCGACAAATCTAAGGCTAGAATTAAGGTACGTTGAAAGTGATATCTAAAAAGATAATAGTTTATAAGTCCCGTAAAGTGTTAATGCCTGGCCGCCATATTGATGACGTAATTGCATTCAAAAATCAGTACCAATAACAAATAAACAATAGTGTACAAATAATTGTTATCTTTTAGAATTAAAGATGGCGAAATTTTGTAAGAAATTTTTAAAATTACGTATGTTAATTATTCCTAATAATGTGTAATTGTTTATTTGCAGGTTGCAAATTATGCAGAAGCTTTAAGAATAAGGAGGGAAAATCTCGATTTTGTTACGGAAGCCTTCACTCAACTCATTCGAATACACATTCAAGATCACAAGTGAGTTGTTTTGCCATGTCATCATATATTTTTTTTTAATATTATACTCTAAGCACATGGAGTAAATGTTATTTTAATATAACAAGATGGAAAAAGACTTACTAAATAATAGAAGAATTTTATCAAAAGAAGAATCATCTTCTAACTAAATCATCAATTTATAATAAGCTACAAATTTCTTCAATTGATGTTATACATTATTTTAGTAGCAACGTCAGTTGTGACTTATTTAAATCAATAGGTCATTTTCGTTTGTCAGTTAGTCATTGTCGTTGGTTTATCGGCCAATGAAATGAGCCCATAGAAATCGCACTAAACTTGCGGGTCTTTTCGGCCAATGTATATGAGTCATTGCGAATTCGCTGCTGTGTACTTATGATACAAAGAATCCACGACTTTGCGAATAAGAATGTTTCAACGAGATAATAAATATTCTTCACATTTATTTCTTAATTAATTCGTATAATTGTTTTATATATTTTTTTTAGGGAAATGTGGTCTGCAGCTAGTAAAAGATTGTGCCATTACCCAGAATGGGTTAAGTTTGTTCAGCAATTTGGAAACGACGGAACGCAGGTAGGTAACAACAATAATAATTACGTGTTATAATTACCTGTTTATCAATTGTAAAAAAAAAACTGCTTTTATAGGTCAATGAGATCTAAATATCAATGCCTGGTAATTAATAGAAGTTCTTATCAGAAACTGAAAATATTGGAGGATTCTATTGCACTATAGGTCTTTGTCTCTTTATTATGTTTTTGAATAAAAAAAATATGTTTAGTTTATTAACTTTAAACAAAGTTTTTAAATAGAAAAAAAGAAAAAAGAACTTTCTCTATGGGAGTCTCATTTATGAGTTCATTTTGGATCTCTTGCTCAAAATAGATTGGGAATTCCTGATATAGAACATATAATACTTTTTGATATTTTACAATATAAGTGTTGAAATATTATGTGTATTTATTTCAGTTGCATTAACTCCAAATTAATGTGTATAAAGCCTAGTTCGCATTAAGCTAGTATTTTAGTCTAGTAGCGAGTAGTTTAGTAGCAAAAATACTCACTACTGTTACGGGTTCGGTGCTTGGGTCAATTAATAAGGCTGCTTAGCTTGAGTATATATTTATTAGTTAAATAAGGGTAATAAGAAAAACTGTAACAAACAAAAATAAATTTATAAAAACAGTTCGTAAGTTACTTAACTAATACATACTTATCAAATAAACAAATACATACCCCTTGTCGGGCTTCTAGTTAACTTTTGGATCTTCCAAAATACAGATTACAATTTAGTAGTTACATATGTTATATAATTTGTATCACCATATCACATTATTTATCACAATAAATGAATTATTTTAAAATTACATAGTAAAATTTATACCATTAATATTGTATTGTATTATAATTTCATCTTGTGCATAGGAGAATTTCTTACGAACTGACATCCATAAAGAGTATAATTGATTAGTCAAAATTTTAAATTACGAAAGACGAATAATAAAATGAAATGATGTTGAATTTCAAAAGTAAAAAGTTTGCATACTGAAACCTAGGAAAACAAACGGTGGCATGGCACACCGTTACACTACTGCCCAAAAATCGTTCACACATTCTTCGAGTACAGTTCACAAGTGAGTTATGCTGCAAGATGAACAGCTTACAACGCAAAGTAAATAAAAGTAAATAAACTGATTAAGCTCATTATTACGGCTATTTTAAAAGAGGTGGTTCTTTTCACCAAATCCAGGTATATTCATTTTATTTTCTAAATCCAATTATGCGGATTGTTTATTTTTATAATGCGGGGACTTAATATTCTACAAGCATTCATTTTCCAAATATTTGGAAACGAATTTTAAAGTTGTTTCTTCGCTCCAGCGAAACGAAATTTATAGGCAATTAATGAACTCGACTAATTTGACAGGTTCGGCCTCGTTTAGTCGGTAATTCGGTAAGCGCGGACATGTGGTGGGAGGTACTACTCGCCCGAAAAAATAGAAAAAATGGATCGACTCGACTAAATTACTTACTAAGCTACTAGACTAAATTTTTGTTGTTCAGACACGTTTTGCTACTAAACTACTCGCTACTAGACTAAAATACTAGGTTAATGCGAACTAGGTTTTATATCTTCAGAATAAAACAGAGAAATAAATATGTTAAAATAATTATTTGAATGCATTCAATGTAGACAAATTTTGCGTGTATTAATGCCGAAAGGTCTTACTGTCAATCAGATCAGAAATAATTTAAGGGTATAAAGTTTATATTCTTTTTTAATAAATATTTGTATGCAAATCCTTTTCGTTCAGGTCGTATACCGTCGCCATATTAGAAGACTGAAAGAGGAACGTTCGGCTAAGAAACTTCGTAAGCAATTAGCTAAGCTACCTCAAGTTCTATCGAGAATGCAGCTACCGACTGAAGATTTGCAGGAGAGGTACAAACAAATATGATTCTAACGAGCCAATATATATTTATATTTTTCAATTCGAACCAGTAGTTCCTGAGTTTAGCGCGTTCAAAAAAAAAATTCTTCAGCTTTAGAATATTAGTATAGATAAAAATGTACCAACAGTGGACTTTTTTCTGGCGAATTCTATTCCTCCAATACGATTAGAACAGAAAGTTTCAGATTTGTAGGTATAAATTTTACACGAAAAAAAAAAATGTTTTGAACATCTGAATATTAATTAACATTTATACACTTTTAATCGCTTAACCTGGTCTGTAAAGAATGTTAATGTAAAAAGTTGTATGGTATATCTTAGTGAGATGTTTCACCTGATTTATTATCTATTTAGCGATTGGCCAATGGTGGTGCGGCAGCTTCGCTCGCACCGAGACTTCTCTGTTTACTTCAGCGAGGGCAGAGCACCCGACTCTGGCTCCGATACCGGCTCAGACCTGGAGAGCCCCCTCGCTACTGATACAACCTTACGGGTCGGGGAACGGGCGCGATACCAGGTACCATAATGATTTATGTTTATGGCATTATTATTTTATAGACGACTAGCTTTCTGCCAGCGGCGTCACCCGTGTGGTCCCTGAAAAATGTTTATCTGGATAATGATGCATATTGTGACACAGATATAATAATAAATAATAAAATCTTTATTTGCAGAAATATGGTTTTACAAGTTGTTAACAATTTTTAAATACCTAACATATTTTGTTGTCAGGACGACGTGCAAATATTACAGGTCATACATTTCATTAAAAAAAATAATAATAAGAACGTCAACATTATTCCAAAAAATAAAATACAAATTGTCACTAAAATTGATATAAAAAAAATGTCAGCATCTTTATCAAATTATTAAAAAATAAATAAATACAAAAATGCCAATTATAATTTTATAAATTATCAAAATGTCAATACCAATGAAAATGTTACCTAGAAATACAAATTTACTATTATATGTCATACATTTTTATTTTTAAAGTAATTTATTGTATCATTTAATTTATCAATTAAAAAGTCAAACAAATGTTTTATAAATTTAGTAAAAGTCAGTGTTTTTATCTAATGAGTTAGATGATTGTATATACGGATTGCTATACAGTTCGCATTTTTTGACGCCATTACAAGACCTTGAGTAGGAATATAGTTACAAATCCAATAGTGAACAATGAACAATTGTATTAATTCCCTATACAAACTAATTCCCGTTTTCATCATTTTATTTGCTGTTTTTCGGGATAAATTATAGCCATTGTTCACTGCATATGATATAGCTTCCCGTAGGTGAAAGAATTGTTAAAAATGTTTTCAGTAGTTTCGGAGCCTGTTCGAAGCAAATAAACAAACATACCTTTATCTTTATAATATTAGTATAAGTATATTGTTTAAATTTTTACGGTCACTAACATGAGAGGAATTATTCACGGAACGCGTTCGAAACTCGTACCGCTCTTCATTAAATCACCACTCACTCGCAACTGTTCTCAACACACACACTGTATGAGATCGCTGTACTGTTTTATCTTTGTCGAGTGTCTGGATTCCAGTGATAATTCACTGGAATCCAGACACTCGACAATGTGAACTCGAACGCTTGAAATTTTTGCATTTTGTTATTTCAATCGCGTTCTGGACCATTGAAAGTATGTGATGGGTTTTAGTAGGTGCGACATCTATTTTGTCGAAATATTTTAGTATGACATATGGAATTAATGGTTTTTAAGACGACATATTTTCGTGTTTTAGACATTGGGACAATCACAAAAGATACCATACGAAATTCTGGAAACGAATGAAGCGGCGATCGTGTTCAAAACGTACTTGCACGAAGCTCAAGAGGAACAAAGAAATTACGAGTGAGTAGTTTAATATATCTTGTGCAATAGCCGAATACAGGTCATCGTAATATATTTGGAATATACTTGTACCGTCAACAGCGTGTTAGGTTATACAAATCTGTCAAAATTCTCCACTTGATATTAAAAATGCATTGGGTGTAGAGTTTAAAATCATCTACAGAAATTCACCATATCATGGTAACCTGACTTGCGGCTGTGTGTGCAATAGTTAGTCATTCTATGTGAGTTTCCATAGGTTAATTTAGAAAGATGTGTTGTTGTTTTTTTACCCGATTACGGCGGAGCGAAAAGGAGGGTTATGATTTTAGCCAGTATGTATGTATGTTAGAATGTTCATCTGTTCCCTTATAACTTTGAAACTACTTATCGTAACTGGACAAATGAGGTATCATTAGAAGCGTTTTAGTTGCCCGCGTGCTATATGAGGTTACTTTAAATTGGCAACAGCGCCCTCTAGACAGTATAAAGTAAGAAACTAAAGGAAATATATTATTCAATAATTCCGTGTAGGGTATAAAATGAAAGGTCTTAATTAGCACATTTAAAATATATTTATATTGATAGCTTTTGCTTGCAATTTTTCTTAAATATACCCTAATTAATTAAATTAATTAAATAAAAAATTTAGTTCAAAAACTAAAACCCGACTACAGCTAAAGTCGCCATCTCTGAGGTCCCGGGTTCGATTCCCGGTCGGGTCAATGTAGAAAATGAACTTTTCGATATTGACTCGGGTCTGGGTGTTGTGGTACCTTCGTTGTCTCAGATACTCCATAATTCGGGGCCTTTAGCTACTCATCTTGGAATCTGGGGCTCTATTTTTGAATCATTCGTCTCGCGTCGAGCGCTCGTTTTCTACTATCACTCGAATACAACGTTCGCTAAGCGACGAGTGGTTCATACCATTCGTTGCAGTCGAGCGATTTAGAAATGGCGAATTTGTTAAGTCGAACGAAAATCAGTAGAAAACGAGCGCTCGACGCGAGACGAATGATTCAAAAATAGAGCCCCTGAGCAATGTATGTGATGTTGTTAAATATTTATTTATTTATGCATAAATTATGCATAAAAGTATGAAAGGGTCAGTGCCTCTCAAACTACTAATTTACACAAAATTAAAAATTAAATAAATCGCTATATAATAATAGTGATGACCAAAGGACAGCGTAGTATGCCACAACAGTTTGTTTTGTTATGATGTTTGCTATTATAATATAGGTTTTAGTTTTTAAACTTATTTTGTTGTCTAGTTATTTTTATATTTTATTTATTAGTGTCAGTCATAATGCATTGGTAGGACAGTTCAAAATCGCATTTAGAGTTAAGTTATTAAAAAAAAGAGGTGTTTATATCGGAAGCATTGTCGTAGATGGTGTCAACAGTTCAAACGGTTACTAGAAGAGACTGGTTACGTTACGCCAGGCAAACAGTTGTCCGAGGTTCGAGTCCTGCTTATGGGACGGGAATGTTACGAAGCTCTATCCGACGATCAACAGCAACGCGTTTACGATCAACATCAGAGACAGATACAGAGACGGGCTAAACATAACCTCCAGGTAAACTATACAGATTATTAGAATTTTATTGGGTATAGACAAAAAAAAAAAAATCACTTTGATATGATCATTCAAAACTTAATTTTTTATTCTGGGGAGAGAGCTGAAGGTGATTTCGTTTTATTTATGTCAAATTTTATGGCCTGCATTTTTTCTATATTCAGCGTTAGTAGTACTAGTTATGGGTAACCATTTACTAATAGCGCCTTTACGATATTGTATTTTGCGAGTTTCTATCGTAAACAAAAAGTGCAGTATCAGCGGCAGAAGCAAAGACATTGCAGTTGTGAAGCGATAGACCGCATAGCACGTCCATGTACACGAGAAACAGTGTGGGACCTAGCATGCTTCCTTGGGGGACACCATTGTTAATATATTTTTGATCACTTACTAATAACCCGATTTTTAACATTTTGGGATTTAGATAATTGGTAAAAAAGCTAAGATAGGACCTCATACGCCACAGTATTCTGGTTTTGATAATATGATGGGACCAAAGACTGTATGTATCGTAGGCCTTGGATAATTCTAATAAAATGTCATAAAGAAAAAAAGAAAATTGTGAGGTTAAAGTGTAGCAAGCCGTAAGCAGCGTACTGAGTGACGAAGATAAAACGCATTAACAACTCTTAACCTCACCACAATAATAACCGAATTACTTAATTACCTTAATTTAATAATAACTTGATCTATACTAAATAAATACTTTTATGGCCCGTTGATATAATGGTCTGCTTCCAGGAGTTACTGTTGGAACACGCAGATCTCTTCTATCATTTCAAAAGCATATCACCTACGGGCACTATCACTCAAGAAGATATCAAAGAGATAACAGATGTACTACAAGATGATTTCAGGTAACTACAGATCAATTTACAGCTGATTCTACTCAACAGAGATTGCCCTTTAAAAGTATCTTTAATTCCACAGTTTCATATAGAAATTAATTCGAAAGACTTTCATGGTTCCATTTTTTTGATGATACGCTTTATGTAACTTCATATGTAAAGAAACTCAACAACTTCAATGAATACTTAAGGTCCAAAGTCCTGTGGCAACATGTACGCACTTTTAGCTTTGCAAATATAAAATTTTCAGAGACTTAATGAGATTGAGTTTACTAGAGTGTAATTGTAGTTTTACTGTTATTTAAAATTATTGCTTTTTCCTACATTTTTATAGATACTTAACATTTTCTTAGATATAAAATGCTTGATCGTATGGAGCAAGATAGGAAACTGATGCTGTTTCAACATTTGGGCTTTGTTCATTGCCCAATGAGGGAGCACTGTCCGGCCGGTTCCAACTGTTTAGATGCTACCCTACCCGTCATACTTAACACTAGAGTAGGGTGAGTATAATTATGTTATATTAATTTTAACGTTCTTACAGAATGTAAAGAGTCATGTGCACTTTCCATATATTCATTGGTCTGTCAAATGTTTTATGTTTGTGTATTAGTTTTTACTTAAAGCAGAATAATACCTTAGCATCTTTTTATTTGGAACGGAGAATCGTTATTTGTAGATGTTTTGAGGTTATAATAGCTGTCAAAATTCGAAATAAACGTGAAGCTCGACTCGTAAATATGGAAGTAAATAAAAAAAGTAATTGTGAATGTGTATATTTTAACCTTATGTCGAAAGAATATTTTTTCCATATTAGATGAAACAAAACTTAGCAAACCGTCATCGGGTGAATTGCATTGAGGTAGTGTAGCATACCGTCATTTTCAAAAGTAGTTATCATAGAACTATTTGAAAATAATTATCAGGCGCGCAATTTTTATACCGGCTTTATTTTTAGATTTAGTTTCCTGATATTAAATAAAAAAAAAAACACATAAAAAAAAAACACACAACAAAAAAACACAACAAAACACACAAAAACATCACTAGACGCGTTAATAAATTTTTAGGTCAAAATTGGACATGATTCTTTTGTAGATTTCAATGTTTATCTCTAAATGTCATACAAATTAATAAACACAGTTTTCCAACTGTTTATACTACCATATCAGTACATTTTTTTTAAGTAGCATTGGCAAAATGTGTAATCTAAATTGAAATATTGGAACATAAATGCTAACAAAGCTTACTCATATATGCAGTATAGTAATAGTCACATAAGGGGCCGTCCATTATGTTTTTTTCAACATTTTTGACCCCCCCCCCCCCCCCTCCCCCTTGGTGATACATGGTGAGGTTTAAGACTACCCCCTTCCTCCTTCAACCAAATCACGTGTATTTAAAAACAAAAAATATCTATTTTTGACGTCGCTTTTCGGTTTAATAATCGCGTATCGAGGAAAAAATAAATACACGTGATATATTACTACATACCCCCCCACCCCCCTTGTGATATTTCGTGATTTTTAACGAATCCCCCCCTCCCCTTTCGAGCCTCACGTGATTAATGGAATAGGAAACGAATGCGGCTCGCGTGCAAATGCATAACGTACGCCTGACTTGATTTCTTCCGTCCTTTCAAAACTTAAGGTACCTGTGTATCTATAAGTTATACCTATGTGTAACTTATAAATGAAGCTCTGCTTTATATACTAGTATATCAGATTCAATTTATTGAATACTAACTTTCCGCCGCCGCAGCCGCGGCCGCGTGGTCCCTAGTGAACTATTTATTTGGATACCGATTCATATCATGATACGGATATAATTACAATGTCAAATTGAATAGTGAGCAATGGTTACTATGGCAACGTTTAATTCTCCATACAAACTTCGACCTCCATTTTCATCCATTTATTTTCTGCTTTTCCGCATATAAGGTCCCCGTAGCTTCCCGTAGGTGAAAAAAAATTTAAACTCGGTCCAGTAGTTTTTGAGCCTATTCGATGCAAACAAACATATAAACAAACAATAGTGGCCGTTTATGTATTGTTGCTAATTATTATTGTTGTATTTTATGCCAATAAATGTTTCTTCTTCTAGATCTCTGACGTCATCGAGCGAGTCTCAATGTCACGCGGGCCCTCCGGCAGCTCCGTGGGCGCTGACCACAGATTCTAATCAAATAAATGTCATCATTTTGGGTGTAAGTTTTTATTTTATATTTATACTTTGTATATTGTCGAATAGTATGAACGCCGATCAGCTCGTTGGTTATCCACGAGTCTATTAACCGAACTACTTTTTTACCATTAACTTTTTTCTATATACAGGTTTGCAATCGTTGCACATATTTTCCTATTGCTTTAGTAGTGTAAATAGAATATTTTAAAAACGCTTTTTTGTAATCTCATATTTGAATATTCATATGAATAAATCAACTGTAAAGTTTTATTGACTAAAATCTGTAATAAATCTCTGGGTATAGTACTTTTGTGAGTAGCAACATTTGTAGAATAATTTTTCCTAACTTAATTCCGATGTTGAACTAACATCGTGTGTTTAATATAATTTATAGAAACAAAAACAATATTAAAATGTATGTGATTACAATTTTTTCTTGGATTTGTATTTTTATAGCATGCAGTAGTTATTAAATAAAACTACTTTAAAACAGTTTTTTCTCTTTTATGTCAGATAAAATATTACATTTACAGACGTTTCGAATATTAGATTCCGTGTTATCTAAACTGACATGTTGGTCGTCTTATAATAAATTAAAGACTATCTTTCAAACCATTATTGGACACATTCAAGATGCATTTTGCTTTATTTTCCTCGAAGGTGGATGGTGTTGCGGGCGAGTTCGGTAAACGTTTATTAGCGGGCTGCGACTCTGAACGTCGGGTTTCAGTCCAAGGGCAGACGTGGCGGATAGAACAACGAGTGAGAACTGACGACTTCACTACTGAAACTACTAGTATAGACGACTTTGCACCTAACGGTATGTATATATATGAATTGAATTAGATTAACGATACTGTGCAGGTATTTATACATACACAGTTCAGTATTAACATGCCTGGTATAATTGTTTTCGTAACGCCATTTGTGGGTAGTCATTCATTCAAGTCATTAGTTCGAGTAAGTAGTCTGAGGTAGTATGTTTTGTCAATATTATTTGTGATCTATATCACAAACAATATTACTATTATACAAGAATAGTTACCTAATACTTATTTTACACAAATAGTTCAACCACTATTTATTACGTTAAAATTAAGTTAATCTTTTTTCTTAGGCTATTTCTGCGTATTTCAAGACCAAGAATCTTTTGAGTACATCAGAGGCTGTGCTGAGAAGACTTTACTCTCTAGTCTAGAGCAAGAGGATAAATTACCTTTCCAGGTATGTATGTCACATTAGAAAGGAAACACTCAGAAGTTCAGAAGACAGTGTTTCCCAACCTTTCTTGTATTGTTACGGAAGTGGTTAGTAATCTTTTGATTGGAGTGACGTGTTTGGCTAAGAAGAGATTATTTTTTATTTGTTTAGGGTCTACCGTTGGTTGTGATGTTTGTTCAAGACGAGGGCATGGACAAAAAAGAATTAGCGAGACTCCAGGAGGAAGGGCAGAACCTAGCCGACAAGTATGTATTGTAACAAAAGAATATTGAAAAATTAAAAGGGTGCTTGGAATTTATTTAGTCGGGATTTATTAATACGTTATTGCACCTCTCTCAATGCTTATTTCTGGTTATAATTATTTTTCTCTATACAATTTTATTTATAAATCGTCAATCCACTTATGCCGCGACAATAGGGTATTTGATATAATAGGGTATAAAGTTTATTACTTAGACAAAATATGTTTAGCTTTAGTAAAAAAAAATTCTAGGAATTTAATGAACGACGAAAACGCCCTTTAGTTGGTTGTCGTAGTAGGATTTGTTTACCGGCGTGTGACGTCACACGAAAACAGGAAGCTTTCATGTCAAAAAAAGGTGTTATTAGAGATACGCAAAATTTGTTTTTATATGTATTATTTGTAACACATATTTATAAACAAAACCAGGGTAGATACAAATACAAAACATAAAATTTAACTTTAATTTCTCTTTTAGTAAATAAATAGGTTATGTCGCCTTGACATATTTACAGAGCAGCGTTTTTTTTGCGCGATTTTGTTTATTTAAACTTAAACAATTATTTTTATCGAAAACAGACTTCCATGAAATAAATTGACAGTGTGTTTATAATGTATGAAACAACAATTCAAAATATTTTCAGTAGTGTCAAAAATCCTATTTTTTTCTAACCCAAAGTAAAATAGAGTTTCTAACATTCTTTTTTGTTTTTTTTTTTTTGCTAAACGATAAGATAAGCTATGAATGTCTGTGTTTTTTACAGTTTACATTGTTCGTATATGGAGGCTTCGGTGAACGAGTTAGGTACTGAAGCTTTGACGTCGGACGCAATACAAGAGTTGATTAGAGCTAACAGGGACAAGGCTAGCTACGCACACTTGTATAGAGATCTCATTGTATGCTTCGATTCTGATATACGGTGAGTTGCTTCTGATTTTTTATAAGTTTGATCTTAATACAACAGGTAATTTATTACTTTTTAAGCTTAGCTTTCTGCCAGCAGCTTAGCTGCTTGGTTTACACGATGACTTGATAGTAAAATACTTAGAGATCCCTTTACTGGAATAGAAAGTAGCGTATATGTTAATTCAGGCTTAAAATTATCTGTATACCAAATTTATTATTTCAATTCAATACTTGATTTGTATACAGGATAATGGTGTGTATGTTCTGCGATGATCCGTACTCGCCAGAGCGAGTTTTGAGTCCGCTGTTACTTCACAAGGCCTGTTTTCTTACTGGGGATCGGTCTATAGTAATAGAGACCTTCTTAGGTGATTCCAAGAGAAAAGTTGAGGTAAGTCTATCAAATACGTAAAGAGGTTTTTGGGTCATTTTTTCAAAACTGTCTCAGTCTGTTGATTAGATAATAAAAACCTGCAATGTATATTCTGTAGCAGAATTAAACTGGAAAAATATCAACTTAAATAGTTTTTCACTTGAGAATTTGGCGCTAAAATACTTCAGTAGTGTCATTGTGACGTCATTTGTCATGATGAGTTTCATGATTTGATTTTTACAAAGTTTGGTGACATCAATTTTTACCAATTTTTTTTTTATTATTACTTTTTTAATTGAAACGAATGCATATTACTGCTTTCTACATTCCAACAAAAAATTGTACTACTGTATAAAAAAAAATATCAAGACAAAATTTGTATAAATTGGCCCAATTGTTCTGCTAACCCAGAAAGTGACAGCGAGTTATGACATCGTGTACCAGGTGCATTTCAGATCACGTATATTTGATTCAGAAATAAAAGGCCTTTTACTCTAAAAAGTTAAAAGGCTGATCTTCCATCATTGTGATGACACCTCTTATAAGTAGCTACTAACTTGAATTAGTATTTTACAATTAACCACATCATCCAATAACTACTTATTTTATGATCAGACTATAATCTTACTTGATATCTTCCATTTAATGTATGATATTTGTACTCAGGTGATCATATCGAGTTTTCACGGAGCGACACAGTTCAGGGAGGAGTTGATACACGGTTTCATACTTATTTATTCAGCGAAGAGGAAGGCCAGCCTGGCGACTTTGAAGTAAGAACATTTTGGATCATTTTATGAATCATCTTTAGCTTTGTTATGTCCCCAATTTAGGGGCTCTCGCCTTTCTTATGGATGGTTAAGGAGGACGGGCCATAACAGTCCACGCTGGCCAAATGCGGATAGGAGGGTATTAACGACTGTAAATGTAGCCGGGACGGCTAAATGTGGCTTCCGAAGCACGGAGTAGCTCGAGATAATATTTTTTTTTTGGTCACCCTTCCCGTGACCGACCCTTGCGAAAGTTGCTTAACAACAACGATCGAGTGCCGCGCTTATCCGCTACGTCACCGAGCTATCATTTATTAATACCATTTGAGTATAAGTAGTACAGGTAGGTTTCAAAGGCTTAAATCTTCCTCTTCTACAACTTAAACTAGACAAACACCAATAATACTGCACAAAATAGTTTTTTTTTTCACTAGAGCCCGTATATTGCCAGGCATTTTTTTTCTTTTTAACTCTCGTTACAGTTTTTATTTATATCTATTTTATCAAAATTTTTGTCAATAACCATTTTTGATAGACGTTTCCAAGGACTGGGAAGCAACAAATCATGAAATTGTGACATAATTTTCATTATAATGACACAGACCATAACACGCACACGCACATGCACACACACACGCACATGCACACACACACGCACATGCACACACACACGCACATGCACACACACATAAACACACACACAGGCGCACGCACACGCCCATACACGCACATATGTGCATACACGCGAAGGTTTTTAAATTTTGTTTTATGTAATCAAAAAATGAAAATTGGTTATTATAAAAATAAGAACTTGCTGTGGATTTTTTTAAAATAAGTAAATTAGGATGTGATCTTTATTTATGTCATCGTTTGGTCGAAACAGTGCGTTTTCCATGAACATACCAAATCTTCCCATACAAATGGTCGCGGTGACGGACGGCGGCGGTTCCGCAGCGAGCGCTTTCTTCGGCACAGACGTAGGGCACGCGCTCATTACTGAAGGGAACGCTACAGCTGATAGGCTCGCCGCACACTTCACAACTTACACGTCTAGCGCCGAGAACAAGTGTGAGTATTTTAGCATTCTCATTTATCTATTTTTGTCTTCACGCCAGATATTTTTCTGAATATATTAAAACTAATATGGTTCTGTTTTTATTTTATTGCATAATTTTAGTATGCAAAGTCTAAAAAATCTTTTTTCTGCAGCGTCAACAAGGACTTAATATTTTATCTTATAGAAAGTCTTTAAAATCATCAGTTGCACTTGATTTGAACATATTCATGTTTGATTTAAACAACCTACAACAAAGTATAAGAAAAATTATGGCCTTTGGTCACTCAGGTCACATTCACCTGCTGCTGATTTGAGGACAAAAATGTGTAATTTGGAGCAAGTTTAATGCTTTGGTGTATGCTTGTTGATGAGTCCAAATATCATAATGATTTAACTATAAAACTAGGCGTGAATCGAATCTCGTTATTCAATTAAAGGGCTAGCCACCCAATGAGGAAGTATTAAAAAAACACGAAAACACTTAAAAAGCACCTCCACTAGATGGCGACTCGAGCAAAAGTTGATTTTTACAGGAAACGAATGGACCAAAGACAGTCATTTCCGTTTCTTTTAACTAACATATTAAAAAACTGAAATTTAAAAAGTTCCAAACTTAGAAATCAATATAAATACGAAAAAGTACAAATAAAATAGGAGTTGTTTATAGAGTTTTGAAAACTAATTTACTTTTAAACTTGAAAGAAAACCGGGGTGGTTGTCATGGAGAAATCAAGAACGTACTGTAGCGACATCTACTTTGATTTCGGGAACTAATTATTTTTTTTAAAATACTTCCCCATTGGACTGCTGCATTAACCATTTGACTGCGACGTTTATATATATGTATGTATTGCAGCGGCATTCTACACGCCGTTCTTCAAGGAGGTGTGGGAGCGCAAGGGCGAGATCGAGCGCGCTTTCCGTATGGAGCAGCCGCCGCACAATTTACCCGACGTGGCTGCCGCTAGACCGCCGCCCCCACCACGGAACCACTCCTACCACAACCACAAGTAACCGCACATACATTCAGCTATAATATCATTTTGTATTTTAGACTAGTGATGTGACTCGAGCCCTGCTTTCAGTCAAGTTATATTTCCAAACTCATACTCGAATGAAATAAAATATCAATCGAGTCTATGCACTCGAGTTATCGAGTCAACTCGGTGCATCAAGTTGATTCTCTTGCCACTAGATGTCACTTTGATACTATACTTTATTTATCTACGCAGTTTATTTTTTTATTTTCCCTGTTATATAAAAAAATTATGTGTTAAAATACTTTTAATGCGTATTTTATTTACATTGTATAGGTATTTGTTTAAAATAACTAAAAGAAATCTCAGTTTAGTGGCACGTTTGCATTTTTTAAATAAATGACTCGAAAACTTGAGTATGACTTGAGTGAGATAATTTAATGGTTCCAGTGATTCAAGTCACAAAATCCAGATAACGGAACAGTGATTGTTTTTTATATATATGTTACAGTTAAAACCAGTTTTGAGGTAGATCATGTTCTCCCGGTTCGAACTAGATTTTACGAAACGCCTTTGTTAAAACTAGAATTAATGATTGCTCAAACTTGTATATCAGTAAAAACCAGTTCTTATTAGACAAGAAGCGTCAGTAAAAATAACTTTGTTTATTCGATATATTTTTTTTGTTATCTGTTTGTTATTTTTTTGTTAAACTCGGAAGTTACAACTAGTTGTATCTGAAAATATAATACGATATTTTGATGGTAAATTCTAATTTTGACTAGGAACTTCTAGTTTTAACAAAAGCATTTAGAAAAAAACTAGTTTTAATTAATAACGGCTATTGATGCTCCCGTGCTGGAGCTCAGGGCTTATCTATGGATGGATTCGAATCTAATAGGGAGAATGGGCGTCGACCCACGCGGGCCCGTGAAGTCTGAACCTGACATAGCATATGTTTTGTCCAGGATGGAACACAAATTGACCAACTCATTGGACCTTCTAATCGGACCCGATTCGCGCGCTGATATCGACTCCGAATATAGCGACACTATGAACAATAAGAACAGGGGCTTCCTGAAAGGTGAGTTTTTGTTATTATCTAATTTTGATACGCTCTTGTATTTCATAAACAGCCAATTAATATCCCCACTGCTGGGACACGTGGATGGGATTTATCAAAAAAAAAAAAAAAAATGTATAATCCACCGCGAGCGGGCCTATTGGTGGATGTCAACGACAGTTGGACCAACGGTTTACCGTGTCTTCCGAGGTACGGAGGAGATGACAAGTTTTCAGTGTGCCTGTGCCTTATGATGTTTTGGAGCCGACTGTGAAGACTGTGAGGGCCTTGTGTGCGGACCTTTGGATCGTCATTGTCCATAAGATGTCTTGTATTTCTTGTCAAAGCTGAATTCGGGTTCGATTCTGGTCCACGCCGCCACTACTAGCGGGGCGTTAAGCCACTCCTTAAGTAAGCCATTAAGATGTTTGGCGGTCTCGAACTTTACCAGTTTGTGATTTATTAGTCTCAACGCTGTCTTCGCCTGTCCCCAACGTTTTGGCGCAAGTCCTCAGCGTTTCCCGATTATTTTGTGGCATTGCCACAGGATGACACTCGCTGTTTTATTTTCATGTTTATGTGACTTCCAGTTTGATTTACTGTCAAGAATTATGTATAGGTACTATACCTCCTTGGATAATTCTAGTGTAGTGTCAAAATACTTCGGTAGGTGGAACATGCCTACGTTATGTATGGTTGTAAACATTACCTGTTCCGTTTATGCAGGGTTTACAGCCAGGTCATACTTTTCACACCCCGTGGATTCATCTTATTTACACGTCTTCAGCAGATAATGTTTCTAAGCATGGTCAACTTATGGCTCCTGGTTTCTTCAGGCACAACCTCTTATTTGTAGCTTATAATGCAAAACTTCCCAAGCCCAAACCGCTTTTAATAAAGTTGCGTAAATTTAACATGGTTGGATGTGGAGAAACTTAAAGTTGATGCTTGTGCTATTAACTAGACACCTGTTTGTGAAGCAACTGGTATCGATAATTATTTCAGTTTAATAATTTGGACCTAAAGTTCATTAATAAGCACTCACCTAAGAAATGTGTTAAATTGAGGCGCCCATCTGCCCCATGGATTACTCCTGGTGTACGGATGACCATGAGAAAGCGTAATAAGCGCTTCCGTGCTTTCAAAAAATGTTATACTGATCTTAACTGGGACGCCTTTAAATCTGCCAGGAATCGTTGCAATAAGATTGTAAGAACGCCAAACGCCAATATATTCATAATAGCATATTAAACTCTAACTCCGTCGATATATGGAAGTTTCCTCATCCTTTGGTTTTTGGGAAAACCCAAACTCAAATTAGCTTTTTTGTTCTCTGGAAGACCTCAACAAACACTTCTCATCTATTACTCCTATTTATAATTCTATGATTCTGTCCACTGTGTCCTCTATTACTTCCTCGGCCTCTTCTGACTCTGAATCATTTTCTTTCAGACCTTTAGCTAAACGATTTTGTCTATTCAATCGAAGGCTGTTGGAAGTGATGACGTTGGCAGAACAATGATTAGATTTATACTTAATTGTATTCTTCCGTTTCTTACATTTATTTTGAACTATTCTCTTTCTTCTGGTAAATTCCTCAGTACTTAGCAATAAGCATTCACTTTTCCATTACCTAAAAGTCCCAATCTATAAACTCAAAACCACTTTCGGCAGATATCTATCCTCCCTTTCCTTTCTAAAATTTTAGAAGCCATAGCCATTTAGTCTCAAACTTCTCAGCCCTTTTCAGTCTGGGTTTCGACCTGGGCATAGCATTGGCGGTTATTGATCCGAGAACTGTTACCAGTTACTATCAAAAGATGAACTTATTCCGTTTCAGTCTTACTTCAAGTACCTGCCCATTGACTATACTCTCAGTTGGGAAGTACAGGTTTGATCGTTTACTTAAAATAGTGCTATTCGGTTCATATACGGCCTTTGTAAATACGTTTATATTTCCGACTATAGGAAACAACTCGGATGGCTGACTGTTCATCAATGCAGAAACCTGCCAGATGTTTGTATGCTCTTCAACGTTTTATTCTATCCATGTACTCCAGGATATTTGAAATTTAAGTATCAATATCTTGGTTCCTGTAATAGTCAATGTAGTAGCAACCTCATTTTCCAAACTCCCCTTCATCATACTGTATTTGTTTCCAAATATTTTACTCTTAACTGCTATTCGCCTTTGGAATGCTTTACCACTTCACATTAGAGACTACTAAAAGTATATTGGTTTTCAAGATATTGGTCCGTGAGCACCATCTTAGAATGGAAAATTTCTTTCCCATTACTATGTATATTAATTTGTTATATATTTTATTTTTTTCCATTATCGCCTTATAGTGATCTCCAATATTTGTTTAGGTTGACTGGTAGATAATGCCTGAAGCATTAAGTCTGTCTTTTGTGTTTTTTTTTCAATAAAGAATAAATAAATAAATTAATATTGTTTATTATTTAAAATGTTATTGTTTAACATTTAAAATTTAAGTGAACAAATCAGTTCTGGTTGTATTTTTTCGTTTAATTATTGTAAAAACTGCAAAAACAATTCCGGTGACTTGTTTACATTTTCCCACTGCTAATAGGACAGGGTATAGATTCAGTTTTTATCTAACAACTATTTTTTCTAATAGGTTTTAGTGTTTATCCACCACCGAGTACTCCACCGGAGCCAGCGCCGCCTGATCACAGAATGCATGATCTCTCGCGTAAGTAGAACGTGTTTGTTTATTTTTTTTTATTGTGAAAAATATTAGCACTTGTTACTCTCATAATTATTGTGGTTATCAATTTCTCACTCAGTCTATCTGAAAAACTGATCTATAATTGATTAAAAACTATATGCATTGAACACTGTCTTTCTCTTAAAATTCTCACTCGCTCCGGCGCGTTCCTCGGTTTATCAGATATTGAAGTTATAAATAAAGCTTAATTCTCGATTTCTATACATTGAAGTAGAGTATGAATACAGCAACAATTGAGCGGCATAAAAAATATTGTATGTACAGTAAAACCATGTTTATAAAGTTACATCCATGTAACTGCGCTGAAGTTTGATATTTTAAAGACGCGGAAAAAGTTGGGTAACTGTTAGAGCTACGGGTTTCCACCCAAGCCGTGTTCGTTTGTTATGGGGATGGGCGCTAATCGCTAATGGAAACGTCCAACTGCCTTCATATAGCCCAGCCAAATAAGTCCAAAAAAGGGTGCCACTCGATTATAACGTGTATCATTAGATCCATAAGGATCAAGACCAGCACACTCTTTTACTAATCCTATTAATATTATAAAGGCGAAAGTTTGTAAGTATGGATGTATGGATGTTTGTTACTCTTTCACGAAAAAACTACTGGACGGATTTGGATAAAACTTTACAGCAATATAGGTTATACATCAGAATAACACATAGGGTACTTTTTACTGGGAAAACTTCTCACTCCCACGGGATACCGACTTCCACGCGGACGAAGTCGCGGGCGTCCACTAGTACTTATTAAAACTACGAGATAGCGTTGCGGAAACTATTTTGCCGACGAGACCGTTATTTTCTTTTCAAGTTTTTATGTCTTTTGGGATGAAGCTGCGGCAGCGTCGTTTTGACAGTTGCCTTCCCCAATAGTTGGTGCGTACGCGCAATGTCCGATTACCTAGGCATTGTGATAAGTGTCGACAGTTGCGAGTTGTACGACTATGAACTTTATCATAACCCATTGAATTGTATATTTCAAGGATGTTGATACTCTCTTTTGTGCAGACGAAATTTGACAATGCTACTAATAAATATGGTAGTACTGTACAGTCAATAGCACGTTAGGTTTTACAAAAATTAACCAATTTCTCCACTTCACTTATCATGTAGGTAGAGTTCAAAATCAATTGAGCTATATGTAATCTTCGTTCATTCTTAGTAACGTTCGATTATAATTTACCACAATTTAAATATAATTTTACGTAAACGCAGCGGATCTCAACTGCTCGGAGGATTCGCTGAGCACACACGAATCAGGTGATTGAATGCATGAAGCGACAAACGTACACGGGGATAGTTGAATTTTATGTTTGTAGATAGATTTGTTATGTATGATACATTGACGAATGAAATTTGTGTTTATAATTTTGCATGTAATGTTTAATTTGTTGTTTAGTTTGTGATAATTTATTTTTGTTTGTGGTGAACGGTAAAGGTTATTTATTGCACAGCCATTTTTCTTTTAAATATTTTCTTTTTAATAATTATTGGTCTAGTGCATGGTGTTTATAAAAAAGTAAAAAAAAAAAATAGATATTACTAGTTTCAATACATATTGCGTTCTGTTTTATTTTATGCAATAGTAGTTTATTCGTTTTTTTATTAGATTCTTATATATAATTTTTCCTATTTAGGGTTTATAACGGTCTTTAAATGGTAATGATATAGACATTATTTTTTTATTATTTTAGAATGATAATTAAAATTCCGGTAATGTTTTTTTTACAAGCAATAATAGCCAGTAGCATGTATATTTTAAATTCGTTGTAATCTGGCAAAGATGTTTAAAAAATTAAAAGGCAGTTATTGTTTAATTTTATAGTTTTGGAAAAGGGAACATAAGCAAATTGAACTTTTATATGACAATGTTTAAGGCTCCTAATACTTTGTATGATTTCGATTTTAATTAATACGTACTCTTGTTTATATATATGTTCTTTATACGATTAAGTTTTGCGTATAAGCTCACGACATGTTAGTGAGCGTATACGCATTCTTACGTACTTCGGATTCAAATTCATATGAAGTTGAATCCAAAGCATGATGCGTAAGTTAATATAGGAAGTCGTTTATTGTTGTCTTGTATGTATAGACGGCGGTGGATTATGGCAACCACCCAGCTATGGGCATCGGGCGTTCACGACGGGAAGGACGCGTCCACATCCGCCGCCGCAACGACCGAGACATTCGCAGACTTTGAAGGTACAGATAGTCGCATGTTACAAAATTTTAATGCTATATGAACTTTATTTTCTACATTTAAAGGTTTAAATTTCGTTTAAGAAATTACACAGTTGTAGACGATCTTTAATTTATAATTTCTAAATCTAAATAAAGTTTATCTAGTTTGTGCCGACAGGATTGCTACAAATTTTGAATTTAAAACTGATGTGTAGTCTATATGTATAGAACTTATCTATAACAAACAAGATTTGATTGATCATGTTTCTTTATTAATTTGCATTGAACATGCTCCGAAATTATGGACCGATTCTAAATCTCCTACGGGAAGCTACAGCATATGCCGATGTCAAAGACTATAATTTACGTGGGCAAAGTAACAGAAAGTTCAAATACTAAAAAAAAAAACAAATTACTGTACTACTCTAAATTAATTACGAAATGAAAATGTGTGAATTGTTACAGCAACCCGGCAAATTAGATATGAATAACTATACAATGGTCAGTGACGCGTTACAGCATATCACAATAGGTCCTGCACACACCAAAGAAAGAAAGGTGAGCTATGCATGTATACGAAGACAGACGTCTTAATCTATTTCCTTATAAATATTAGATCTATTCTTCTTTATTTCAGTCTATCTCTCCTTATATTCCCGTCCACATTCATGCTTATACCATTTTTAGGGTTTTGTACCCAAGGGGTAAAACGGGACCCCTATTACTAAGACTTCGCTGTCTGTTCGTCTGGCAGCAGGCTCGTTTTCAGTACGGAACCATTCGTGCGCGAGTCCGACTTGCACTTATGACCATTGCATAATATTCAACGTTAAGAAAATGACGTGCCACCTGGATATGAACTAGACAACTATAAAATCTCGAGCTACTCGTGCGAATTAACGTGACACCTGAGATAATTGTCTTCGAATGAAAATTGGAAAAATTTCGAATGGTTGCTATAATGTTATTAAAATCGTATTCCTTTAAGATTATCTATGCATTAGAGGCAGTGTAAGGTCATCATAAATTATCGATAGATGCGTTTTTTTGGTGTCGTATTAGTATTTCGAAAATTGAAAATGGAATACTAGTAAGGTTTGTTTCACATTGTTGGTTACGATTGCAGTCTCAACGGTCTGGTTGGTCGCACTCTAGCGGTCAACAGAGCGGTCATCATCATCATCCGTCCGGTGTCAGCTCGGAGACTGAACTGGACGCTCAATATGCACAGGTTAATGCAATTTGTACATGGATTCTTCAATGCACTACATTCATAGTCTGCATCACCAGCTTAATAATGTTAAGCTTAGGCTCAGACCTCCCCTATGGACGGAATCGAATAGAAAGAATGGACTATGACCCGCTAGACGCGGGTCCAGTGCGGATTGGTGGGTGTTAACTACTACAGATGCAGCCGGGACCAACGGCTTAACGTGTCTAGCGAAGCACGGAGGAGTTCGAAATAGTTTTCTGATCACCCATCCTGCGAGCCGCCATTCTGAAAGTTGCTTAACAACCATATCACAGATCGAATTCCAAAATTCTCTTCCAAAAGTTCGATCCATCTAGTGACGGAAATTAATATTGATTCTCATTGATTTGTTTTTGTTTTAGATAAAGGAACCCAACGAATATATGGAAGCACCGTCGATGATGAGATTGAGAAGACATCGGAGGCATGAAAAAACACCTCTACATCAACCTTGTAAGTACTGTAATTACAATTATATTAATTTCTAATTACATATCGTGTACACATGCTCTGCAGCTGTTATTGCACTATTTAGCTACACCAGTATACTTATCTGGGATATGTTTATAAAAATAAGTATTATATTGCTATACAACTAAAAATCCTGATTATGAATTTGTCATCACTGTCTGACTAATTTTACGTAAGCATTTTTTTTTTCAAATTATATTGATATAGTTTTACGATTTTCTATTTGCATGATGACGCGTTCTATTTGAGCAAAATAAGGATAATATCGAGTTAGCTATGTACTTCGCGGCTTAGGTGCCATTTTAGTACTTACAGCATAGATAATAAAGTTCACTATATTTTTTGTATTCCACGTTGAACTTTAACCGTATATCATATTATTGGAATTATTGTTACTATTGAAGTGATTTAATCAAGAATTAATGCGATTATTTATATTTAAAAATATATATATATTTTCATTACTTACATTGTGCATCTTACATCCTGAAGTTGAAGCTTTGCTCTCGCATATTACATGTATTTCTTTTGTCCTTTTTAGGGTTCCATGTCCGAAAGGTAAAAAATGGGCCCCTATTACTGAGATTCCTGTATCTCATGAGCCGTAATACTTGGACAGCTAACGAATTTGTTGTAAATTTGTTTCTGTAGCCTTCTCAGAGACTGACAGTTCCGGATCTAGCGAGGCTTCGGGCGCGGGCGCGAGATCGCACGCGCGTCGTAGACACAACACTCATCACGCGCCCAGACATTACAAGAAGAGGTACCTACATTATCAGCATCGTCACCCTATCAACCTATATATCATTCAGTCCATTAATGTCCCCACTGCGGAGTTTCAGACCTTCCCTATGGACGGATTCGAATCAGATCGAATAGGGCAAATGGGATTGGTGGGTATTACTGCAGATGCAGCCAGTACCAACGGCTTAACGTGCCATCCGAAGCACGATGGAGCTCGAGATAATACATTTTTGGTCACCCATCCTATGAGCGGCCATTGCGAAAGTTGCTTAACAACCGTATCGCAGATTGAGCGCGCCAACCACTGCGCTATCGAGTTCTGTTAACCAGTATATGCCCTCTACTATTTGTTTATTTGGTTCCGTAAACGCCCTTTCGATAACGAAACAAATGTAATTTTTGTTGAAGTTCATTAAATCTATATTTCACTAGAAAATTCATCTTACCTCCATATATCATAAACATTAATTTTAAGTTAGGTAGGGAATCAGTGCAAGTATTAGTTTTTGAGTGCACAAAATACCTATTATCACAAATATTTTAAAATGCTTAAGTGTCGAAAGTCGTCAAAATAGTTTTGGGCATACAGGATGGATTTTTACTATATATACAGTTTTAATTAAATAATAAGATGGACAAAAAGGTCTGTTGTCTCAAATAAATGTAATTAAAAAAATATTATGAATTAAGAGTTATGATGATAGACAATATAAAGCAAGGAACAGATATCGCACGCCGCAAGCGGATGTCATATTTGAGTAAATCGGGGTACATAAACGGAACTGTGTTCCGTTTTCGCCTTTCATCCATTTATTATAATAAGAGTTCTTACCCCCAGGTCATTAGGTAACTTGGTAGCGGTACAGAGTCCTCGGGTGCCCAAATTGGGAATGTTCGTGGGCCCACCGGAACTGCCCACCGGGTACAGAGCGAGAACGCAAGAGGATAAGGGTAATAATTTAAATCTGATTACTTTAAAATTATATATACACTACCAGAAAATGTCTATTTTGAACTCTATTGTCACTATCTAAAGTTGAAAATGAATTTGACAAGTTTTACGTTTGGCTATGCGTTTTTTTTTGTATAATAATATTCTTCTTTCCATGATTACATTAGCGAACAAAACAAAATCATTGAGTGACGTTATACACTTATAAAAAATCCGGCGATATTAAGTAGATTGAATTATTTTGAATGGCAATGGACAAGAATCGTTTAATACTTTTTATATGGTCATTATTATCGAGCAGCAAATTATTTAAATATTTGTTTAAACAGCTAACATTATATAACAAATGTAATGTTGGAAACTAATATGTTATTGAGAATTGGATAACATATGTTTAAATTTCGTTTTCATATAATTTTGTATACGTAACTGTTTGTTCCTATATGAATAATTAAAAATAAACAAAAATTGGGTGTAGTCATCGTCACTAACCATCTTAAATAGTTATAATTTCATAATTTCGCCTGTCTTGAATAAAAATTAGCTTAAATTCTTTGACCTTGTTTTTCTGTAGAGAGAAATCAGTTCTATTGTTTTTCTCAGTTCTTTGTATTGTATTTTTTTATTATAGCAGCTAGCGAATCAAGTGAAGGCAGTTCCGATGGCGAAACGAGGAGGCCTAGGCCTCTACCCTTGCCACCGCACCATGAACCCGCACACAAGGTTTGTACTTCTTATCTGTAAACCATTTTCTTCCTAGCATCTAGATACTTCTTATATCGTAATTTATACTATTTTTATGAAGAAACGTAAAAAAAAAGAAATATATAATAGCCTTTTTTTAAAATTCAAATCAGTTTTTTATAAAACTAAAAAGTATTTCACTAACGATTAAATTTTATTACACATTATCATTTTACTTTGGCTCTAATTGGCTATTTGACTGTTTTGGGGAAAGAATTTTAAAACTTTGATATGATTATAGTAAAAAGCGATAAGATTTATTTTCCTTCAAAAAGTGTTATTAAATGATGGGAAAATTTATTTTAAAAACGTTGAATATAATTCGAGCCGTGACGTCACACTTTAATAAACATGAATACTGCTTACACCGTCCATTACTCCGTCATTTCGGATCTCCACAGATAAATTTCAAGTTAATTTGCAAAAATAAGTGATACGATTTATATTAAAAAAAAAAAATCACAGGTATGGCTTGCATATAAGTTAGCAATTGTAACATATTTTATAATGTAGTGTAACTATCAAGTAGCCAATTTGTCCTATTATGTTTATCTCTACTACGTTTTTTGATGACCCATCCTCGTAAATATATCTTTAATATATGGATAATCCTAATTTATGTATTACATAAATAGATATTGGGTGGTGAATATCCATCGTCAGCGCAAGAGAACTCATCGTCAAGTGCAGCAGATACCAGGAGAAGAGGTCATCCCTTCTCTAAAAACGATAGGAGGCACAAGGTTACTAAGTTTTATATACGTTTATTTATTGGATTTGTTTTATACATAGCTCTCTTTGGCTATCTTAGAGTATAATCAAGATCAAATGAAATAATCTAAACAAATAAGTGTTCAACTTATATGTTAAATGTGGAATACAGTGTTTCATATATTTAGGTCTTCATATTACCTTTTACATGACGATGTAAACAAAATGGTATGTTTCTTACAGGAGTTTTCTAAAAGTAAAGATTCTAAAAAGAACTCTTCACAAATATCAACGACTGCATCGCCAGCGAATTGGGGTCCTCAGGTATGGCACATTATCAATGCGTTTGTTAAATAAATTCCAGATGATGCTTTAATCGAAGCTTAACTTGTAATTTAAATTTTTAAATTTAAAAAAAATAATTAACTTAAGTTTAATTTAAAAATTTATGGTCGAATTCTGTTTACATTTGCATTTTTTTAATTTTCAGGGACCACATGGCGTACCTCTGTTTGTAGAAAAGTGTGTGGAATTCATAGAGCGTGAGGGATTAGCGTCAGAAGGCTTGTACCGAGTGCCCGGAAACCGCGCGCATGTAGACATGCTCTATAGCAAGTTCTACGAAGGTATGTCGTAGCACTGTCTAGCGTCGTAGCGACGTTATATGCTCGTAGTAATGTTTAGACGGTTTATACCATTTTTGCGAATGCCGAACTACTTACTACTGCTTTTTTTAGGATTACGTAACCAAATAGTAAAAAAACGGAACCCTTATGAATTTGCTACTTTATTCTGAAACTATTAAGAGTACTTAGTTGAAACTTGATACATTAATTGTACGGTGAAAAAATTGATCTTTAAAAATAATATTGAGGTTAATAAAATTATTTTTTTCTCTAAGAGAAACGTTTGAAAGCTGGACACTTCAAAATTGGTAAAACTCGATAAAACTAATGGTAGCGATTCCGTAGATAATTATTATTGTATTTATAATAGGTTTAACTAGAAGTCACTTATTCTTTTTAGTAAACAATTAAGTCCAATAGCACTGTCGCATAATTAAAAATTTAATTTTAATACGTATTTTAAGAAACTGTTACATTTTTTCAAAGCATTTTTTTACATTGAAGCCTCAGAGTTTAAAAAACAATGTATGTAAATAACTCGTATATTCCACAGATCCCAACGTGGACTTAGATTCTTTAGATATCCCCGTGAACGCTGTAGCAACGGCGTTGAAAGATTTCTTCTCGAAAAAACTGCCGCCTTTACTCGACGAGGCCAGTATGGTGCAACTAGAGGATATCGCTGGTAACTTATAAAAACAGTACACCTATTCACTAGTAGTTAGAACAGTTTGTTTAAATTACGTATGTTACTCACTACTAAATTTACTACCTACTAAATTTAATTACACAATGCTTTTTAGTAAAACCATTTCTTATTTTATCTTAAGAGGACCTCCTCTTGATTTTGATAACTTTTATGTAAGATCAGAACTATAGCGTAGTAGATTCTTTATATATTGAATATACCAATAGGGATAACAGCTAATTTGTTTTTTTTTTTGCCTATCAGGTATATTATTGAAGAATATTAAATAGGTTTTTTTTTGCGTAATCAATAAATTACGGCGATTCATCGAGTTGAAATGTCGCATGACGTCACGCCGTTGCACATTTTCTAAAAAAACTGTGACATAGCGAGCCCCCACTCCTTTACTTTAATGCCTATTATCTAAGCCATTTCTTGTTTAAATCGAAGCAAAAAAAGAAAACCCATCTAATATTCTTCTATTATCTAACTGATGGGACTAAATAGATTTTCTTTAGTTTTTAACCCAGACGTCACCCCTATCGAATATTGTGGTCTAATTTATAGGGATTAAAAATGCTACGAAAAGACACTTGCGAAAGCTTTCGCGCTCGTCTTAATGCATCCAAACGATTTTTGATTTACTAGATTGTCTAGGATATTGGCCTCGTGTAAATGGTCCGTAACTGTCATGTTTAGCGATGCGAGGGTGTATAGCGGGCGGTGTGGAACTGAAGGATCGCAGTTGGCGGCTGTTAGCTCTACGCACGTTGCTCAACAACTCGCTCACTCCACTAGCGAGAGCTACTCTAGACTATCTGTTGCATCATTTTGCCAGGTACAAACAGTTATTGATTCTCATTTGAGAAGTCATCAAAATTTAAAAATAAGTGTTATTCTTATGCCAGTAGCATCGGCATAGATCAAGATGGATTACCAATAATTAAGTAAAAATAGATAACAATGGTAAATAGGGTTTTAAATAATACTTGTAACTGGTTATTTTCATTTAAAAAGCCATAAAACAATTATTTCGGATTAATAAACATTGCCTTTAAATTTAAACTTTTTATACCCACTAAAAAGTTGTCCGTCACATTCATGACATACACAAAACCTTAACTCTGCACAAAATATATGCATAGAGTAGATGATTAAAAGATCTCAATAAAACAAGAACAATGCAATCTAACGGTCGTATACGAAATGAAAAGATATTAATGAACTAAGAACAGCGCCATCTAGGCATTCGATTTATAATTAATAGGCATATCTTAATGACTAATCTGATAGCTGTCGCCACAGTGGCGTCACACAATGGCGTCACATAATGGCGGGTCGTGTTTTCAAGTCACGTGATACACAGACAAAGAATCGCGCCTTTAAATTTACGATAGTAAGATAGCCGTGCGATTTTAATACTCTAAATCAGAATCTCTTATGTTTATCACGATGTAAATTCTAGTTTTACTACATTTTTTTTACTACTGAAACTACCGTATTCTTTTTATTTTAACTTAAATTAAAAAGTACTATAGTAAGTAAGAAGTAGACAAAGAACCACCACTTGCTAGAACAAGAAAGATAGCGACAAAAATCATAGTTCATTGAATAAATAAAAAATGCAGGGTAGCAGACAACGCGAAACTGAACTCTATGGACAGCAAGAACCTGGCGATATGCTGGTGGCCGACATTATTGCCGGTTCAGTTCTCGGACATGGGCCGGTTCGAGATGACGCGGCCGTACCTCGAGGACATCGTGCAGACGATGATCGATCAGCACCCGTTCCTATTCAGGGGCAAGGAAGCGTTCGTCATGGTGTGAGGGTACGATGTGAGTTATATTTTGTATTGTAATGGTGCAGATTCCGATGTCCCTCTCTATAGGTTTAGTTTAAGAGTTTTGGCGTTATTCCATAGTCATGTGTAATCTGAGAAATCTATACAAATAAATAAGATTGAAGTGTCTGTTTCTAATATTAAAATAACGGCTATGCACTAAGTATATTAATATATACAGCGTGTTTGGTAATACCTGTATAATCCCGAAACATGGCCATACAACCTAGCACAAAGAACACAATTGATAGGTCAAAAAACAATTTCATGTAAATTGATATTTTCATACAAATATTTGAACAATTTGTTTTCAATTACTATGCTACAACCCTGTAAGCTTACACGTGCCGTCCCGGCGCACTCGCTCTTTCTCTCTCTCTCTCTCTCTCATTACCTCTCACTCTCTCGTTTCCTTGAATACATTTTGATGTTGCCGACGCGCGCACTCGACTACGTATGAGTTTACTTGTAATTAAAACAATTTAAGATTAAATAGGTACATACCTATTGCGTTCTAATCACTCTTTCAGCTTTCACTTGTCAACATTACCTACACTTCACCTCCACTTTATCAGTCCAGGGTCTCGATATGCCGGCCACCGCATAAAACACACATCTCCATTCGACTCGACACAGACCGTGTCGTGTTACTCTCGACGTAAAGTCATATCCTCTGTCTCGATGGAATAGGTGATCGGCCGGCCTACCTGTGGCACACTATGGAATGAACCAGTTGTATGTAACCAATTCACAAATGCCGCGAATCACCGGTAAGAAGGAAGACGTCGATGGTTTTCAGGTCTTCCTGACACGTGGCGCTCGTCATAACGCCGCCGAGCCGCAGCAAGATTACCGTCACAAGCACCGCCACACATTATCATCTCGTAATATTAGGCATTTGAGTACGAATTCATTGCACTGACCGCACACAAACATAATACACAGGTAAACAGAACGAGAATGAAAAACAAACCAAAAGTCCCGAAAGAACGAAAACGTAAGTTGACCTTCTAAATTCTGAAAACTCACAAGTACGCCGATGAAAGTCACGGACGCGACTGACGCGATGACCAAAACTACATAGGTTATTATTATTGCAACTCGAACACCAATGTACCTAAATCAAAAGTGTACCGATTTTGGGGTTCCGCGTCAAGAAATATTATTTATTATTAGACCTTTCCATTACAACTAACCTTTATTTAATTATCATTTAAACTAAGAATAAGAGAGATACTTAGATTATTAATATCATTGTATAAGTCCGTATTTTATTGTTTCGTGAAAATAACACGGCTTTATGAAAAAAATTAACAAAACTTCAAAGCAAATAATCTACAGAACCTTACTGACACATCAGAAACCAGAGTTTCTCAATACACATCGTCGTCGATTTTATGTCTCTCTCGCTCCTTCTTGCATAGACTAATGTGAGCAATGGTGCAGATATTGAACTTCAATCAAAGTATTTGCAATTTCTTTTTTATTTTGACTGTATTAATACAGAAGTTTTCATATTAATAGTTTTGAAACACCGTTAATCACAAGATTAGTGTTTTTTTATAGTTAAAAGTCATTTACTACTAACTTTTTCTTTGTTTGGAAATAATAAATTCCTCTCAGATGCATATTTATTCTAGGCATTTATCTTTAGATTTATTTAACTTCTGTTATTTTTTAAACTAGTTCGGCACATGGAGTCGATGACCAAATACAACACAACAGCTGTTTTTAGGGTTGTCAGCGTACAGTTTTACTTCGAAGAAAAAAAGCTGAATATCTAGGTCATGTGCTGGGTTTCAGTCTTAGTGATCATTTTTCTGGGTTCTATTCATCATACCGTATGTGCCATATTCGGGATTATACAGGTATTACCAAACACGCTGTATATACTAAAAACAAAATGTTGATTTCGGACCGTCTGTCTGTCTGTTTGTTCCGGCTAATCTCTGAAACGGCTGGACCGATATTGACCGGACATTCAGACAATAAGGGGTAACTCAGACTACTTTTCATGAGGACGAAGTCGCAGGTACAGCTACTATAATATAATAACATCTCGTATTTTATCTGGACTGGCTACTTGATAGCTTTATAAATTAAGAAATATGTTGGAAATGGGAACTTCTATCTAAGCAATGACTATTCAGATTTTTTGTTTTTAAATATATTGTAATTCGCAATTCCTTTCAATTTGACATACAATATCGTTAGTTGGTATTGTCAGCAAAACAATCGACTTTTGAAAGCTATTGAGAGATGTCAAAAGAAAAAAATTGAATGCTATCTGCAATCGTTTGATGGATGGACTTTAGTTTTTATTATGTTTCTTGATCATACAAATCGTACCCTATTGTTTTGTTACGATTTAAATCATACTAGTTTAATTTGTTTATTAACTATTTTAGTATCTGAAACTATTTTACACAAATCAATATTTACAGGAACCCACAATGCATGTTGCATTCGTGATGGACGACGTCTGACGTTATCGTGGCGGTGACGTCACGCAATATGGCGGTTAGAGCGGGACCGCTTCCGAGTGAGAGGTAGATACGCGTAGTGTGTAAGCTCCTATGTACATTGGTCGCGCGGTCGAATATCGTTTCTATTGCTTGGTAATAAGGATGTGCACGCTAATATAGAGGATGACGTCTCACGGGAAGTACGCATTTCGGTTGTTTTATAGTGGCTAAGGAACGGAAAGTTACGATTTTTTATATTTAATAATGAAAAAAAAAAAATGCTGTATAACATATTGACATTGTGTAACGTCATGTTATTATGTGTTACGTTGATAATGCAAGCTGTAATTGTTGTAAGTATTCGGAGTCTAGGCGATAGACGGGATTATGATTTTTATTTTCATTTATTTATACAACTCGTTCTCATATCATTATAAAGCTTAGTGTTACGGCGAAGATTGAATATGCTTGCATTTTTTTAATATCTTTTTTATTACGCGTACCTTTTTGGAAGGCCGTTTGATAATAGCAAAACAGTATTTAATGAATATTAATTATTATATATGTATAAAAAAAAAAAACAAAATTAGGTGTTATATTGCAAACGTGGATAGATTAAGTGAATACGTGCACAAGAAAATATTTAACGGATGGTTTATATTATGTAATAAGTATTATCGAGTAACGTGTAACTGTTTTGTATGATGGATCGCGAGTAATCGTATTAAACACATTCCGTTCAATCGATATGTAATTGTGGATTAAATTGTTGAATTATGGGTAAATACATAATTATAGTGATATTTTTCTGTATATTTTTTTTTTATATCGTTTATAAGCGAATATTAGAGAGGCTTGTGTACATTCTTATTTATTAATGCGAAACGAAATGATTCTCAGATGCAACATTTAAAAAATATTGTTATTATTAGGTATACGAATTGAATTTTTTTGTGCAATTTTTTTTCTATTTCTAATTGGATGAGATTATAGAAACTGGAACCCACTTTTGTTTGTTATATAGAATGCTTATAAGTTTCTGATATTTTTAAAGTGGATACTACTCAGCTAAAATATTTGTGTTTCAATGTCACGAATCAGTTTTTTGCCCTTACCCTTTTGAAGGGCAAAAAACTGATTCTACGAATCAGTGGAATCAGTTTTTTGCCCTTCAAATATTAAGTAACTAATTTGTTAGCATGTTGTATCAAAATGAACGTAATATTCTTAATTGAAAACTGTTATTTTGATCTCTATTTATTCATAATAAATAATATTACTCTGAAACAAGTTTTGAAGAGTCTTATTTACACATTGTTTTTATCTTAATCTGAAGTAAGAGATGGTTCCAGTTTTTTTTTACGCGGAAGACAATACCATTATTGTTTCAATTACATCACTTATTTATATATAATATAAATATACAATGATTTTTAACCATGATGTTTTATCTAAGTAACTGCACGTGATATATAATTTGTTCTAACATCACTAATACTATCACATAAATTATTATTTCCAAAAAGCGCACGCATTATTTTGCGTGTTTTTATAAACTACAAGTTGGTACTTATCAAATATGCTCTGATTAATTTATTCTTTATTGCGTTCCATGAGATTATATATATGGAAATAAAAGGTTACGTAATAACTAGTGTTGACCTAAAAATATTTCATCAGTGGGAACTCAGGGTTAGAATTTCTTATTGTTGATCAGTAAATAGGGATGTTGATTTATATCGAAAAGAAACCTAATCTAAGATGGCATCCAAAACTAAATGACGGGTCATAAAATTTTGTAGATAGCCCATATATTATTTATTTGTGTCTTTGCAATAATATATATTTTTTTCTTATAAAAGAGGTCGAGTTAAGGCTACTAGGTAGTTTATTAAGGAAACTACCACACCCAATAATTTTGATACTCATTAAGTTGTTTTATATTTGTTTCATTTTTTAAATATGGGAATGACATTTACTTTTAAACTGAAAATTTTGAATGTAAATTGCTAAAATGGTTGGCTTAGCATATCACCAACAACTAATTTTTATTTTCTGTAAATTTTTCAGAACATGTTGTTTACTCGAATTTGTAGAGTTGACATCCCTATTTTATCCATCCATGTTACATATGGGCAGCTTAATCTAATTTGAGACTGATTTAAACGTAATAGCTCATTTTATATGTACACTTATATTATCCATTTATAAAACTAAATTATCAAGTTTTTTTAATGATTATATTACGCGGTTTTATACATAAAGGCATCAATATATTTCTCATTAATACTTTAATTATTTAAATGATAAATTTTCTAATAGAAAATTTGCAAGGCCTATTTTTGCTAAGCGTTTGAATATAATGACGTCATAATATTTAAAGATTAAGATCTGTTTCCCTACACTACTATATATACCTCAGATCGACTTAAAGTACACCCAATTTGGAGCTATTTATAAGATTCTAAATTAAATTAAATATACACGCTTTATTTATTTTTGACCTCTTTTGTGTTTTGAAGGATTATGAGCTTTATGTATTTAGGTTAAAGTATCCTTTTTGAGACAGTTAATCTATTCTATTTGTTTAGTATGGGGAAATAATAATAATATTTCAACATTGCCAGTAGCGGTAAGTTTCTGTATTTATAATCTACACAAAAGTTCATTTATGTTATTTGACGTCATTTTTTTCAACTATAATCTCATGCATATAAAGTACACTTTAGGTTTACTTGAAATAACACTTGTACAGTCGAGTCGAATGTGCAATTTTTTCATGCACATGGAAATTCCACAATTTGTTAATGATTTTAAAAGTATTATTTTAGAATTATTATGGTTTTAAAGTAATAACCAATATTCCGTACCGTTTCAATAGAAGTCATATTATGCTAATGAATACGGTTCATTATATTTTTTTTTGTGCATGAACGTACTGCGTGGCTTTTTAATATTAATGCAATTTTAATGGATTTGTGTTAGTTTAATCAAATTTAAAAAGAAATCGATGTATCTATAAGTATATTTAATATATATTAGATGTCTCCATTAAGCTTAGTTTTAAGGTGTATCTAAATAAGTTTTTATGGATATAATATCGTCATTATATCACTGCATCGGTCCATTCGGACGATTTTCTGTTTAGTGAGAGAATAGAGAATCGTGAGTGCGAGTGAGACAGAAAATAAATCATGTCCATTAGGGGAATGATGTGAGGGAATTTTGTATATTTTACTAAGAATCGAGAAAGACAATTAAAGCACACGAAATGTGTTGGAAATTTTTTATTTTTCTAAAATGTTATGCTTTTTCTTGGATCTCATTGGGCGAGGCGGGTGTTTTTTTTTCTGTTAACGGTTCTTCCCCTAATGATTTAAAAAATGCAATTTATATAAATATTCGATGTAAATATTGTACATTCATTAATTTTTTTTTGCATAATTTATTTATTGATTTTTTTTAAAGAAAGAGTTTTAAAATGCCATATGTTTGTTATGATACATTTATGTTCTTTTGATTATTTTATTATGATTTTTTTTTTCATAAGCACATTATTATTTTGTTGTCTTCTGTTTGTGTGCCATTTTATATTCGAAGAAGGTTATTTGGTGATTCCTAAAAGTGTATAAGCGATTTCTGAGTTTATTTTTTATCCGATATGTTTTCCCTGTAGATTCGCAAATGTTCTAAAGTAGAATCAATGTACGCTTGGCTGACCGTTACCTCACCGTCCGCGCTTAGCGAAATGTGTTTTAAATTCGCTAGGTAAAGGTCGAGAATCGCTTGGCTAGAGTTAGGAATGGGAAGATTCTTATTGAAACTTCATCGATTTGGCCTTGGTTAGACACGGGATTAGTTAGGCACAGACAAAATATAAATATTAATAAGAAACATGTAATCTTAAGTATTAAATAAATGTACGGTAGCTGCAAGTGTGCTTTAACAGCGTTTCGATAAGACTCTAATTTCATAATTTGTCTGTGAAATATGTATTATTATTATATTGTTTAAGTTGTTTCGATGAGACTGTTAATGGAAAAGTGTTCGTATCCAGGCACAAAAAACTGTTCCTATGTTTGTATGCTGTGATCGTGTCATTTGCAATTATAAAAAAAAAAGACTTGTCATAGATTGACACTAAAAGGCTTCCTGTCTCGCTCACTCACTGTGTGTTTATCCGAGAGAGGTATATAATTAGGGGGTGATAAGCGAGTCGAGACAAATGTGATGAGTGAGTGAGAAAGCTAATCGAGTCTTCTTATCTCATGCAAGTTGATGTTTTTCTTCTAATATTATATAGTAGGGTGTGATCAATGTTGTGATATTATCGGATTCGCGTGGACTGTGAGGCCCGGTCAGTGATTGAATTTGGCTAAGTGCGTCTCAATTACTGTAAAACCCAGTTCAAAGGAATGTGTCATATTTTATAATAAATAACCATCTATGTATGTGTATTGTTTTATTTGTCAACAGAGGTTTTGTTTTAGGACAAAGCACTTATCCTAACGGGGCAGAATATTAACCTAGTAGATACTGCCCCACTAAATATTAAGGTATTTGACTCTCTGCCACCCGTGGGTAGCTTGATCCTAAAGTGGAGTTATTCTGTTATGATTAAAAAAACATGTTGATACGAATTCGCCTCGGGTCGAACTCGAATTTGCAATTGTGTAATTATAAACAAATAAACATTATTACTATTATATGGGTACATTAGTACCTCATGAATTAAGTGGAAAGTGGTCAGAAAACACCACGTGGGTTCAGTAAGGATAGGCGAGTGCTAATGACAGATGAATCCAGGATCAAAACTTTACATGAGCTCATTCCGCCCTCACATTTTTATTATAGACAATCTAGACGCACGACGGTATACAATCATCATTAATCGTACGTATGCCAGAGTGGAATTCCCTGCAGCCGTCTATATTCCCGAGAACATACAACCTAAATCAATTCAAGGCGAGAGTGAATAGGCTTCTTCTGAGCAAGCTCGTTCCACCGTAGATCTCATTAATGCTCCCAGGCTGGTTTGAGATCAAGACATGCTTTCTGAAACAAGGAGGAGCTCGCGGTAATAAAACCTTTGACAACCGATGACCGGCTTTTGTTAATTTTATTTAATATCCGCAATAGGGTTGTCGACAAGTTTTTATTTGTTTGTCCGTTAGGTAGATTATTGAAGTATAATAAACACGTATTAATTTTTTCTTTAATCAATAAATAACAGCGATATATTATGTTGAAATATCGCATGACGTCACGCTGTTGTAGATTTTTCTAAATAGTTCTTGTTAAATTGAAGCAAATAAAATATGTTTTTACTATTATCTGACTGACGGACTAAATAGAATTTCTTTCTGTATACCCAGGCATCATCCCTTATTGCAAAATAAATGTTGGTTACTAGATCAACGATGTTCTGTGCTTCTTTTGATCCGGCTCGAAGGACCAGAAACTGTTCCAGTTGCGTGATCACGATGGCTAAGAATCTTACGAACCTGAACCAACATACAGTCCATCTTAGGCAAAGATGGCTTCACTATACAAGGCGATTTATTCGGTGTCTTATCTACTGGATATTGGTTTTCGACTTTTTTGAACAATTTTTTTAAACAAAGTCAATAATATGATAATAATATGATGAATTTCGTTAATCATACTAATAAATTCGAACGTCTGTAAGGATGTATGTCTGTTACTCTCACGCAAAAACTCTGAACGGATTAAGATAAAATTTAGTATATGGATAATTGTCATTTATAAAGGACTTCAATTTTAATTATTTTCTTATTACATAAAATATGTGTAATCTTTTAGATATCATCTATATATACTATTATTATAAAGAAGTGAAGTTTTAACCTAGTTTTTTTGCTTCTTTTTTGCTTGTAGGGGTTAATCTTCGAAAATACTGATCCGATCAAACGTGACTGACTGACGTATTGATCTATAAACGCACAGTCCAAACCACTGGACGGATCGGGCTGAAATTTGGTATACAGGTAGATGTAATGACTTAGACATCCGCTAAGAAAGGATTTTGATAACTTCTACCCCCAAGGGAAAAAATAGGGGGTGAAAGTTTGTATGAAACTTTGTCAATTTTAAACCTATCGTGCTTTTGCATGCATAAAGCTACTATGATGTAGGCATCCCCTAGGAAAAGATTTTGATAAATGCCACCCCTAAGGGGAAATCATTAAAATAGGGGATGAAAGTTTGTATAAATCTTCTTAGATTTTGTTATGATTGATCCGAAATTAAAGATTGGAGCTACTATGACGATTAGTCCGCTTAAATAGGATTTTGATAAATTCAACCCCCATGGGGATAAAATAAGGGATGATGGAGGATGTAAATGTATTAGGTTGAACCTATCAGTACCTAATAGAACGAATAAATAAATATTCGTTAGAAATGCTGCTCAAAGTAACTTTACCACGCGGCCGAAGTCGCTGGCAAAAGCTAGTTCTTTTATATAAAGGAAGTTATTCAAACACGTGGGTGAAGTTGCGACAAAATAGTAAGTGGAATATCAAGTGTGATTGATATATTTTACTGTTTCCATAAAATATATTTTCAGAATCGATAAGGAGGAGGTGGTTCGTTCGATGGCGATGTATGTTTTTTTTTACAAATATGTTCACTGATATTTTCGTCAATTATTGACCGATTTCAAAATTCTTTTTGATTTGACATATTGATGAATCGAGGTCCCATTTAAACTTTATCGAAATCGAATAAGTAGTTTTCCCTTTATAACAAAACAAAATATTTTTTGCAACAGATATCACCTAAATATTAAGATTATATGATATGGCATGGCCCATTTCAGCTAAAAAACAAAAGATTGCGTATTTAGAATTCATTCAAAATATGAACGGAAGATTTCTAGGTTCATCGAGTATGTATACTTTAGTCGTTGATGTATTGATATATAAAGGTGAAGGCGTATTATGTAGCTTTCCGTAGATTAAATACTTTTATAAATCGGTCCAATAGTTTCGGAGCCTATCCAATGCTGTTTGCATTGCACAAGCAATCAAATCTTCCTCTTTAAAATAGATTATTGGAAAAAATATATATTGAGTAAATAAAATCAACTATTCTAAGCCTTTCACTATGTTAATAAATATTTAATATTTTTAGTGTTACCTATTATAATAGAAGTATCAGTATCACTAAAAAGCACAAAATAAAAACTAAAAAAAACGATTTTGGTCGTTCATTCTCTGGTGTCGTCTAATACTATTTAATGCAAATAATAAATTTTGTCTGTTTATAACGGAAAAAATAATATTTCAATTAAAAATAGTTTTTTATTACTAGTAGTTTTGCTGTTTGACTTCGCCTGCGTAAATTATAGTCTATTAATTTAATTATTTTTGAAATCGGTTCAATGCAAATAAATAAGCCAACAATCTATTTGATCTTACCTCTTTTTCATATAAGTTATTATTTTGAGTTCAAAGAAAACACAGACAGAAAAAGGATATTGCTTTATTTTCATTCATAATAAAGTAGCTTTCAAGAGCGCACATTAAAATCACAGTTTATATTAGGTATAAATAACTTTACTCAAATCACAATATACATTTAATAAATTTACATTCATATTATTTAGGAGCATTATTTTCGGTTAATTATTAAATTATCTATCTCAATATTAGGTAAATTGAATTAACCTAGCATCCACGTCGCATACTTTCTTATAAAATAACATTGTAAGTAATGAGATATAATTTTTTCAATATTAATGCGGTTTTAATAATATCTTAGACATTCATTGACAATCAACCGTTAGATGTTGTGGGGGCTTTGGAATTTATGGTCTATAAAGTTCATTCTCAATGCTTTACAATATTTACCAAGTCTGTGCGAACTGAGAGTAAAGGAACTTTTTCATTAAACTGTCTCATACGATCACTGAGCTATGAAAGGGAACAAACGATACTATCTATTGTGCCCACTTCACCAGTGTCAATCAATCAATCCCATGCTAAATCCGTATAATACAGATTTGAGAACGTAGAACGTACCAGACGAAGCATATTCATTTTATCGAATAGTACTTACGAGATACATGTACAAGACCGTTCTATTAGCGATCAACAACGCAGCGTGCCATGCACGGAGCGTTCCGAAGTCATGGAATCTTTAGGGTATCGTCTCGTATTCAATATGAAGATTAAGTTCTTGTTTTTTTCTGGCACGTTCCTACTACGGTTATAGTGTGACAAATAGTGATGAGTCCCTCACTCGCGAGGTGCCTCGTTTGAGTTCTTCATTTCGACAAAATGAGGGAGTACTCATTTTTCAATTTTGAAACACCTCATTCAGTTCCTCACTTTTGGAGTGAGGAGCTAAATGAGGTTGTGGACTTTTTGAGTGAGTAGCTAAATAGCGAGTTGTTTCGAATGAAAAGGCGACTCGATATATACTCAATATATTCAAGATTGAGGGAATGGGTTAAGTTTTATGAGTTTTTTGAAACGATTCAGGTTTGTTTATGTGTTTCTTCGCAAATACGTATTTAATATTTTATAGATAATTGATATGAATTAGACTAAGTAAATATCAAAGTTAATAAAAATGTATCTGTTTTATTTAGAAATGTATTTATATGACTCGAAATATAAATGATTGATCGATTTTAAAAATGGAACATTTGAAACTATTAAAAATAAGTTGCATGTTGTGGTCATTCTGATAAATTATAGTCTAGTAAAGTTTATTTCTTAGAATCTAAAGACAAAATATGTTTTGTTTAGCATTACCGACTCCCTCCCTCATTTTGTACCAAACGGCAACGTTGCGCGCGCCTCGCTACGTACTCATTCGCTGCTACTGTAACATTACCTATCCTCACCTCAAATGAGTGGTGACTCGCGAGCCCCTCACGAGGGAAAATGAGGTCCTCACTCATCCTCATTAAAAAAGAGTGAGTAACACAACGCTAGTGACAAACTTCAAGTTCTATGCAGATGAAAGTGTTTTTTAGTTTTAAAGTTATATCGTTAAGGCAAAGGAATACTACTTTACTTTCATCCAGTATCTAGTCACTTCTAGATAATTTATTTTTCACAAAAAAATATTTAGAATTAAATCTCCCTTGACATTTATTTCCAAGGTATCTGACCAACGGTTTTTCCGCTTTTGAGTTCGGGTCCGTTTCAATGTGATTCCACAGTATTGTTGCCAAAAAGTGCCTCTGACATTAGACGCATCCAGCCCCCCAACAACCACACCAAGGTATGGACCCGTCGTTGATAGGCGCAGACAGTTTCCTCGATTTGTGCGTGCATGCTGAACCGAGAGAGTTCATTGAGGAACACATGCTGTTCGTATGTTCATGTTCCGAATGTGAAGTTGTCATCTCCTGAAAAATGGAAATAATTTCTCAATAATATAATTTAATAAGTTGAACATAAGTAGTTAGTGGTCCAAAGATCTTTCTAAATTAAGTTTATAGCATTGTTTGTATTGCTTTTGAGTACAAGAAAGTTTATTATCTTAGATATTACCTAAGTGACGGAGGTTTTTAAGATTTTTACAGCAGTAATTTCCACTATGGTTTTAATAAAAAGTAGTATTAAAAGCAGAGTATTGAGTATCGACAGACTGCGCAATCTAACCGGATTCAGTTCCTAACTCATAGCAAATTTTTGTAACTGTTATTGCAAGTAATATATGGCTTTTTGGTAGTCGCGCATAGAGTTTATCTGTCAAGTTATAGATATTCCTTAGATTCCTGGCGATCTTTGACAACTTGGTGGGCTTTAAACTCGCAATTAATGTATAAAATCAACTACATGCCCTGGAATATTAAATGCTTTTTTTTTCACCTGATAACTGTCCCGCTTATAACGCGGGCCAGAGCTTGACGAAGACATCGTGTTCCTTGGTCTGTGCCTAGTACAATGTTTGTGTTTCACTGTTTCGTGCATATCCTCTATCAATCTTTCATTCTCAGTCTCCACGTGTATAGGAACACCATTTTTTGGAGCTCCATTTTTCGCCTCTTTTTTCTTCTCTCTTCTTTTCCGTTCCCTTTTCTTGAAAGTTAAGGAAAATCGTTTCCGTTTCTTTGTTTTCGGCGTCTCTGGTCTTTGTGGTGCCGTAGACTTCTCCCTCTCTGATCTACTCGTGTCATCGTCAGGAGGAGGGATTTGTGATTCGGAATCCGTTTTAAGTGTAATCTCCGTCTCCGTGCGCGTCGAAGAATCAGGTTCCCCGTTTTTATAAGCCACCTCTTTTTCCAGATTAGCTAATTCCATTCTTCGTAACCTCTTTGGTAATTTGTTCACGGTAGCGTATATAGGCTCTTCACTCTCTCCAACTGGAGCAGATCTTGAACGGAAAAAGAAGTCGAACTTTCTTGGCTTGACCGGCATTCGTCTTTCGACGAATACTACTGTGCTTGCTACCTCTGTTGTGGTCGTTAATTCTTCACCAGATCTCGGGCTGGGACTGTCTGGATTAACAACGGGAGTTGATTTAGGGTAGTCGTATGTTAATTCTATGTTCTTCTCTGTGACGTAAGACTTGGGAGCTTGTTCTGGTTGTCCATTCAGTTGTGCTGGTGGCTTAGATGTTTCCTGTTTCTGACAACAGCATGGTTGGTGAACAACTCTTCGTGTGTTGCACATGATGACAGAATTCTGTTGTATGAAGGTGGTCTGTATAGTCGGCCTTGATTGTACATCTCCGAGTAAGTCTTCGACGTTCCCTCCGGTGTGGAAGCGAGGTGTTTGATAAGAAGCTATTACGAAGCCAGGTGGTGGTGGGATGTGGCACGGTGGTGACGTCACGGACTCGAAGAATCTTGGGACATCGGGCGGTGCATCGTGTACTAGCACGTCTATAGTCCTTTCGTTCGCTTTGTCCACCTTTTTCGGTTGCGTCGTGTCATTGTTCGCGTTCATTTGTTTGTCAGGCCTATTGTCTTGCGTCGTTTGCTGACAATCGTCGCATGTGCACGGGGAGTCGACACCACTCTGGAACAGATAAACATGTGTTCATTTGAAGTATATCGATGTTAATAGACACTTCGGTGCCTCAAATCTTTCTGGAATAATTAACTAAATGATTAATGGTAACAACAATGTATAACATTCTATGCGGAGGAATATCTTCCGTTTCTTGTTTACATATTTTGAAAGTTATTGGTTAATTCTCGTTGCATTTGAATGCGCTCGCTAATTTTGAAAAGATGTTGATGTATTATAAAAGATAAAAGAGTATTTTCATATACCTATCTATTATTCCAAGCTTCCAAGGGAAAAGTGAGTTATGATTTTATCACGCTGTTAATACAAATTCCAAGAAAATTTGTCGAAAGAAATTATCTTGGCACCAGTGTTTATGTAAATTGTAAATGAACTTTAAGTCAGTGCATTTAATAATTTGTAGAATTAAATTAACAAAAAATCTGTGAGAAGTAGTTTAATACTGCATTACTTTGTATTTAATATACCAAGATTATTTTTAATTAAGGTCAAACGTTTCACGATCCCATTAAAATTCAAAGTGTTCTTTCTTTATCCAGAAACAATTAGCCCAGTTGGACGTCGAGATCTGCGTCCGATGTCCATCTGGTGTAGCAGAAATATCATAACACGTCATCAACACGTCTGTCACATTTTATGGACCGTGGGTATAAATCGACGACAGTTCAAAATCAGACAGGAAAGAGCCTAATTTTGCTAATGTTACAGTGATTATGGCTAATCAATAGCGCTTCAATAACGAGTCTTTTTGACACTGTTCTTAATACTAGATCATAAAAAATACTTATATATGTTACCAGTGATTTGCGAAGAAGACAATGTTGATTTAATATTGGACCCCAGGTAAATAGCAACTGTAAAAAACAATGCCATCGAGATTGTCATAATTGCGTACACATCAGTAGAAATAAGACCCACATTTGCTATTCTGTTAACAAATAAAACTATTACTACTTTTGAAGCAAGTATTATTTGTTTTTGACGCTATATTTTCAAAGGAATAGCACTTCTGGAGCCACTCTAGCTATTTTGCTGCTAAAGATAATAAAAGTATGTCTACCAAACACCAAACAAAATAAAATCACAAACTTTTTAAAGAAAAAGCTATTAAGCATGATCGCTCATAAGACTCTTCTTCCTGTAAAGAAAATTAGCATCACTGTCCCTCGAGGAATCCTCCGCACTTAATTTTGTTGCCCTCACTTTATTACTCTGAGGAATTGCGTGGCTTGCCCTTCCTTCATCATCAACCCTTTTACGTCCCCACTGCAGGGGCTCAGGCTACCTTAATGGATGGTTATGAAGGAAAGGCTATAAACCTTCTACGATGGTAGTTACGATGATACCCTTAGAATTACAATATAATTGGTATACTCTACTAAGATAAGAACTCTGACTCTATATTAAGTTAGAGTAATCGCTCGTTTAAAGAAAGATATAGATCCAAATCTGAAATTCGAATATTAATTTTTTTAAGCATTTTTCTATAACAGCTTTTCTCAAGTGTGTATTGTGGAGGCCTGGGGGCCAATTCTACTAAATAAATTTTGTTTAAATCGAAACATACGATACAATTCCAGTTCTATTTTAGCTGGAATTTGTATCGTATGTCACTTTGTAGAATAGGAAAACCATTAAAAACTGTAGTTTCGTTCGGTTTCGATCCGTTTTCGATTCGATTTAAATAAAATTTATTTAGTAGAATTGGCCCCCTGAGGTTCAACAAAGCATGTTCGGGTGCGCGGGAGACACGAAAATATTGGTCATATTTAAATACACGCTTGTATTCATATATTGTGGTAACCTAAGGAGCTCTTCTGTATATTTGTATAAGTCAAAATGATGAAGTAGTAAGTATTAATAATATTTAAGTCACTTTTTTACAACTATTAATTTTATGGAGCTAAATTTAAACATATATTTAACAATTATACCCATATCACCAATTTTGCATTAATAATGCCAATTTAATATTGGTGTTAAAGAAAAATGGTTAATAAACATTGTTTTTTTTTTAGAAATATCATAGACACATTAATATTTTAAGAAATAAGTAGGTCTCGTATTTTCTAGATATCAAAAATTTTTGGTTAAATTAAAAAGATTTAAAGAAGCATTTCTTTTTTTCAGTTTATCCTCATTGAGTTCATCATCATTTGACGTTAACAGCATTCAAATAAAACATTTACTTTGGCATTGTCTTCGATATTATAAACTTCAAAAGCGAACCGAGGTAAGAGTTTAAAATATCCATTACGTTTACACTTCGAAATCCGTGATTAATACAATTTAAAATAACTAAAGGCTTTGAAATTATGTATATAAATGAAAAAAAGTACCTGTATTATTAACTAGCAATCCATTTGGTAACGAGTTAGATAAACTGTCACATCACTATATGTATGTAACTGAAGGAACCACGGAAATTCTATGTAATATGATTGTACGGAGCGCGCGTCGACTCGCGACTGAATTTATTTATAAACACATACATTAGATGTGTTACAATATTTTCTAGCGGAGGTGCCCGACCTTGCCTTATATCCTAATCCATACGCGACTAGTTTTCAACATAGCTTTTCTTGTGAATTGATAAAGTCTAAATTTGCATTACTTGCCGATATCTATTTTGGATTTGCTCCTGGATTTTGGGTCGGCCGATCAATTAAGGTGTTTCATTGGTTTCAGCAGAGAGAAAATATGAATCATTATTGAGTATCAATGGGTGTTTTTAAATTATTGGGGTCGGTTATGATACTTGTGATTTTAATATAATATAGTGTTTAAGCCTAATCAAAGCTCGATAGATGACCAGATATTTACTATATCGCCTAGGAAGGCTTCTAAAATTTCAAGGATGAAAGGAGGACCTTGCGTCCTTGTTTAATGCCAATGTTAAAAGGGCGGGCAAAATACTGTCCCTATCTTATCTATCACATATCTTGCAGGGTAAGTAAAGAAGACAAGCGCCACAAGGCATGTTCTTTACATACATTTTCACCTTCTCGATTTCATTACACTTTTCATACATGATTCGCTTTCCAATGGCAGAAGATCGATTTGATTTTGAAATGCATGTCTTGACCTTCCGCGGTTTCAACAAACTTGTACATCCTTCCAGTTTTGTCATTCTTTAATCAGTCAATTTTTACACCAAGACAGTATCTATAAGGTCAGCTCCCTTTCTTATTTCTTTATTAGGAATACATTATGTGAGAATTACTCTCTCTTTTTTTACTTATATGTTATTTCTGACATTGCCAAGCCTTACTCCAAGTCCAATTCTACTTGCAAGTTATTTTTGACATATCCAAGGCAAGATTTTTGTATAGTGAACTGCGTTTTCTAGCCCACAGTTATGCTGCCAAGATGATATTTAAGAAGTAATACAATATTTTCCTGCTTACTTTGTTTCCTTCGTTTTCCGCTTCCTCGGGCACCACGCTAAGGTCGTGGAAGGCGACTCGTTGCTCACCATCTGCGCTCGCGCACTCCGGACAAGCGCTGCATATCGACGCGCTGTCCTGCCAGGTGATAATAGTACTTATTTACTGTGGAATATACTGACACAGTCGAAAACTGTCTAATTACAAGTTTAGAACAAACTTCTCATGTTAGTGATGGTCCTGCCCTTCGATTCTGTAAAAATCCGAACCAGAATTCGAATTCAATCTGGCGTTCGAAGTCACTTCAAAACGCGGCATCCGCCTCGATCTTGATTTGTTAATAAAGTTTCGTGACATAAGTGAAATGAATTTCGTGATGACATACAAATAGAATATCTGAAACTCGTATAACAATCAATTTTGTTTTGTAATTTTTATACCAAAAATGGAATCAATAGAATTTCTTCACTAAACGACGTGAAAGGACACACGAGTGAATTCGAATTCTGGATTTTTACAGAATCGTCCTGCTGCAAGTTAAAGATCTTATATTCCAGCTTTCGATTGAGCTGAAATAACGAAGGTAAATAAGGCATTTCAAAAGCTACACTTTAAACCGGCGTCATAACTACTCGGCCATGGAGGTCGTCAGAATTTGATTTCTATACGATATATCTGAGCCTCGATTTTGCTAAGTTAACGTAATACAATTTAAACCACTTCTATGGCGTTTCAATTAATATGATTTCCCTCTGTTTTTTCTACCTGACGTCAAATAAATGAAAAAAAAAAATCTCTACGCGCTAAATGAATCAATGATGACAGTTATTTGTCATGTTGCGATATCGTGACAAGGTATGTCAATAAAATTTGCTACTGAAATATGACTGAAACGCCAATAATACCTTGTATGTTCATAAGTTCTGAGACAAACTTTTTACTGAAAAAATAAAACAAAATGTTACTGGCTGTTATTTTTTTTACCGATTTTGAATTTGGAATGTTAACTCTTATTTCGCTATTTAAGGCGGGAAAAAAACCGATGCAGATTTTTCGCGAGCTGAAAAGTTTTCCTGTAAACCGTCACTTCGTCTATTACACAATAGAGCGATACAAAGAGACAAGTTCTTTCAAGAGCGACTTCGCTGAAATCCATGTCGCACTCAGGAGAAACTCGCTCTGCAGACTAATATTTCGCGCGTTTCAGTAAACAGAATACTGAAATATGATCTTAACGATTATCTTTGTAAGTTACAATACAAACGTTGTCCATTGCTGCTGAGGACACATGATGCCAGGAAGATACTCTTCATCGATGACAAAATTTTTAATATCCAAGAAAAGCAACCGACAAAACAATAAAGTGTACGCTAAAAGTAACAAGAATGTCCCAGTTTCTGCACGGAATATCTCGTCAGCACTCATCATCCGTCTAGTATGATGGTATGTATGGTGGGGAGTCTCGTATGAAGGTGAACACCTTCGTTCGATTTCTGCCAACAAGCTGTCAAGGTGAAAGCCAAGAATTATCAGATTGACATTTTAGAGCCCGTGGTGAAACCCCTGTTTGACACGTTATTTCAAAATAAGGATTGGGCTTTTCAGCAAGTCTTGGCGCTATCCCATTAGGTAAAAAGCACCCAAGCTTGGTTGAGAGAGAATTTGCCAGCCTTCATCGCGGTGGACGATTGGCCCTCCTCCAGCCCCTACCTCAACCCGCTGGATTATTTTTTATGGATTGAATTAGAGGCTAGCTCAGGGCCTGCCGAAAGTCCCACCCAAACTTGGAGTCACTGGAGCGAACCCTTGTTCGAGAAGCAAAGCGAATTCCGCTAGAAAAGGTTCGTGCTGCCATTGATTACTTGCCAAATCGTCTAAGGGCCTGTATTAAAAACAAGGGCGGTCATTTCGAATAAAATATATATTTTATTATTGATTATTATCTATTTAATGGTTACTGAAAAGTTTAGAAATATAAGTTTATTATTAAAAAAGTTACGCAACTTTTATTTCGTCACCAAACTCATGAACACTCGAGGTACGTGATAATTACATTAGCACAACATAAATAAATGCCAAATCACTTGTCGGTGTTTTAAATAAATTCACCCACGTCTGAGTGTTCCGGCGAAGACCGCCTCTCCCTCAGCATACTATCCAGCCTGTCGTATTCGTACCGCAAGGCAGATATCTCCCTCTTGAGTTGTTCGTTTTCCCTTTTCAGTTTTTTTATGTCTGATTGACCTGCAACCGATATAATTGTTAAAACCTATTCGGACATTTACAATATTGAAGCGTTTATTAAATTTAGCTTTCACCATTTTGTAACTATATACTATATAAATACTAGCACATACCCCGGGTCGCCAGCGTGGCTAACCGGGGTTATGTGGGGCTCACCCCTGAGGACCCGCCCCAGAGTGGGGCTAGTCAAAGAGCAGGGGTATACCCATTAAAACCTAGCGATGGGCCTCGCATGGAAGGCGAGTACGGGATCGGCATGTTACCCGCGTATGATGTAGCTTCCCGTAGATGAAAGAATTTTCAGATTAGGATCAGTTTTGCTCCCTCTAACAAACAAACGTAGGAAGTATAGATTAAATTAAAATAACACTAAATTACATTTCCTTGATTAGAATGGGCCTTTTTGTCTCGTTTTATTGCTTTCAGAGACGAACAAAGAGGTTTTCTTTTCTTATCATTCCACTTACTAGAAATATTACAAAATATTTGATCAGTTTTGTTGAATTTTCTTACCTCTCTCAACTTCTGCGTTTATATTGATAGTTCGCAGGCGCAACTCTTCATTTTCGTATAGCATGCCCCGTGACGATTTCCGGTCCAACCTGCAAATATAATACATATCTAAAAAAATTAATGAAAAAATGCTTAAAAAATTCATCATCCCCAAGTACTCAGAAATGGGACTCGAACCCAAACCTTTCGCAATCCAGATGCTTCAACCACTGAGCTAACAAGACTGACGAACTTTCAAGCACTTTTTACTTTTACACTTGTTTTTTTTTTTACTTTTTATTCTACTTGAGCAGGCATGTTATTTCATTTTTTTAATAATTGTCAAGAATTTTGATTTTGATCTAAGGAAAGTGCTTTACGCACTGACAAAATGGCAGAGACAGTAAGGACTATGACATATGTGTAGGATTGTATTGCAGTGGACCTTGCGTGGGAATAAGGCTCGAATTTTATCAAAAATCGGGATAAAATAAGAAATCAGGACAGCCCCGGAAAATTCGGGAAAGATGGCAACCCTGGAGCCCAATCAACTATCTATAGGAACTACTGGTTTAGAGTGTGATCGGCGCCTACTCAGCCCATACTTGCGGTTGGGCTTGACGTTGACATCTTTCCGCCTGGTGCGCAACATACTCGCTCCCGTCATCCCGGACATGGCGCCGCCCACCAGCCATGCACTGCTCAACACCTGGAACAAAAAGGAATAATTCTAAGTATCGTATCCATTGCTTTAGAATTTAGATTAATCGAGAATACGTCATAACCTAAGCAGATATCATAACAGATAAATAAAAAATTAAATGAAGTAGAAACTATACATAGTTAGGATACTATTATTCTCAGCAGCAGCTTTTAACAGTTCGTACTTCCTTCAAATTTTCCCACTAAACGATATAAGTGTAAAACTATGATAAATACTGCCAGTTTCATTTCAAATCGGTAACCGAAAATATTTTTTTTCATAATTTTAATTGAAAATATTATAATTTTAAATATTGCGTATGATTTACTCAAATATAAAAGTAGGTTACTATTTTGAGATAACTCTACAGGAAACAAACTTTTTTATTATTATTTTGGATTGCATTTTTATTGTACTCATTTTATAAAATATTCACCGTGCAGAACCCTCATTTAGTTAAAGACTCGAGAATTTCATACAATAATTAACATGGCGTTACGTGAAAATCATTAACGTTAAGGGGATGATAGACGTGCGTGTAAGAACAGGAATTTATGGCTCGACGACGATCTTTTGATCTTATATAAGTAATTTTAATTATTGTTTTTTTCAATTATGGAAATCTTCTTTCTCAACACTTAACTCTCTTACTAAATTCATATGTGATAAACGCTCTCTTCGTAAGCCAGTTTTTAATCCACACTTCTCGTTTTCGTCTTTTTTTATAAAATGTAATATGATATAATTCCTAAATAATACAAAGTTTCTTCCGTCGGCGACATCGCAATATAATGTGTAAGTTGGTGATCTCAATAATCGCGTACATAAAGTTCGTACGTCTTACATCCACTTTATATTTGTACAAATGGCGGACTTATCACAACAGAGCACTTTCGAGTTTAGAGACCTATTTACACTGAGATTAATTACAATTATTGATACTTTTAAAAATAACAAGTTTGAATCTGAAACCGAGTAAAAATAAGACATTTTTTTCCAGTCACTCAAATTAGTAGTAGGTATATAAATATAATGAATAAAAAAGAGGTTAAGTTTCTAACTTTGAAATAGTGATATAATAGGTAATACTGATCCAATCATGAAAATTCATGTAACATAGGCTATAGTATACGCGGACAAAGTCGCGGAAAATAAGCTAATAGTTATACATATAAAAATAGTAAAGACAAAAATTACATTACTACTAAATAATGTTTTAAAAATAAGTTCAAAACATAACAACAGGCACTCACCTAATGACGTAGATAATCCGAGTAAGACACAACCTATCTTTTAGTAGCATAATTAGATTATGAACTGACAAGGCTATCGAGGTAAAGTACTTTTTACTCTGTAGTATCTACATAGTGTAAGGGAGTACAGTATACATATTTTCTATCGCCTACACGATCCTGTATTATACATATAAACCTTCATCTTATATAACTCTGTACACTATAGATAACCGCATTAAAATCTATTGTGTAGTTTTAAAGATATCAGCGTACAGACAGCAGAGAGCGACTGCTTTATACTATGTATATATATATATATATTATATATATACAAGAGAGATTTCTTTCATTTCCTGGAAGCTGATTATACGGGTAACATAGGTTATTATTAACTAATATGAAATAAAAACTTAAAAAAAATAGAACCGACTTCAAACTTTAAAAAAGTGATAATAATACTTATTTCAAAAGCGGCTTATTCAAGAACATGTTATTGTAGTTGGGCGGAGGGCTTCTGTATTACTTGGCACTTTTTTACCAAACCGACATAGAATAGAACAGAAACCTGACAGCTTAGGAATGGAAGGTGACATTTTGAAACAGGTGTGAGAGCCCTAACACAAAGGAGGTAATTGTTCGTATTAAAATTAGAATTCTTGCATACTGAATGTTTTTTAGCTATGACCTACCCAAAGCCTCTTCAGTTGAATCATGCGCAATAGAACCTCCTCAGGTAGATATACAATCAAGATAGTCTCAGGGAAATTTTCATGACATCATAAAAGGATTTTAATTCAAAAATCTCCCTTTTACTAATATTACAGCTAATTGCTTTGATTCTGGTTATTTTACAGTTTGGCAGCATATTTGCTGATAAAAAATATGTGATGTAGCTAAATATCTAGTCTGTATTGTAACGCATTTATATATTTGAAAATATTTGGTATTGAATTCACATTTTTAGCGTTCCGTTCAAAAAGGGTAATCAATATATCAAACGTGATTTTATAGGAGGACCAAAGGTGCTACAGACATACATACACGTCAAACTTATAACACCCTTCTTTTTGCGCCGGGGATTACGAACAGTATGGCAATAAACATAAAAAAATTAAGTACCTATAAACCTAGAAATGTAGTATGAAAGTGAACTAGTGATCTGAAAGAAAACAAAAGCTGAAAGATAGTTCTCCAGCTCGCTTTCTATGAAAAACATTTATGTTTTAATACAGTTGTAAAATAAGTATTTCTTCTTTTTTCGTTTTATGATGCAATAGGACCACAGCTATAATCTTATAATGCAATAATAGACGTCAGGGTGTCTCCATAATATGCGGAAATTGTCGGGAATGAACTGAGAATCGGAACATTTATGTATAAAAATACAAAAATTTAAAGATAAAGGTTGTTTTATAAGAGTTTATTTATTCTGTGATTCAGAAATTCCTGAATGAGTTAAAGTAATTTCATTACAAATTCAGCTTTTTCGAATTTGAAATTTAAAATATTTGTAAATACATTTCTTCGATCTGTTTTGGCATATTATCTAAATATCGATGTTGGGAATCATCTTTGGTGTACAGTAAAAAAACAGCTTCGAATACAGCGCTGTCAATATTAAAGGTTCAAACAAATAAAACCTACTATAACGGGTTACAAAGTTTTATGTTTCGACGCTGTTTTTTTTAACAGAAAAACATTTGTTGGAGAAATCGCCCGATGCCGAAAAGTAATGGATTCAAGTCTCATGAAGAGCAGCTTAGATGTTTGTTTTTATATAGAATAAAATTTATACTCTAATAATGTTATAAATAAATAAGTTTAGCGTTGGAGTAAATTTACGTTGAGACCGCACTTAGTAGTAGTCAAAATTCATTCATATTATAAATCAGAGACTTAGCCAAGGTTACCCTGGTACGGGGTTGGTTTATAATATGAATTTCGACTAATACCGAAATTGCAATTATAGCGTAAATTAACTCTGACGCTAAACCTTGTTTATTAATAGCACTGTACGAGCTGTTTACTCTTATGTTGGAATCATGGTCACCCTAATATAAACGTGTAAAGACGTTAAAGTGCAAGGTGGCGTTTGCACTAAGCTTCAAGTTGCCGAGGCGGCTTTAAACAGTTACTTAAGTGACACCATGTTATGTGTTAAGTGATACGTGGTTACAAAGTGTAAATTACAGAAATATTAGTTGGAGTCTAAGCTACGTTGCGCTGAGGAAAAAATACAGAACATTCCTGAAAAACAAATGTATAAACAGGACCATATTTTTTAAGACTCTGCTGTCCGTCCGTCTGTCTGTCTATCTATTCATCTGTCATTTACAACAAGAAATACTAAAACAGAATAAGATAATTATTTAAGGCGGATCCACATAGAGTAATCGTGTTTTTTCACAATTATTGGTATGGAACCCTTCATGCGCAAGTCCAACTTGCACTTCATCGGTTTTTTTAATTATCTCGTACAGAACTCGATAAACAACGCTAAGCCAGGACTTCGTGAAGTGGATTAGTTAAGTATATAGAACAACTTTTACTGCGGGAGCAACACTGAATTCACAAAAAAATAATCAGCTGTTTCATATAAAATTATAATACCTACATTAAGACCTACAATCGTTGAGAGTATGAAAGCTGATTATTTTTTCGTAAATTCAGTGTTGCTCGCATAGTAAAAGTTGTTCAGTATACTTAACTAATCTATCCCACGAAGTATTAATATTACACCTTATATAGAGACTAAATAAATAAATTACGTTTTATGTGCGTGCATAGATCGGTTTTTCAAAGGTGAAGTGTCTCCAATCTAATCAATTAGGTCATAATCAGTCGTTAACTAAGTTTAAAATCATTATTTATACTTGACGTGTGTAATACAACCTTTTTTTCATCATGTAGCTGAAAATATCTAACTGTGAGACTGTGATAAAGTGAACTGAATATTAAATGTTATCGAACATGCTAATTGTAGGAAGTGTATTCACAAAATCTAGCAGCCTCATACCTCAAAGGGTAAGTCGATTAAAATATTATTTATTTCGTTATAAACCAATCTATCTGTATCTGCATAGAAAAAATCCTGATCTTAGACAAGCTGATAAACCTTTAAAAAAATCGAAAGGAAATAACAAACCTTATGATTTTTTTTAAATCAAGCATTTGTTGGATTTTATCTTAAGAAAGAATAATGATCTATAGACTGAATCAAATATTTGCAAATAGGTTTGATTGATTAATTTTTGTTTCTTTGCCGCCAGATATTATATTGAACGATATTAAACATATATAAATTTATTTTTTCTTAATCAATATATATCGGCGATTGACGGCGTATAAATGTCGTATGACGTCACACCTTTATACGTTTTCAACATGTTTGTGACGTGATAAACCTCACTCCTCAACTTTAATACCTATTGTATGTAATGATGCACTTTATTAAAACAGCAATAATGGGAACGTGGTTCTGCAGTGCTATTATATAAGATCAGCGTCGAACTCGAAGTCTTAAACAGTTCTGTCAAAGTATAGACAGAGGTTCAATGAAATAAATAAAACCTACTTCAAAAGGTAATAAAGCTTTTGATTTCATTGAACTTCTATGCTGTCTATTATACGCTTTAGCAAAAGCCGATAGACATATACGAGTATCTAATATAAACTCTTCGATCAAAAATACATATAAACTACAATAATTCTCTTATTTATACATTACACAATTTCTTCTGTATTTTATTAGCAGAGTGGCTTGTACGCCGGTTTTAAATAGTGGCTATTTTTTTAAGGTTCCGGGTTAGATTTCCGGTCGGGTTAATGTAGAAAATGTTTTTTTTTCTATATTGTCCCGGGTCTGGGAGCTGTGGTACCTTCATTGTCTCAGATACTCTGTAACATGAGGATTTAGATACTTATCTTAGAATTTAAGCAATATATGTGATGTCTGATATTCTTTAATCAGTTATTCATTATAGAAACCGCAGCGATTATTCTAAATCGCTGCGGTTTCGAACGGTGTTACCACTCAGCCCGCCTGTTATATGACCGCGCCCCGAACTATTTATATCACAGGCATTTCTATACACTGCTTGTTTACATAAAGAATCAAAATGCGATCTCTTTGCAATCGAGCATTGGAACTAAACCGATCGAAGCGCGCGTGAATACAACAGCGGATTACCGATCGACGCGTGTCGCGGGGAGCGGGGCGACGAGCGATAAGGACGACTATATTCCGCTATACAGCGAGAGCGGGAGCGAGCTTAGCAGCGGACTCGCGCGGTGGGAGACCGGCCCCAGTTGAGTGTCGCGCTCCGTTCTTGTCGCCCGCCGCTTCCGCTAGCGCGTCCGCTCCGCGATGAAGTCTAAAGTGAAGGGAATGCGTTCTAAAAACATGGACAAGCTTATCGCAGCTGTTCAAGCCCGCGAATGTTTGTGGGATAAAAGCTATAGAGGTCATAGGAACAGATTTAAATTGGAAAGGTATTGGAACGAGGTGGCTGCAGAAGTCGGGACGACTAGTAAGTAGTGTTTTGTTCTTTAGCGGCGCGGTCCGCCATATTGTTTGTAGATATGACAGAAGCTTATGGGACTAGCTGTTCGGCTATATTCGGCTATCATTGTCGGCTACGTTTTTTTGTTTCGGTACACAACCGCATCTTGGGGAAGTAAAGATTATTATTATGTAGGTAGCTGTTATAATTTGTAATGAAGAGGCAATTCAATTGAATCATGCTAATTTCATCCTAAACTAAATAGGAAATATGTAAAAAAATATTATTATTTTATTTTGATGTATTTATCTAATATATATGACAAAATGTCAAGTAACTTATATCTATTTAGATAATAATTAAGATTTTGATACGTAGTAAGTATGTAAATATAGTTTCCAATGATATATTGAGACAGGATTAAGATGCAAGTTCGGATTAAATTCACCTTCGAAATTTATACATATTACAGGCGAATATTTCATCCATAAAACTTACGCATTGTGCATGCGTAAATATTAATTTGATAGACGACCCGTGAGTTCAATACTTCCTTTCAACAATAGTATAGTTTTAAGAAATTTAAACTTAAGTAAAAAAACTTTAAAGATTTAGGTGTTTATTTTTCGACGTACAAATTCTCTTACAGTCAAATAAACAACATAATCATGACTGTTTTAAAGCAGTTATATTTAAAAATAAAGATGTTAAAATAGATTTCCGATATTGAGTACCTATTCTCCAATTACGATGTAGACAATAGGGATACAATATCACTAAATCCTTCAAATAGTTTTGTCTTTTATAGTTTAATAAATTGTAGAAAGCTCGTGTATAACTTATATCAATGAACTGCTAATTTCAGGTCTCAACTGCAGGAAGAGATGGAAAAATTTAAAGGACCAATGTCGGAAGGAGATGAAGAAAAACCCAACAGAATCCGAGTGGCCACATTTCCAGAAACTGAAGTTCATACACAATCAGTTCTTGGCAGAAGACGAAGAAGGCGACGAAGACACCACCGATGAAGTTTTCAACTCGTTAGATGAATCTATTAAGACACCAAAGCTTGGTTATACTATGCGTAAGAAACTGTTGATGAACAAACGGAGAACTATAGATGTGGATATGAACAAATTGATAGATTTGGTAAGAGCGAGAGAGATAATTTGGAATAGACAGTTGAAAGGACACCACAATTGGTACAAATTGGACGAAAGTTGGAAGGAGATCGCCCAGGAGTTGGGAGTTACACGTAAGTCTTTAATAACAACACTTAATAATTTCCTGCTCAACTTACGGTAGTAAAATATCGTATTTAAAATGATACTTTTTAAGAAACTGAATGACAGTAAGAAAGGTATAAATATGCTTAAATTTCGAAACAACACAACAAACACAGAAGTGTTTTTACTGCGCTATGTATTTGATGATTTTCTTAGGTCAACCCCACAAAAATAAGTCTACACACTAGTTCAATAGCATATAACAAAACTATTTATCTCGATTTGATTATAAACCTTAATATAATAAGGGTAGAGTTCTAAGACAATTGCAGAAATTTGACATTATTGTAACCTGATATCTTGCTTTGTGTACTCTAAATTGAACACCTTACTGTTTACATTATAGTTACGTTTATGGCCACAAATGCTTTGTAAATATTTATAAAAATACTTCAAGATATTTCACCAAGTGAAAATAAAGACCTGGTAAACAAGTAATAAATTTGAAAAATAGTTCATATTGTTAACACATTGCGTCTGTATTTTATACAAATTACCATTTCTAATTACAGGTGACGAGGCAAGACTTAAATGGAAGTATCTCAGAGATCAAGCACGCAAAGAGGTCAGAAAACAGGACTCCGAATGGGAATACCTACCCAAAATGCAATTTCTAACGAACCAGTTCAATGATTATGAGAGTAATGACGTCAGCCAAGACGATCAGTACCACGATTACGATACTGGTGCAGACCAGAGCAGCAGTTACTATTTAGAACCTCCCCCTCAAGAAGTGAATGTCAGTGTTAGTGTCAAAGATGATGAATTTGACGAATTCGATACTAAGCCTATAATTCTAGAGACTGATTTCTATGATGATGATGATGATCCACAAAAGAGTGCTGATACCAACAATGAACCCTGCGAGGGGAATAAAGACGAGGATGTTGGATTTTTCAGTAGTTTATTACCGCATGTAAAGAAATTAGGGCCAGCTAAGAAGCTTATGTTGAGAATGAAGATACAAGAATTAGTTTATAATACAGTTTATAGTGATCCCTAGGATTTGCCTGATTTATAATGAACACAGTTAAAGTTTATATCTAGAAGCTTATTGCGTAGCAGTGGAGTTTAAAATAGCGTTTGTTAAAATTGAAGTTTAAGAAACCAGATAAAAGGAACTGACAAAGTAAGACAATTTACGGATAAGTCAGTTAGTCGTTTTGAATATGGAATAGAAATAAATTAATTCTGAAAATCTAAAAGTAGATTGCGCTAGTTACGTTGGCGGGCATGTCAACTGTCATTTGGTTAATTTCTTTTTGATATATAATTTGTGTTGAACCGGATTGATATCAGTTTTTTCTATCTACTTTTGCAGAACTTTTTCGTAATTCATATTTATTACATTTGACGGTACAACAACCATATTTCTTCACTGTGTAATTATCATTTACGCAGTTTACACTTATACTTAACATTCTTATGGACGTTAGACTCCAGCCATACTAGCGTCACTTAGCGGGAGTAAAATCAGACATTGCCATTGATATTAAAGACATAAATTACAATATTAGTAAATAATATTATCAGGAGGGAAATTCGAATCTTTAGGAATATTATAATATTTCTACACCGTCCTATGGTCTAGTCTGTTTCTAAATTATATCCATTTTAAATTTGAATCGATGATCGATACATCTGTGTATATCTTGCGAATTTTTAGGATAATCTATATCCTTTAATTATAAATGTTATATTCATAATAAAGAAATATGTATAGGGAAGACAACGTTTCGTATATTTTATTTATTACAAAGTACTGAATAACTAAAATATATTTTATTGATTTATGCATATCTATCTGTCGTTTTCCTATAAAATAAGTATAATCAACTTTTGTATATGTGTCACTACGAAAATATTTTGAATGAACCATTAAACATAATTTTCGAAAATGACACTTTTTTTCGAATTATTTGAGTTGTATATACTAATGGGTTATTCCCATCAACTTTAGCAGTACTTATCTAATGGCTCTACAATGAAACTGATTTATTACGGCTTATAAAAAGCAAAATTGGGTTAGCTTTGCCCCGGAAATATATTTCTTAATATATTTTAAAGTTATGGTATTTATGTACTTATATACTTTTTTATTTATAAGTTCATATAAGTTCACAGCACCGAAAAATACAACTAATGTAATTACCTGTGACATGAAAAATAGATTTAATTGAATGGAAAAGTTTTATGTTGTAACATTTGGAAAGCATACGATAATTCAGTTGAAGTGAATTATTAATTTCACTATTATTTATGGATAAAGCTGCTCCTTTCTCGCTCAATGGTGTATCGTCCTAAGAAGCACTATAAGGTACCTGATCACTATTTTTTATTTATTTTTTACTGTTCAAAGAGATAAAATTACAGTTTTGAATAAGTGTTGTGTGCTCATTTATTGTACACATTCCAAGTCTAAAACTATTATAATAAATGAATATCTAAAATATTGTTTTTACTTCCATCACTTAGAGCATTAAGTTTTAGCTTACAATGAGATTATTTCGTCGACTTCAAGAAATATTGAATTAAAAATATTTGTATAAAAGAGTCCCATTTTTAAACAAGGAGTTTTTTCTGTTTTTTTCGGTTATTTTAATTTGATAAAGTGTAGTCTAGTCTCAATCTTAAATTAATTGTTTCTCAAATTAAGTTCACTGTTTCTCAAGTGTCTTAATTTAATTGCACGTTATAAAACTGGCACATTTATGTTACGAGCTCTCGGTTTTGGGCACCGCCATCTTAGTAATATTAAATATTTAAAGTACCTTGCATTTTATTACATATATAACATCGACAAAACAGATAGGGTATTGTGTTATCTATCCATCTTCCGTATTCGTACACTTATGCGCACAGAATAAATTATTCTGATTACGTTTATGACGATTGTCCTTCAATGTGAATTATAATGAGCTCTTGTTATCGAAAAGGGGGAACTCGATTGTATAGGTAAGGGTTTGCATTTGTTCTGTGATTACGGATGTTAGGCAACTTTCAAAAGATCACACATAAGATGGGTAGCTTAAATTATTTAATTAAGAGAACATAGGAGATGTTCTTCAGAAGCCACTTTAAGGCATCGGTTCCGCCTGAAACTGCAGACTTGAAAATCTATGTTGGGCTCGTATAAATTATACGTAAAGCAAATCTGACCGGATTATCTTCGTATCAGAGGCAGTGCCAGGTTCCATTCCTGTTGCATCATAAATTTCGCTTTCGGAGAAAAAGGCAGAGCGCTACAGGACACTGTCTTTCGTGATTTCCCTATATTTCAAAATTAATCTTATTACTTTATGAGTGACCTAAATACATACATTTTCGGTTTATTACATCATCAATGCCTGTTTTGACTTGAAAGGCGTGCGATGTTATTGTTTACACTTGTGGTCTAGAAATATCAGGGCAACTGGTGTACAATTAGTAAGTGTTGAGCGTACTTCTGCTAATTAGTTTTTCACGATTCACTTTTCAATCGATATTGTGTTAATAGATTTCCAAAAAGGCGTGTTGGTTTTTTCAGTTTATTTTCAATTGATTTTGATACTAAAAATAACGTCCGTGATTTTTAAAATTTTCACGGGTACTATTCATTATATATATAACTATTTTGAACTAGCGTAAGACGTTTATATGTGATTTCATGACTATAATTAATATAAACGTGCTACACCCGTGCAAAATAGTTTTATATAATAACCTCCGTGGTCAAATGATCCCAGCGGCGATATAATTTTTTTTTCTATATTGTCTTGAAGTAGACGGGTTCTCGAATGGACACCTTAGTATCGGACGCTCCCCGGCAAGATTGATTGCCGACCTCAGAAAAATGGCCGTGGCTGGATAAAGACAGCAGGAGATTGTGTTTTGTGGCGCACTCTGGGGGAGGCCAACGTCCAGCAGTGCAACACGCGGATATGATGACGATGATGATATTGTCTCGTCCATATACAAGTGATTTAGCTACTTAATTGGCGATCTCAGCAATATAACTGATGATGTCTAATCTTTATATATGGCGGGCTTTTTGCGTGCACTTAACTGTTTCTCGGACATCTTCAACGAATAATGTCAATGGAGTTAGGTAAATTAAAACTTTTTGTGCGTGTGCGTGAGTGTGAGTGCGAGTGTCTGTGTGTTAACGCAAATGTTTTATTTATATGTTTTGTTAGTTTATCTTGATAAGTAATTTTTCTACATCTTCATAGATTAATCTTGTTTGCCAATTAGAAGTTCCTTACATTTATATAGTAGAAATGGATACATCTTAAGTATATGGTTCGTTTTATTATAAACATACACTGATTGACAATTATACTGTCGTCTAGCAAAAACTCTGCGAATAGAATATGAGTGAGCAACAATGTCTTTTCTACACTTTGGTCATACGAGAGTGATTTATGATACTTTAGGATTAAAGCTAATATATAAAGCTTTCTCATTGTTAAGAGTCCACTTCATTTGTAAAGGCTCTCCGTGGGGACCTATACGGCTTAGAATAAGTGACCTCTGATTTCTTTCGATATCGAGAAAGTGTGTCTTGTAAGCACCCTCCTACACTACGATGCAATAACTTATGATCTCTTTTGTAGTGACTTGTCTTAGTAACTTGAATATCCACGTTAATTTTCTAACTCTATTTATTGTTCTTTCAAATATGGGAGTACCAGATGAGTCTCTGGTAACGTATAAGAACAAATATAAATCTTTACTTTTTACTATAAAATAATAAGTCGCCTAGATATTCATAAACTGTGTTGGTACGCATCTAATATATTCTAAACAAAATCTATTGTAAACTTCACCGCAGATGCGCACTTGGGTCTTACTGGCGTTTACGATCAAATTTTACAGCTGGTTTTAATCGGCAATCTGAAGATCTCAAGCGTTTCCAGACGAGAGGAATCTGCCAGTTATTATGACTAAGTTTGTTTCAAAGAGGATGTATATTGTTTTTGAATACGTAAATTCGTATATAAGTTCAATTATTGGTATCAATATATTTAAAAAGCAACCAATATAATATATAATTTCAAAAAGTCAAGTAATTCCACAGATAACGTAATAGGATAATTCGACAGATAAAGATGAATAAGATTACCTACTAGTAAAATTTCCAATACCAAGAAATGGTTTTGGGATAATTTTTGGAGAATTTTGCTCTTATCATGTTACATCTCAATGTTAAGTAATATTATATTAAAAGCTCTTACAACAGATTTTATAAAAAAATAATAACAAAATTACCTGTACAAACTTTGATATGAATTTGTTTTTGCATAGTAAAGATCATCACATAGAATTAATAATAATAAAATAAAATTCATTTATTGCGGGTAACTAGACCCATATGAGGCAATTTTAAATATTAAATTTTACAATTACTAAACTTCAATCAATCCATAATGATGTCCGAGAATTCAAAATATAACAATTTAGGATAAAATAATTAAAAATAATATAATATAATACACATATAATAATAAATCGTTTATTTCAGAAAACCAGGTCCCATATTGTTGTTAGTAAACATTTGATACTTATATACTAGGGTTAGTACGGAGAAACAAAAATGAAAATAAAAATGCGATAAAATTAACTTATGCGGACCATTAGCCAGTGTCGCAACAAATGTGTGTGCCACCGATCTATGAACACACTCAGGAGACTGTTGGTACTGGAGCGAAGCCTGGTGAGCATGGACGCTGACCTTTTCCTTAAAATGGCGTAGAAATCGTCTGTGTGTGCCTCAGTAAACATTCCGGACGCGCTACAACGCCATGACAGTTTCAACAGTATCCTGAGTACGTTGTTATATTGGACACGAAGGTCGCTGTATGCTCGCTGCGTATAGCTAGTCCAAAGGCTGCACGTGTAGAAAGATTGGCAGTAAGCTTTGAACAGCGTTGCCTTTACTGCATTCGTACATCGTGCAAACCTTCGGGCCAGCATATTACATCGCAAAGCGAGCGACCTCCGTTCCCTCTCCATATCAATGTTATCCCTGAGATCTTCAGTGACCCAATGACCTAGATACTTGAATTTCGTCACCCAGTTCAAGGGGGCACCACACAGCGATACTCCAGGGATATCTGCATAGTTGATGGAGACAGAGCCAAACATCATGAGCTCACTCTTTTTGGTATTGTATTTGAGCCCGTGATCCCCAACATATGTCTTACATATAGCCACTAGTCTTCTAAGACCACTAATCCATGGGCTCAGCAGCACCATATCGTCTGCATAACTTATGTCATTCATTGCAACTCCATCAATATGACAACCTATGTGCCCCGCTGAGCTCAGCGATCAGTCTATTCATGTACAGGTTGAACAGGCGGGGCGAGCTTAACCCACCCTGTCTCACCCTGCATTCCATCCTGTTCACATCGGACTGGGATCCTGCCCAACTCACACAGTTTTTCTGATTACCATACCAGTACTGGAACAGGGATGTGACCTCAGATGGCAGTGTCGTTTCGTTTCTTAGCTTGTTCCACAGGACCTCATAAGACACTAAGTCGAAGGCTTTCGACAGATCCAAGAAGCAAGCAAACACTGGTGTTTTCCTAGTGGTATAGTACTGTACAGTCTGCTTGAGGCGTAATATGGCGCTTTCTGTGGACAGTTCGGGTCTGAAACCGAATTGGGCGTCGTATAACTCCATGTGCTTGGCCAGTTGTTTATCAAGAAGATTGTCCAGAACCTTGGCCACTATTGTAGCCAGCAAGATAGGCCTATAATTAGACACGTCAGACACATCTCCTGTTCTATCTTTAACGATTGGTACTACAACTGTCTGCATGAGATCCTGTGGTAAATAGCTATGGATGAGGCATAGCTTGAACAAGAGAGCAAGTACTCTAGGCAGATGTTTCCCAGCATACTTCAGGTGTTCGATGCTGAGGTCATCGTGGCCTGGAGACCTGCCTCTAGACCTAGTTTTTATGATAAGGGAGACGTGTTTTGCTATAAATATAACAGATAGCTTATTAGCTCCCACAGTACTCTCTGCACCGACCACATGTTGCAAATTGCTTTTTAGGGGAGATTTAACCGAGAAATGCTTTCGGAAAAGGTTGGCAACCTCTTCCGGCTCCGTGATGACAGCTACACTCGCAGGGAGACTCGACCTTTCTTTTAATTTATTAGTGGAATTCCAAAATCTACCATATTTTTTTTTCTTGTGACATTTTGCCAAAGTATCTATAATTGATTGATTGCAATTACGCAAAACGGTAGTATTTCATGATGTGGATGACTAAAAACTAATTCTATCATTTATACGACATTGTCATTTAAATGATTTATATTGGATAGGTCGTTTTCTAATTTATTGATACTAAATCTTCCAGTGAAATACGTAGCCACAGCAACACGTCGGGTAACCGCATGTTTTCTCCGCAATTGATTTCGAATAATACTACTTCGAGTAAAAGTTT